GGGACGATGGGTCCTTGAGTGGCAGCATGATATATACCTCTTGGCCAGGACCGAGCCGTACGCACGCTCACATCAAACGCGCGATATGCGAACCCGCACCGCAACCTCCTCTTAACAATTTCTTTTCTGGTCTAGTCGGACATGATAGAGAGAGCCTTTCAAGAAGTACTTTTCAACCGCCCGTCACTCAATAGACTTTTTTTCTCTTTTTTTTTTTTCTCGCTTCTCGCTTTCCAATCACCCTTCCCCCCTCCTCCCCTCCCTTCTTCTCCAACTGGCTGCCACGCGCTTCCTCCACCCCCCTTGTTCATGGATCGCCTTTCCCTCCCCTCTCTGTGGGAAGAATAAGCAGGGCCGCACCGCCGATCCAGGGGACACCCCAAGGCCTCCCTTGCTTCCCCAAGCTGTCTCCACAGCCACATTGAAGAACCGGCATCCAAGTCGTGACGAGACAGCATCCCGTTGCCATCTGACTCGCTCCAATCTATAGACGGTGTCACATATCACCGCGTCGTTGATGCAGGACTCCTTCAGTCATTCAATACGGCTGACGAACCCTTACCGCATCGTATCTCACATATCGTGCCCTCCTGACCGAAGCGGTTTTCCGCAGTGTCCTATAGCCGGTTTGTGTACCCTATTCTAATGAATGAGGCTGCTCGAGGCAACAGAACGGGCCATGGTCGAACTCATAGAACTACTCTTTCCTTCTATTGATCTGATAAATGGAGGTTCGTCTCCAGATCCAAGAGAGAATAATAGGCGGTTGACAAAACAAACACAAGGAGGGACATAGCATAAGGTCAGCAATGTGCTTTTAACGGGAGCCATGATACCTCAGCCCTGGTTTCGTCAATATTCTCGACCAATGTGCCTTTCGTACTGCTCGGATCCAGCCACGACAGCCCCCGGCTGTTTCGAAGCATGTCCCGTCGGCCAGTGCCGTCCATCGTGGGCCGCATGTTCTTTTCTCAGCCAGCCTGAGAAATAACACAGCAACAGACCAGGCTACAGAAGCGGCTCAGGTACACATCCATGCCATGCCAGCATGCGCTTCTCTTTATTAGACTCTGCCGCCCATCCCATATGAATCCATCTTCACTCCCACCCCATCTCCTTTCTCCCCACACACCATTTCATTCAAATTTTGGTTCCTCCAACCATGTTCTCACACTCTCATCTTGCTCTCGCCTCTTGTGGCTCATCATCCCGACCGTCCTTCCTCGTCACTGGGCCAGATTCAAGCCCCTGCAGAGGCGGCACAGCCTGTTGACAGCACGGAGGTACTTATTGAGTTGACATTGCGCGCAAAATACACCAGGTACCCACCGTCTCGCCCATCGTGCAACGGCTTGCTTGATTGCACATGTGTGCCTGGCATCTCTTTCCGACGAACCGTTACCGTACCCCAGCTTTTCGTCTACCGCCCGCTATCCGCTAACGGACGAGATTTGCCTGAAGTGAAGGGCAGTTCATCCATCATCTGCCATCCATGTCAATGCAGCTTGTCTTTTATGGACTTGACTAGCCAGCAGATGGACAGCTTACTCGATGACCTGCCGTGTACAACTTGCCATCGCGGCCGCCGTTTTAGTTGCACCCGCAAGAATACCAGCATCTGCTCACACACTTGGTCGGACACACTGAATGTTGCGCTGACGGGTCAGGTGTTCCTCTGTGACGACTTGTACACTCGGTGGTCGACCTTATGCAATGCATCTGCACTTCTTGGGCACTAGCTAACCCACAATATCGCCCTTTTCAGTTGTCCAAAAGAGAAACCAGAGTGCTGCCCAAGTCACAACGATTGCGGCAGACTCGATCCGGCCAACCGACGATAATTTGCGCTTACAAGTCCGCCCCTGACCTGAACGGGCCTCTTTTCCTTTCCCTGTGTATGTCGAATAAAGAACGTTTTCTCGCGCACACATCGCCTCGCCGCCTCGGTACCAGGGACAAGCGGCTTCCCGTCGGCCTGGGAGGGAGGGAGGCACGATACCCGCGGATGTCTGTCGCTAATCTACCTGGTCACAAAAATGCCGGCTCTTGGTGTATCCATGTGTCCAACCCGACATATTGCTTCTCACGCTGCCGAAAACTAATATCTAACTTGGTGGTGCTGCAGAGACTACGATGTCTTTTCCAAAATGAGCCATAATACAGGTTCCTCATTTGAAGTCATTATTGGCCATGTCGATCAAGGAAAAGGCGTCGCTCGTGCAGTCGTCAGGCCAGGCACTCCTGCAGTAGTCCATCCATGACTACTACAGAGGCTGATCTCAAGGTCAGGAAGAGGTACGGTTCCCCAGGTTAAGGGTTATGCAACGTTGAAGGCTATCGGACCCAGCGAACCGTCCTAGGCCCCATCGCATCCTGTCTAGCCGCATCCTACCCTGCGGGGATTTGCGAGGGATTTGCGAGTCACGGGTTGTTCTGGCAGGGATGCTTGTGTTTGCATTGAGCATGGATGAAATGCCTTCCAGTATCGGTCTGTGTCCGACGCCGAAGGTGAGTCTATCCCGACGTGCCGAATATCACCTGAGCCCCTGTGGCCGGAGTTCGGGGCGTTTTCAAGCTATGCGAGGTCGACCTCCAGCTTCCAATGATTTCCAGGCCGTGATAATGACTACATTTTCATGAGACCTATGACAAGAAATGCGTGAATAGGGTGGGCAACTTCTTGGCACCGAGATGAGAATAAATGTCGTACACGTATGTGTCGTCCAAGCTGGATTTCTGAAGGGACCCAGCCGGCTTATGGCTCCTTCCAGGATAGCAAATGGGCCCACCATCTCCATCAACACGTGCTTATCTGATTTGACGCATCTCGCTCGGCTGCGCAACGGCTACGCCCGGCATTGAGCATCTTGATTTGCTCATTCCTCTTGGGTCCACGGGCAGTGAACCCGCCTACGTACAGCTAGCCAGCCCTTTCATTATGGTTCCGTACCTCTCCGTGCCCATCGTGCCGTTTGAAGAGGACTTTCGGGTCAAGTTGAGACGCGAACCTCCAGGTGGCTATGGAGTAAAGATGACGAAGATGAAGAACCCCTCTGCGATTTCCGTCTCTACACGGAACGAGTCCACGCGGGCGAGTATGGCTTGTCGCTGGTTTCTTTCCGTTTGCTTCCCTAGTTTAACTCTTTCCAACGATATCCCTGGTCTCGACGTTGTCATCAGCTGGCTCTTATTCTAAAATAACATTCGGTACTTTGTATGTCTATGAACACAGTCGCCATATGGCTCTTGCACGCGGAAATACAGGAGTCCATAACCCTGTCGCGGAAAAGAAGTCGTCAACTCGCAATCGGCTCAGTACAGCCGCCCCCGGCCCACCTTCGCACGATGTCGTCAGGAAATGGTCCTCTTTGGGACCTGGCTACAGCGATATTTCGATACGGACAGGATCAAGCAGGAACAAGCGTGTACATCCACTTAGTGAGGCCTGAGGCCTGGTCTGCTTTCTTACATGCTATCCACCTGTTCGCGCGTGTACCCACCTTCGCCGCCCGATCACTTGCCCTCTGAGTGAAAGAGCTGAGTTGACAGAGGAACGTGGGTAGATTGTGTGTGTGTCTGCTGACACTCGCCGCACACACACTCATGTACACACACATTCACACCTGTTCCTGTCGATGGCTCGCATAATGACTGAAAGTGGTTCGTGGCGAAGGACAACAACAGACTCGCAGGAGTCAGCCCGTCTTTTTACTCTTTTCCATCGCCCTGGAGCGAATTTTTCGGACAGCTAGCCGAAGCTCGTTGCCCCAGTCCGTAAAATCGTAACAGCCAAGCCAGAGAACGCGTCTCGCCCGCATCCCTTTTGCCGCAGTTGGCCGAGGGCATCATCTGCCACGTCCATAAGCAAAACTCATCCGCTGCGCCGAGATTCTGTCAAGATCCAGATCCTGGACCCCTTCTTCGATTCGGGGTTCATCCGCTGCTCACCGCTAGCTCTCTGTGTCCTCGCCCCTGCTTGCATTGTTTGTTGTGCTCGTGACTCGAGAAACTGTCCCGTTGAGGGGAAATTGGCTGGGTCCAAGTCTGTTAATGGACACCAAGAGCTGTGTAGGCGCGGGCCGCCATTCGTGCCGCCCCCAGGCATTTCGAACTGTCTCCCGACGTTCCACACCTATCACAGTCAGAGGACAGGGCTTGGGTGATTTGGGGCGGCTAGGAACGACAATGACCCTCCCACTGCAGATCAAACCCAACTTGGAGAGCCCATCTCTTTCTGCGTCACTTCGGATTGTCATTGAGTATATTGGAGCCTTACACCAACCTGCTAATATGCGTAGCAGATTTAGCGTGATATCCTGCCGAAAGGTTTTCATTTATTGACAAGCAATGTTTAAAGATACGCATTCATATCTTTTTCACATAAGGAGGCTGTTGCGGCTAAAGAGAGCCGCCAACACTACATCGAATACACTGTTGTGAAGCCAGTATGGGCCGTGGGGCAGCAGCGTTTGTAAACATCTCATTCATCAATTCACTCGTTTGCCTTTGTTAACCTCGTCATGTCTTTACCTCGGGCGGCTCCGCAACTTCTGGCATGTTGAACCTCAACCAGAACCTCTACAAGGGACTGCGGTCCGATATTGTCTCTGCCTAGACACCACACATTTGACGCCAGGGTTTCGTAAGGTGGGATCAAAGGGTAGCATTCGCCGGCTCTGCAAAGTATTCGGCAGCACGCTAGAGATGCTACACCCCTCCAAACATACCGACCCCGGAACCACCTCCAACTATTGCCCTCTGTGTGCTACCATCTTGTCTCTTCAGAACGGAGACAGCCTATCCCTCCGGAGTCCGTGACTTCAGGGCCGGATACCCTCTGAGGTACGCTGCAGGCCATTGGCTCATGCGCTTGGCTCAAGGCCAGGCATCGGCTGACAAGACATCGTCAAATCCTCCGCACATTCGAAGCGGGGCACATTGATGCGCGGTGTGATAATCTATGGCTGCCGAGAGCACCGGGCTGGGAGGCGCTTCCGGCTCTACAGGCGAAGAATCTGGCACCGGCTTGCAATGCCGTCGAATATGCACGTGTTCTCAATGGGTACGTACTGGTTTGTGACGATTTTGATCGTCTCCTGGGCCACCATGCCACCTGTCACGGCGGAAATGTTGTGCAGCTCTCCGCCACCAGCCCGGGATACTTCTTGTGCAGCTTGTGCGAGCCGCTCGTTATCGCTTGTCTCCGGGAGTAGCGTCCGAATCTTTGCCAAAATATCGTCCGGGGACGTCGTGCCTGTGTGAGACGTGGACTGGAGGGCAAGATAAATGGGAAGTAGTGACAAAGGCATCACACCATCTTTAGCCATTTCATCGTTGGCAAACTCTTGTTCTGGATATTGATGAGCATTGGCACTTTGAACCTTGTCGATCTTCATGGTCCTTACCTGCCACGGTGCGCAGCTGTTCGATTCCGCCGCTCGCAGGAACAACCAGCTTGACGAAGGCTGCATTCTTGCAGAACAGTTCGACTACGGCTGGGTCGACGCCCTCGCCACCAGGTTTCTGGCGAACCAAGTCTAGGACCTCGGTTACGTCCTTGCGAGCCTTGGCCTTGTAAATGTTCTGGAGCTTGATGTAGACGCTAGACTGCGCCTTCATATCCGGGAGGCCGCCTGGCACAGGTAAGCATTGATGCTTTTCATGAAATTCTCGGACTGCGTCTGCAATGACCCAGAAACTCGATTTCGCCTCGTCCTATGATAATCGACAGGTCAGTTTCCACCTACGGATTTCCTGGTGAAGGTGAGTGGACTCACATCATTGGTGTGCTTGTACTCAAAGACCTGCTTGACAGCAGATGGGAGAGACGGAGGTACAATGGTCTTCAGGACCGCGGCCACAGCCTCCTCGAAGTTCTCCTCGCCACCTTCTGCGTTATCCGTTCTGGTGGCCTCGGCCACCATTTTGCGAAACTCAACCTTCTCCTTGTAGTTGCTTGGCGCAGCGCCGCCATGGGATGCCTTCCAGACCTTGAGATAATGCAGAAGAATGACCACGAAGGGCAAGTGTCCATGATCATGGTTATTAAGACTGTCAATGTCCTTGGTCATTTCCTCAGCAAACGCTTCCAACTCTTCCCATGGGGCCAAAAGCCGCAAATCTATGGTGGAAGTTGCATCCGGATGGGTGTCGACAATGGGGTAAACGTCAGGAAGACGAATGCTGAAGTAAGAGTAGAAACCAACCGAGTGGATTGCAATCAAGGGAGTTTTGTGGCTACGGCTGTAAGACTCGAGTGTCTTGAGATCTTCAGGCTTCATGGGGAGTGTGTACAATATTATGGTAAAAGGGTTTGGGCTGTCCAGGATGTGTTCGAGGTTCAAAGTCTCCTATCTTCATGTTAGACCTTGCCGATATGCACATCGAAGCGGATACTCTTACCGAATTTCGAGGACACCAGTCACCCTGGACCTCTGGGTTGAGTTCCAGCAGTAATTCGGTACAGCTCTGCGCTCTGGACTTGCCGATATGAGACTCGTCCAGGAAGAAGTTGACACCAAGGTCTGCCTCGTTCACCACGGCATCGTCGGCAATCGTAAACTTACCAATACCTGATCGTGGTTAGTCGTTTGACAGCGAGAGGCCAGGAGCGTTTGCAGGATGTTCACCTGGGAGCACAAGGTTCTTGAGGGTCTCAACACCGACGGTTCCCGAACCCGAGTTTACGAGCAGAATGTTGGCAGATTCCAGGGCAGCTTGGCCACTCGCAGCCCACAGTCTAAGCTGGCGATCATACTTCTTCTCTTTTTCCGAGGGTACGGAAAGGGCGGGAGGAGCCTGGTCGGCGATGATGTCCGTCATGACGGGCAAGAGTCGTGGCGAGGGGCTCTGTATTAGAAGCGAGGGTCAAATGACTTCGGTTTCGAGCTCCACCACAGGACACCTCACGTTCTGATCGAAGTGTGAAACTAGATGATGCCCTATCTCCTTCGAGTAAGATGGTATAAGACGTGGAATGAGTGTTGCCTGGTGATAGTGACAGGATGCGGGCAATATGGTGGACAGGTAGAGGCTGTGAAGTTGGGCTGGTGATAGGCGGATCAGTGCCCTTGTTGCTGTTCGTCTGAGTGTGTCGTCAATGATCAAGGTAGTACCAGTGTAAGTATCACTCGCACGGTGTAAGCTTCTAGTGGATGCAAGGATGACATAATCAAATCCTCGTCCCCAGGCTCTTGTGGGGATAGGTGCCTTAGGTAAGAGGCCGTCCTCAAAGTCCCGTCCGCTTCCGTGGATGCGGTGGAGCTAGGTATTACGGCCCCCTTGCAACTATTTTTCCGGACGACAGTTCCATAATTCTACTCCATTGCACTTTCTTTCCAGGATCTCTTGAGACATTTTGAAATTCATCAGGATTCAACTCAACGCTATCTAGCCCTTACCTTTTCCTCTTTTTCTTTCGAAGTCGAGGTTACGTGTCAATATCAATAGGTGCTATGATTTATGCTGTTCAAACTCAATATACAAGGTCCAATATGACCGATGAATAAGCAACAGCGGGTGCAGGAAACCGTTGTTCGCAGGCTTTCCATCCCTGTTTCCGCCAGATGCCCGTTAGCAAACACCCCACGGGAGGTCGGAGTATCTCCCTCGCGAACTTGCTTTTGCAATTTCTCTTCCTTGTTTCACAGTCAGAAACCCCTTTCATCTAATGCAGTAACCGGTGCCTTGTTGTGGATTCTATGGCACGTCCGTGGCAAGCACAAAGGTATGGCTTGCAAAATAGATTGGTTCCACATCCAGCGTCATCAACGACTGTCAGCTATGACCGGGACGTGTTGCAACACTGGCAGTGTCAAGATGAGCGCTCACCCAGGTGGACGTCGCGAATGGGGCAGTATTGCCCCTAAATTCCTCACCAACGGGCTCGCCTCATTTCTCCATTCCTGTTGCCACTGAACACTAGCTAAGGCCTCCGCCCACATGGCAGCTTAGCTTCGGTGGTGCGTGATCAAGTTGATCTGACTGTTGGGTTGCCGCATCTTCGGCATCGGCATTGGCGTTGATGGTCGTCCCACGATACTGAAAATCCTCCAGGTCGAGAGTACCCGTATGAAAGGAACTGACGACCTGAGGCATCGCCGATGATCTGCTCTTGATCGGATAAAGACTATGTTACGCTTGATTTCTTTAACGGTTTTGATGCATCGGGGCCAGGCTCGAAAACATTCCTCAACGAACAAGCAGCATCTCGCCGATACCAAGGCCAGACCCCAACTCGAACGTCAGGGCCATTCTTTTCCCGGCGAAGGACCAAACGGCAGCCTAGACCCTAGGATGTCTTCTCTCCCTTCTTCGTTGCTGGCAATGGTCTGTCTCACTACCTCAGAGTCTGGCTGTCTGCGGTTGGTGTGGCGTGCCGGCTCCACGCCGCATTCGCATACGGCATCAGCTTACGGCCGGCAGCATCGGGCCAGGGACAAACAAACTGGTGTTCGGAGCTAGCGGATGCGAATGCGCTGAACACCGAACGTTCTTTTTCCCTTTAATTCGTTGCCCCGAACGCCGACTCAACTATTGCGTTTGGCCACGGCATCCCCCTTTCTTAATTGCGGCCCTTCGTGGCCTTGCATTCTCTCCTGTATCTCGCAATCTTTCCCCAAGCGCACCAGATCATCCTTGTACGATGCATTGCCTGGACTTTTCGTGGCATGCTTCACTATGAGTTGCTTCGATCCGCTGTCTACCAACACTGTATCTTTCTACCACCACTCGGTATCATTATCCTTGTTGTCGTTGTCCTCGTCGCCATTGGTCCGATCCTAAAATATTCTGATTCGACATATCAGCTTTGGGTTAAGGGGTACACAGTCAGAAAACACGACATCTAATTAGGAGGAAGGCTCTTTTCATGGCCGTCAACCCGTTGGACGTATAAGTTTTGAATCTCGCGAGTCCTTCACAGTCAGAACGATTACCGAGACAGCTTGTCGACAGCCGTTTTCTTCTCGACTCGACTACTGATCCTTGGCACAAGTCCTGTCTGGCTAAGTTTCTCAGAGTTATTTTTGTAGGCGGCCATGGGTCAAATCACTGAGGATGTCGAAGCTAGCAAGGCCGAGATGCTTTCAGAATTTCAGTACAGAGATACCAACCTACCGACCTGGAGGTTCTTGGTTCTCAGTGTTGGGTAGGCGCTCAACCACCACTCGCATCTCCGGATGTTGCAAGGCCTAGCTTTGCTAACTAGCTACACAGGCTCTGCCTCGGATTGTTTCTTTCAATGTTGGACGCTTCCATTGTGGCCACAAGTCTTTACACAATTGGTGTAGAGTTTGACTCGATGGATCTCATCAACTGGGTTGCTTTGGCCTACACCCTCACCTATTTGAGTTGTGCGGTGCTGGTCGCACGAGTATCTGATGTTGTGGGCCGACGGAATGCTTTTCTGGCAAGCTTCATCATATTCTTTGCCTTTTCACTGGGCTGCGGCTTTGCTCGAAGCTTACAGCAGTTGGTTGCATGCCGTGCCTTGCAAGGGTTAGGAGGATCAGGTAAGTTGTGCACATTTCATCTTGCCCATCATTACTTACACCCACTGCTAGGACTATACTCAATCACCATGATCATATTTCCGGAGGTCACACCGAAGCACCTGCTCCAGTACATTTCTAGTCTTGTCGGCATGGTCATTGCCAGTGCCGGCGTGCTTGGGCCTGTTCTGGGAGGGATTCTTACCCACTATGCTTCCTGGCGTTGGATCTTTTGGATTAAGTGAGTGCTCCTCGAATGACCTAGAGCAAAGTTGTTCCGCGAACTCAGTGACATGAATCCTAACAGCATCACAGTGGTCCCATCGGCTTTGTCTCGCTGCTTGTGTTTTACTTTACGTGGCCTGATGCCAAGCACCTCCCGACTTTGCAACGTAGAACGTGGAAGGAGTTGGACTTTGTGGGATCCATTCTCCTCGTCTCCGCGTCAGTACTTCTTGTTTTCTCATTTCAGAACGTCGGCGCGGACGGCAACAAATGGTCACAAGCCGTATTTATCGTCCCGGTCACCATTGGCGGTATATGCTTCATGCTTTTGCTGGGCTGGGAAACACTGGTTTCCAAGCTATGGAACAATCGCATCATGGCCGCTATCCCGATCAGTCTTCTGCGCAACCGCGTGTACCTCGCCACCATCTTCAACACGATGTTCCTGGGCTTTCCGTATCTTCTGATTATCTACGCCTTTCCCATCCATATGCAGATAGTAAACGGCAAGAGCTCGCTACTTGCGGGTGTGCTTTTGTTACCGATGCTGGGATCTGTCGCTTTGGGTACCACTCTTGGCGGAATTGTCAACAAAAGTAAGAATCGGCTCTTCGAGACCATGGTCGTAGCAAGCTGCTTTATGACTCTTGGATGTGGCTTGATGACGACGTTGTCGTCGTCTGCCACTTTGGAACCCAAAGCACTTGGCTTCCTTGCGTTTGTTGGCTTTGGATTTGGCTTGTCTGCCACTTCGTCTACCGTCCTTGGAACAACAGAGTCGGAGATTTCAGACCATGGTGAGTATCTCAGATCTATGAGGTATTGGACCAGCAAGCTGACAAGACAAAGCCCCCGCACAGGGAATTATAGCACAGGTGCGGATTCTCGGTGGCAGCTTAGGCATAGCGGCATCAACGGCGATCTTGGGCAATTTCACACGGAACGACCTGACCGGCGTGGTCAGTCCGGAGTATTTGTCATCACCGCACGGAGGGGGGATAAACCTGACGGAGGCACAAGCCGCGGCCGTCCGCCATGCCTATACAGACTCTTTCCGAAAAGACATGCAAGTAGGGACGATCCTGTCAGGCATAGCGATCCTTCTCAGTCTGGGGATCTACCGCCGAAATCGAGTTACCTTCGAGGAGCAACGGCAGATGCACATTAGGATCGAGGTGGAGAGGCGCCGGAGGGCATCGGCAGCGACGACGCTGGTATCTTCGACTGCAACAGACTGAGAAAGATGGTTATTGGGCGGATTGTTTTATAGGCAAAGCATTTGGAGGGCGTTTCTGGTGGGTTGCGAAAGCACGACTTTGCTTCATTCCAACAGCGGCTATTACATATATTGATTGCAGGGTTGTGCTGCTTATGTCGATGTTAGTTGGTCCCCAATTGGACGAGTATTTTCGAGAAGATACTCAATAGTTGTACACGATTCCATGAATAATTACTTGTAGATACGACTTCGAATCCACTCAACTTTGCTTATAGTATTGATGCAAGCCTTTCCTCTGACTTGATCTCCAGAGCCAGGTTCTACGTACGGCAATCTGGACGTATGTGCGCGGGGGAACATTGGTGCGGGGGGTGAGAAAAAACCATCAATGTTGTCAAGTCGGGGTTTGCAATCACCTCATCGGCGCAATAGCCTCTAAGAGCCTCAAGAGCTCCAAGAAGCCCCAGTCAATAGCGATGGATACCTCTCCAGCCCCGTGTGTCCCCTCCCAAGAGGACATCAGAGGTCGTGAGTCCTTGTGAACCGTTGTGAGAGAGGGCCTTAGTCGAATGATGCAATCGCGCTGTCCCCGCCGGTTATCGGGTGATTGAAACCCCGCAGTGTGGGGCTCATCCATTCCGTGCGCCGCGCCGTTTGCCCTGCTCCCCCCTCGTCTTATCCGTCGCTTTACACTCGGAAACGTGTTGAGAGCCATTTGTTCCAAGAGTTACCTTACGAATCCTCTGTTATCATTGGGCGGAAACCAAACAAGCAATCCGAATTTAACCTTCTCCTGAGTTCTTCAGACCAAGCATCCCCTGGGTATATATAACTAACTGCTTCATCCTCGAGGCTACGGGCTGTTCTCTCCTTCTGCCGTCTTCACACATGCCCCCTTATACCCAAGTAGCTCGTTCCTTCTGCTCTTCAATCTTCTTTCGTCACCAACCCCCCTCGCTATCCCATCCCTTTCAAACCATTTTTTGCCGCAGAACCATCATGTCTGCCGCCGCGAAGCGCCTCGAGGGCAAGACTGTGCTCATCACCGGTGCCTCGAGCGGAATCGGAAAGAGCACGGCTTTTGAATACGCCCGGACGGCGCCAAGCAACCTCAAGCTCGTCCTGACGGCCCGTCGAATCGACAGCCTCAATCAGATTGCCGCCGATATACAGAAAGAGGTCGGTGACGGCGTCAAAGTTCACCCCGTAAAGCTGGATGTCAGCAACCCTGAGGAGGTCCGCCAGCTTGTGCCCAACCTGCCCGAGGAGTTCCGTGACATTCACATTCTGGTTAACAACGCGTATGTAGCGGAAAGCCATTGGTCGTGAACAATGTATTGACTGAATACGACAGAGGTCTTGTTAAGGGAGTTGCCAAGGCACCTGAGATCGCAGAGGAGGACATCAACGTCATGTTCGCTACCAACGTCACCGGCCTCATTAACGTAACGCAAGCCATTCTCCCGATCTTCAAGGCGCGCCCCAATGGCGGTTCAGGAGATATTATCAACATCGGATCCATTGCTGGTAAGTTGAGCTGCGGCTTTTGGTGTCGAATGCGGGCGCAGATGACTGACGCTCGTAATCGTAGGCCGCGAGCCTTACCCCGGAGGTTCCATCTATTGCGCAACCAAGGCCGCAGTGCGCAGTTTTACCGACAGCTTGAGAAAGGAGCTTATTTCGACGCGTATCCGCGTCATCGGCATTGATCCCGGTCAGGTTGAGACTGTAAGTCAATCCGGCTCGGCCAACGGCTTCATCTAGTGCGGGTTGCGGGCAGCGGGCACTAACACGATGCAGGAATTTTCTGTTGTACGCTTCTATGGCGACAAGTCCAAGGCCGATGCCGTTTATGCGTAAGTGATCCTCTTGACTGGTACCAACCACACTCGGCCATTGTTACTCCTAGTGGGAATGAGCGCGATGTCGCATGATGGCGTGTTGATGTGCTGATATGTGTCAAAGTGGCTGTGAGCCTCTGACCCCAGACGACATTGCCGAGGTCATCGTCTTCACGAGCACTCGCAGAGAGAACGTGGTGATTGCCGACACCCTTATTTTCCCTAGCCACCAGGTAAGCTGGCATTTGAGATTCTGCCCTCACATACAGTTTCTAACTTGGCATCAAGGGCGCTGCTGGTCTTCTTCACCGCAAGTCTTGAAGGGACGTTGGCGTTACGCAGGAGTGAGAGTGAGAGCGAGAGTGAGATTAGGCTCTGATGAGCGCAGAGTCACTTAACGCCGAAGGTGAAGAGCCACCCAAGCCATGGATAGATTTGTTGTGGTACTTGGTTCTCTAGATCAACGAGCATTTCGTTTTCCGTGCTTACAGGTTTCGGCTGGTTCGTAGTAAGTCATGCATCCTTGGGGTTTGGCGCTGCGGAATCTCAGAGACGTGTCGTGAACGAAAAGCTGAATGATATCTACAACCTGTCGCTTTTCCTATCCCTCCGTCCGCTACTGCTCCGACCCAAGGTAAGGCTTGGCGTACCCGTCGCACCGAGGCTGCAAGTGACCCCACCCTTTGTGGACAGGCTTTATCAATCATTGTTTCTCTTGTACGAGTATGGGGCTTCAGGTTCTGTACTATACTATTGCTGAAGCCATTGAGAAAATCGAAGACGTGCAATGTACGCGACGCGGCTGATGTTACTTTACGTTTGAATTGACAGGAGGGCAGCAAGAAAACCTGACGGTCGGCAACTGACGTTCTTCCTTTCGAATCTAAAGAGCACATCTTTACCATATACTCCCTCCAGATAACGAAGTTGAAACTTTCGTCTTTGTCTGGCCAATGTGATTCTGCAGTATAGCCAACCTTCGCAATGTGGTCTGGAAAACACATCAAATAGCACCATTCGTTTAAGGAAGCGATAGATAAGTGAGTCGGTTTAGCGCGGCGCCAGGTGTGGCACATGGTCAGAGCTTAGCCGGCCGATGCCGGCTGGTGAGCTGTGCCCCGCTAGCGCCCCGTTCCCTGAGCCTGAGGGTGCATGGCAGTGTCTGGCCAGGAGGTTGAAGCAGCACCAGTTGAGTGACCAGTGATTGGGCACAGTAAACAAACATGCCTTGTCGGGAGAGTGATTTGGCCGCAGTTGTTAGGTGCCGGAGGTTGTTAGCGAGTGAAAAAGCACTGACGGACAGTTGCCAACGTTGCCGATAGGCTCAGACCAGCATGTTTGAGTGGGCGCGGTAGTCCCTAATCAGCATGCAGGTCCCCTACCGACAACTGTTGTCTGCAAAAATACTACCACTTCATTACCTCGACCTCCTTCTTGCCCAGACGCTTCGCACTCAGGCGACAGCTTCACCGAAACCTAGACTACTCACAGCACGGCTACCCTTGTGAGAATTCCGCCCCGTACTCCCCTGTCAACCATTTCTCGTCGACAAGGGGTACCGAATACAGCCGGCGGCATCCTGGACAATCGATACGGCGAATCTCGTCCTAATTCAATATCTAGCGAACATCGTCAATTACCAACTCAACCCGCCGCAGACACTACAATCTCGTGACTGGCCCTTTCCCTCAAATCCTGTCCTGTCGACTGCGTCGCATTCAGAATCGCTCAGATACAGGATACGCTTCGTCTACATGTCGCGGTAGGCCTGCCGCCAAACACGCTGCGCCTGCATAACGTCCACCGACCGCCGACGTCGATTTCCGCCATGCCCGGTCAACAACGGCCATGAACTGACAAGATGGGCTTCACCACATTTCTCGGCTCCTCCACAGACAAACTCCAATCTAACCGACCCAAACCCTCATCCTCGTCCACCTCACTCGATAAATCCTCCGACTCTGCCCCCTCGCAGACACCACCCGACGCCAGCTCTAGCTCTGGTTCAAGCCCCCATCATGGCTACATCTACGACGAGTCCCAGTTGCCCGATGTGCCACCCGACTGCCCCGATCTCCGCGAGCTCAACGACAGCCTCGAGGCGCTCGCCGCCGTCTTTCCCGATATCCAGATCCAGGTCTTCCGCGAGATGTTGACCAACTTTGACGAAGAATCACGCTTGGCTGTTGTTGCCGACGCTCTATTGAAGAACCGTGTTTCTTGGGTCAAGGGCCGCTGGAGGGTTGTCGATAACCAACGTCTCGGAACCGCGGTTGCTAGCGGAGAACCACAGGAGGAGAGAGAGGGATCCCTGATCCCACGCGTCGAGGCCTTTAGGAGTTCCGAGTACAAGCACGCTGTTCAAGCGCTGGCATGGCACGAGTTCAAGGGTCTTTCGCGCTCTACCATCAACGCCGTCCTCGCCGAGTCTAACTACTCGTATCTTGAAGCCCGCAAAACTTTAGTGTCGCTCTCATCAAAGTCCTGGCGCTTCACCATATCATCTCTCTTCCTTCGTCGGAGACCCGTTGCCACAGGCGAAGCCGAGAACCACCCACTAATCGTCTGGAAGTCGACCGGCCAAGGCGCCATCGTGCCGACGCTCAAGGCTTCAGGAAACGTCGAGCTCGACGTCGAGCTGTACCGTGACCTGGTTCAACCACTGAAAGATCGGGCCAGGCAGACCCGGGAAGATGAGGACCGGAGTCTAGCTGCTCTCCTGAACCATGAGCAGGCCGAGGAGACCGGTGCCATGCATGAGTGTGCATGCTGCTTTACCGAATCCACCTTTGAAGAGTTCACAACCTGCAACACTGACGGCCACATGTTGTGTTTCCGCTGCATCCAGCACTCAGTCACAGAAGCCGTCTTTGGTCAGGGCTGGCATAGTAGTATCGACGCAGACCATGGCACTCTCAGGTGCCTAGCTGTCGAAGAGAACGGTTGCCCGGGTCACATTCCTTACGACCATATGCACCGCGCCATGTTGGAGGAGAAGAAGGGCGCTGAGATCCTCCGCAAGCTCGACCAACGTCTGGCAGAAAACAGCCTCTTGGCATCCAATCTGCCCCTTATCCGGTGTCCCTTCTGCGACTACGCCGAAGTAGACGACATCTATCTCCCTGCCCAGGAAACACAACTACGCGTTAGACTCGATAGTCTCTTCAGCCTCGCCCTGCTCGTTGTGTGCATTGCCATGATGCCTCTCCTCCTACCGGTGGTTCTCCTGGCGTCCTTTGTCTGCCTACTCGTCAGCACGAAGCAGACGGTCGGCGATCTTTTGATCGTCCAATGGCATCTGGCCCTTGGCCGTCACCGCCGACGTCGCCGTGGTCTCAAATTCACCTGCCAGAATCCTGACTGCAGCAGAAGCTCGTGCCTTTCTTGCACCAAACCCTGGAAGGACATTCACGTGTGCAACGAGTCGTCTCTGGTTGCGCTGCGGACGCAGGTCGAGCAGGCGATGAGTATGGCCATCAAGCGCGTCTGTCCACGATGTCATACGTCATTCGTCAAGAACTCGGGCTGCAACAAGCTTACCTGTCCTTGCGGCTACAAGATGTGCTACGTCTGCCGCAAAGACATTGGCGGCGCCAACGGAGACGGTGAGGGGTACAGGCATTTCTGCGACCACTTCAGGCCGGACGGGGATCCGCGCCCGTGTACCGAGTGCACCAGATGCAACCTTTGGGAGAGCGAGGACACGGACTTGGTGCTGAGGCAGGCCAAGGAGGAAGCTGAGGCCAAGTGGCGTGAGACGGAGAAGCGGGAGCTCAACGGAGCCGAGAAGGCTTTTTTGGAGACGGGCTTCGCCAGAAATGGAGTCTCGCCGGTCGAGAATCGTCTCAAGAACGGACAGCTGCCGACACTGCCGGAGCTCTGCGACTTTGTTGTCGAAACGATTTTTGTGTGAAGCTCGGGACACAATGTGTGTGCAAGGGGTGTCTTGATTATCAAAACCAGATACTTGGGGCACTGTACGGGTTTGCTTTGCTGGGTCATGGGCATCATTGGGGCGTTGGGGACCGGTACGTCGTGGATACATGAACAGAAGAGAGGGACGCAACAAGCAAGCCAAGGCGCTTTTCAGTCTCTCCTGTCATGTCATGGAACTAGAGGAGGAGCATCGCGCCGCCATCACATACAAGTACTCTTTTGTAATTGAAAATATAAATTCAGCTTCATCTTCATAATCTGTCCCAGACGGAGCCCATAAACCAACCATACGCACACACCTTTTACTCATACAATTCCGTCGCCAAAACCGTTGCCAACGCGGAACCCACAATCAGCCTAGACTCACAATACCCAACGTTTTGGAAACGCTGAACCCGCTCAGAGCTTGCTCTTGTCACTGAGCAGCTCGGCGGCGGCGCCGCCAATGGCCAGCTTGCCCGTCTCCTTGACCTTAGTCTGGAAGATGACCTTGTCACCGTCCTTCCACATCTCCGTCACGAGTGTCTGGCCGGGGATGACGGTACCGGCGAAGCGCACCTTGATGTTCTTAAGGGGGCCGAAGCGCTCGTAAACTGCCTTGCCGGCGACACCGAAGAAGCAGAGACCGTGGAGAATGGGTGCCTTGAAGCCGCCCATCTTAGCAAAGGCAGGATCGACGTGGAGAGGACTGTAGGATGGTCAGCAATTTGAAAAGAGCAATAGAGTTCGTAGCAACAAAGGGTCTTACTTGTAGTCGCCGCTCAGACGGTACAGCGCCGCCTGCTCCTCAGTCGTCTTCTCCTCGACTACAACATCCGGGTGCCGCGAAGGGGGCTTGTTGGCCGCCGTGCTGGCACCACGGTCCGCCGGCTTCTTCTGGCCGCCGAATCCACCACAGCCCCTCAGGAATACCGTCATCTCGTTGTAGAAGATGGGCTCTTTGGTTTCTGCGTGAACCGTCGTGATGCCGCTTTTGACGATGGCAGCGTTGCCCTTGTCAACAACCTCGAGAAGCTTGCCGGTGGAGACAAGCTTCGCGGCAGTAGGGATCGGATACTTCTTAATCTCGAGGTACTGCTCGCCGTGCAAAAGCATCATGGGGGAGAAGTTGGGGACGATGTCGTCAAAGTTGTACGGCATCTCCGTGTTGAAGGGGGGGATGACGCCAAAGGTTGGGATGACTTGGAAATCATCGGCGCCCTCGAAGACATACTTGAGTTGGTCGCGCTTGGCGCCGATACCCAGGTTGTAAAGCATCACGTCACGCTCTTCGTATTGAAACTCGGTGCCTTTGCCCTCGGCCTTCATGGCGGCCCTGATGGCATCGAGGTATTGGCTGTCACCGCCGGAGGCCTCTTGCTACAAAGACGAATTGATCAATAACTGCTGTCTTTCTTTATTTCCCCGCTCCAAACTATTGCTACTTTACAAGTCGCGTCGGTACTGTAAGGAGGTGCAAACTCATACCTTGTTGCTCTTGTTCTCCATGTTCGCCATGACCTTCTGGAGACCGTCTTGTGTCTTCTCTGGGTGATCGGCGCGGCCATCCTCGAAGTTCCTGATGGCGTCCCAGTGCTTAAGAACCTCTTCGGGCGTCAGGGGGACGTCAACGGGGAAACCGTGACCGCCACTTCGCTGCCAGCGGGTCTGGCCGACCCAGCCGCTGCCAACCTCGTACAGACCGCCAGTGGGGTTCTTGGGAACCTTGTCGCTGGACAGGGCGAGGACAACAGGCGCAATGTAGTCAGGCTTGAAAGCCTGGACCATCTCCTCGGGCATAATGGTCCGCGTCATCGCAGTGCCAGCGTTGGGTGCAATGGTGTTGACATAGATGTTGTACTTGTAGCCCTCGAGCGCGAGTGCGCGGGAAAAGCCGAGGATACCGCATTTCTAGCAGGTGTCAGTCAATTGGACTAAAAGAGAGGACTATACAAGGCTTACCGCCGCGGCATAGTTGGCCTGCCCGAAGTTGCCGTAAATACCAGAAGTAGATGTGGTGTTGATAACGCGCCCATACTTCTGCTTGAGGAAGTATGGCCAGGCGGCCTTGGTAACCTTGTAAGTACCGCGCAGGTGAACATTCAGGACGGGGTCCCAGAGGCTGTCGTCCATGTTGTTGAAAGCCTTGTCGCGGAGGATGCCTGCATTGTTAACGACAATATCAATGCGACCGAAAGCATCGATGGCAGCTTTGACAACTGCATCGCCATCTTCTGCCGAAGCCTTCACGCCGACGGCTTTGCCGCCCATCTTTTTAATCTCGTTCACAACATCGTCGGGGTTGGCCAAGTCGTTGACAACAACAGTGGCGCCGTGCTTGGCGAACGCCAGACTGTAGGCACGACCGATACTAGGACGTGTTAGTTGCGATTCATCCTGCACACTGCCGCGGAACTTACCCGGCACCACCGCCGGTAACTAAGGCAACGCGACCGGTGAAGTCAACCTTCTCGCCCTGTTCATTGGGGCCCATCTTCATGGACTCCTCCAAGAGGGTCAGGAAGTCATTGGGGCCGGAAGGGTACTGAGGCTTGGAAAAGTCGATAGCTTGGTCCCACTTCTTGATGACAGCGCTGGGAGTGTAGCTGTCGTCGGCCTTGAGGAGAAGGCCGCTGGATCTTTCCCAGCGCAGCTTGGCAACGTGTCCACCACCAACCTCGAAGATAGAGCCATTCTCGTCGGTGTTATCCTTATGTACCAGGACGGCGACAAGGGGAACAACCCAGTCGGGCTTCAAGATCTCCAGCACATCGGGCGGCATCACAGTCTGGGTCATTCTGCTGGCGGCTGCCCATCCAGTTAGCTCATATGAACCCCGGCCCTCGCTCCGCTTGCCACACGTTGCGCTTACCGATTGGTGCAATGACATTGGACAGGATGTTGTACTTGGCACCCTCCTTGGCCAGTGTTTCAGTAAAGCCAACCATGGCGAGTTTAGCAGCTATGTAGCACGTTAGCACGCCGCGGCGGTGCTCAATTGCATTCGTCGATCGCGACACGTACCTGAATAGTTGCATTGGCCGAAGCTGCCGAAGAGACCGGCGGCTGACGCGGTGTTGATGACACGGCCGTACTTTTGCTTCCTGAAATGGGGCCATGCTGCGCGAGCGCACTTGTATGAGCCCCTAACGTGGACCTTCATAATCAGGTCCCAGTCTTCATCCTTCATGTTCTTGAAGCTAATGTCCCGCAGAATACCAGCGTTGTTAATCAGTACGTCGATGCGGCCGAAGTTTTGAATTGCCGTCTCGATGATCTTATCGCCGTTCTCGACCGAATCGTAGTTAGCCACGGCTTTGCCGCCGGCAGCCTTGATCTCGTTGACAACGACATCAGCAGCCTGGATTTGGCATGGGTTAGTCCGCGTTTGACTTGAGGGAATGCTGCTGTGTTGGGTCGTACCTTTGTTGAGGTGCCCTCGCCCTTGAAAGAGCCTCCGAGGTCATTGACGACGACGCTGGCGCCGCGGGAGCCGAAGAAGGTGGCATAGGCCTTGCCCAAGCCGCCGCCGGCACCCGTGACGACAACGACTTGGCCGTCGAAGCGCAGCTGACCAGCCATTGTGTATGAAGAGTTGGAGGAAAGGAGGGGGAACCGTCGCTAAATGAAGTACGAATGGTAGTGGAAATTCCAGCTCTCAAGAGTATGAGATGAGGAAATGGAAGACGGCTTAAATGTTCGCGAATTTGATTAATGGGATGGAAGGACGATTGATCGTGGAAAGAAGGGTGTTTGGTTTTCTAACTCAGCACGTCCGGCAAAAGTGTCTTGAGTGGCAGCGTGACGGTCCACGGATGCCGCAGAGAGAGCCGAGGCAGCTTCTCCATCCAAAGCCGACAAAGAACGCTAGTACCGAATAGGACAAGACTAAACTTCACATGTTACTTTGGCCGTGGGTTTGGTGCAAGTCTCCATGAGGTCATGTGGGGAAGATGTCGTCTCCCCCGCTGCGAACCCCATGTCACATGCCCCCAGTCAAGGTGAGCCAGGCCACTTACTATGTACAGCGCCGCCACTCAGCTGCGCTGCCCAGCCTCCGCTCGGCATAGGGTACGTACTGCCCCAGCGGCCGGCGCTGGCGACCAGCCAACCCTGGGGTACGGGTGACCCCAACTTGATCCTTGTGTCCTTGGGGGTGCTGCGTGCTCAGCACGAAGCAACACACCGACGTGGTTGCGACGGGATGGGTACCGCCCCCTCCTCCAACTGATTGGCGGTGGACGGCAACTAAAGTCTATCAATCTCCCCTGCCCAGACTGGTTCCCTAGGGGGAGATTTAGCCTTGGTAAGAATTCGGGTATCGTAACGTCGCACGTGTCGAGATGCCATGATTTTTGCCGATGCTCTCTATCTCAGCTTATGTTAATTTCAACCGTGTTGTTGCTCAAGAGCCAACTGTTTATTGGGTGCTTGAGCGCGATGTCGTTTATCGCGAAAAACACATGATCCCAAAATCCCAGCTGACATGGACCGTCAGAAAGCCGACGCTAGCGTTTGCTATGGCGTATTGGTGCTTAGAAGCTCGAGCTGCACTTACAGCTATTCAGCTTGTAATTGACGGAGTCGTTGCTCTTCAAAGCCCTAGGATATTGCGTACATACTGTTCGGAGAAGCCAACTTCCCCAAGTGGGCTTGTCAACATGCAGGCCGCCCCGCATTCGGCAGGCCCCTGCCGGATCCTCTCGGCGCAGGCGTCTCCCACACGGTCCTAATTCCCGGCTTCGGCCTCCCGAATATCACGCACTCACTCAAGCCCCTCACCAACCGCGTCGCCGACAGCCTCCGTAACCTGGCTCTTTTGTAGGCCGTCACTGCCACCGCTGTCTCTACCAACCGCCACAATGACATCTGCAGAGCCACAGATCATCGACGATAAGAGTCCCCTTTGTATTCCCTTCATCACGGGACTATTGGAGAAGCGTTCGCCGCAAAATGGAGAGCGCCCATTCATAATCGGCCTCAATGGTGTTCAGGGCGTCGGCAAGACAACCCTCGTCAAAGCACTGGCCGAGACGCTCACCAATCTCGGCCACACCACGCTCGTCTTCAGCATCGACGATCTGTATCTCAAGCACGAGGACCAGGTCGCCCTTGCCCAATCTCACCCGGATAACCTCCTGTTGCAGCAGAGAGGCGAGCCTGGGACCCATGATATGCAGCTTGCCCAAGCCTTCTTCGACAACATCACCAGCGGGAAGCCCGCCAAGGTGCCGTCATACGACAAAGCAGCCTTCTCCGGTCAAGGAGACCGTCTTCCTGAGAGCCGATGGGCCGAGGTGAACAGCCCAGGCCAGCGAAAGATTCAAATCGTCATCTTCGAGGGTTGGTGTGTGGGCTTCCGTACTCTGCCGGAATCCGAGGTGGAGGCCAAGTGGAAGGGCCCTAGCAGAACACTCCAGCAGCACAAACTTGAACACTTGCTGCTGGTGAACGAAAAGCTCATAGGTTACGATATCATGACCAACCTCTTGGATGTATTCATTCACATCGATGCCGAGGATACTCAGTACGTCTACGACTGGAGGTTGCAACAAGAGGCCGCACTCCGACGGGAAAGGGGCACCGCTATGACTGACGAGCAGGTTCTCAAGTTCGTTGATGGTTACTACCCTGCTTATGAACTATTTTCAGACACAGTCAGGAGAGGAATATTGCCAAACAGCCCTGGTCACCAGATGAGACTCGTGGTCGGCAAAGACAGAAGAGTGAAGGAACATTTTGTTATATGAGGGCCATCCTATGAACGGGCCTTGAGCCTGAGCCCAGTTCAAGTGTATTCGCATCTCTGAAATAGAATAACAGACCCCCCTTTGCCCATACGCCAGTCATAACAGACATTAGTCTTAAAGTCGTCAAGAGTCGTCGTCAAAACTGTTGAACAGTTACCGCATGCACATTCCAACGCCTTGCTCCAGCCCATCACACATCAGGCGAGCCCATCCGGCAAAAACGATACATGCCGAGTAGCTAATTACTGCGAAATCTTACTGAGGCGAGTGAGAACAATCAAATCTCCTTATCGGCAAGCATGTCTTCGCCCTTATGCTTGATTTTGTTGAGCTTTTTACTGATGTTCTCGGTCCGGACACGAACGGCTTCCTCCCTGCTTGCTATCTCACTCTCAAAACGGTCAATCATATCCCGCTTGTCCTTGCGGGCTTCCTTCAGCTTCTGGGCGACCTGGCCGAACTGTTCGAGAAACCAGTCTCCCGAGCGCTCCCAATCGCTGACCGTCATTTGCCTGAAAAATTCTTTCTGGTCGGCTTCACGCTGACCCTTGAAATGTTCAATTTTGACTGGAAGGCTGTCACCAATCAACGGAACCACCGGACGGAGCGACGTTCTGGCTGGATCGTCGTCGAAGGGCTGCTCGCGCAGTTGAGAGTACATCATCCCTTGAAGCTCATCATCGGCGTAGTCGCAGCTGTCACGGCGTCGCTTTCGAGACTTTTCTCGATGGTCGCGGGTCGTAGCCGGTAGCGGGCTCTCCCAAAGTGCCAGCCCCTTTTTTGCCATTTTCTTACGATTGGCTCTAGGAGTGCCATGGTCATCCTCACTGACAGGATAGTCACTAGCAAGGCTGCCTTGAACATCTTCATCATCCTGGAAGACTGTTGATCGCCGAGACTCCTGGGCCTTTTCTTTTCTGATAATACGCCTTAGGTTTTGCTGAGGCTGGGATATCTTACGGGTCGGAGAATCGGAGAAGACTTCCTCGTCATCCTTGAAGACAGAAGGCTCGTATGACCTTCGCACGGTTGTAGCGTGGAGAGCGAGTTGTGGGGTGCGCCGTCCGGGTGTATCGTATGCGGGCTCGCTCGAGTAAGCATCCTGACCTTGTTGGCCAATCCGTAGAGGAGGCATGCTGCTGTGTGTAGCAGGTAGGCTGTGTCCCTGACCATTGCCGAGCAGCCGCATTGAACCATCTTTGCCAATGATGAACGGGACATCGCCATCCAGCGACCGTTGCATGTTTTCGAATGTAGATCTGTTGAGTATTGAAGCAGCCATGGGAATCGTGGGCGGCGGGGAACGAGGACGATTGATGATGCCAACATCGTATCGTTCGGAGCGATGGGTAGTAGGCGAGCCGAATTGGCTATCGATCTGAGACTCTGGCCAGAAACCAGTCGCATCGCTGCTTCGTGATTGTGCGCGCTGGCGCTGCTGTCTCGGTGGGGAGCTATCAGGCAGGTCGGGGGGGGCCGACATCGGTGCAAGGAGTGGTGGGTGAGGCAGGCCAGACTGGTTCGGTTGGCGTATGTGTGAGGCTAAAGCTCTAGCAGGTGCGAGTGGCTTGGGAGCGGGCAGCTTGCCGGAATCAGGGACTGACTGACGAGTGGGCTGAGCAAAGAGCTGAGGCGCGTCGGGATGCTGCTGATTCGACTGGTTGTTGTTTCCATTTGGAAGGCCCGGGTCCAGGGACGCATTCCTGGCGTACTGGGCCATTCGGTTTGCGCCGCTACTCGGGGGCATGGTGCTGGCGGGTGATTCGGATCGACCTGCGAAGGGTGGATAGGGACAATGCTCGGTTGTCTATTCTACAATTTAAGAAGGAGCGATTGTAACGGATCGTTGCTTGTGGTGGTCAGGCGCTCTACGCTGCAGGTGCCATGGCAACAAACAATGTCAACATAACGCCAAATGGTAGCAGGGGTGAGATTGTGAGTTGGCGATGGGACAAACTTTTGCGGCCTGTTGCGGAGCAATGTGAAGTGGTCGTAGAAGCTGATGGCGGTCCTGGCTGACGCGATGCAAGTTGGGAAGTCTTGCTGACGAGGCATGACCGGATAGACACATGAACCTGGCTCGCTCCTTACTTTTTTTCGGGCGCCGGTCCCGTCGCGTCGAGAAGGTCTGGGTCGTGCTGTTGCGCGCGTCAGGGGTCTTAAGCACCTGTCCAATTACGTGTAGCCTGTGCGGGACAGTCGCAGGGGCATGGTCCTCTGGGTTCATTGTGTTGCCTCGTACCTTATCTAATCTTACTGCTCTCCTGCCAGCCATGATGCTGCGAGGTCCGGTACGTTTTCTGATCCAGCTTTGTTATTGCCTTCGTCGTTTAATTGACTTTCCATCACATATACATGTTACAATTCTCTGCGGTTCCACTTGAAAGCATAAATTCGAGAGGGATAAGGAGAAGGACGATGACGATAACGGCGACAAGATAGGCAGAAGACAAGAGTTTGCGTACGGCTTCCTTGAATTGGCATGTTGAATGACCTTAAACCCCTCTCAAAGAGTCTATCGATTGTAACCCTCCAGTCAATCACCTAAACAGTCACGAAACTGTTGAGGAGAGATTCGTACTTTCACCAGCGTCATTGCCATCATCGTACCGCGACCAGACGTCTTTTCTCATGAACACCAGCGGCAGCTTATGAACCTGCCCGCTTGTGGGGTGTGTCCACGGGTATGCTTCATCATCGCGGTGGAAGACGGCATACCCCTGGCGTTCATACCATTCCTGAGTGCTCCGCAATACCTATTCAAACAACGTTGACAGACTGCCAGAAACACTTCATTAACCATGGTTAACATAGCACCTACCTTTGGAACCTCCCAGCCGCTGTCAGAGTAAGACATCTTAATGAACTCGGGCGACAGCTGGAACTCCTTGGTGGGCGTATCTAACGTTAGGACTCTCGCCTCAAAAGGCAACTCAATAGCGAGGTTCTCGAGCTTTTGCATGGCCGACCGGCCCAGTCCACCTTCCTGGATGGCCCAGGAGATGTAGAGGGATGTGACCCAGAAGACAACGTCCGCCGGCAATTCCAGCCTCATATCCATACCAGGCTTCATTTCCAGAGAGATATGACCAACTGGCACAAAGTCTTGGAGTGTCGGTGATCGACGCGTTGTCCTTACCGAATCGACTGTGTCCTTTAACGGCGTCTTCTCGTTTTGGTATCTGGACAAGTGTGTGTTTAGAAGTTTATCTGTTTTTTCATCTCTCGCAAGAGCCTCCAAAAATGTTGTGGTATTAGCCGCAAGGTAGCACAGCTGTAGAGACGATCTCCAACTCACAATCCACCACAGAAACTTCGTTCCCTTCAGCTACCTGTCCTTCCATTCTCCTACTTCGTCGGCCCGCCATCCACAAGCGAGTCTCTGATCATACATACGTTGGACGTGTTCATCAGACCTTGCGTCCCATGGGACCAGCTTGACTCTGTGTGTGGTGTGGGTAGCCATTCTCGTCACGCTCTCTTGTTCGTGATGACACCAAAGGCTCGCAGTGCTGCTAATGGGCAAAGTGGCTGACGTGGGCGACAAAAGCTGATGTACGTGTGAACTGCTGAGAGAGGAGACTCGCACTACCCCTCAACTGACTTGAATTTGCGATGCGGCCCGATTTCAAAAGAAAGGCAGCAGGTGTGAAGAACTGGTAAATTGGTGCTCGAGATCGAAATTATAAGCAATGCAAAGATAAGCGCCCTGCCTACTATCAGCAATCTGCGCCTTAGGGTACCTATGCAGTGCTACACACAAGTCCCTCGACAAAGCCCAGTTCCTGCTTTCTGCCCCCTCGGGTACCAAAGCTATAAGAGTCCTGTCAGCAGCAAGGTGTCAACCCGGGTCCTTTTAGATTCCTGAAACCACCTAGCCTATCAAGAGACCCTTGGTAGCCTCCATGCGAACTGCCGCACGCTGACTGGTGACAAGGCTGCCATTGTTCTCAACCCCAGACATATCCTCCATGTGCGCCCGTTGGTTCTTGGTCTATCGTCTTTAGCTCTACGGTGTAGACGGAACTGGCCCCCATTCTCTCTCCACAACCACAATCAGATCCTCTCCACTTTCCTGACCACGCTCTCCCCAGGCTTCATATAAGCCTTCACGTGTTCTGCTTTGTCCCGTTGACATACATACACGAATGGGTTGATCTCTATGCAGAGGTACCATCTCCCAAGATCTTGGCGTCCTTTTGGCATCATCTGACGAGAAGGCCTACCGCCCTAAGCCTTCTCCTATCATTTCCATAATACCGCAGTTCCTAGGCTCCCTCCATGGACCGGCCTACTCGAACTAACAGAATACTCTTCTTTATTTTTTTTGCTGCCCTGAGCAGTTACTACTTCCCTCCTGATTGCGTCCCGAACAAAACCCGCCTCTAACCTGTGAAATGAAAGCGGGCAGCTTCCAGCTGGCCAAGGCCCTCTCGCGGGGCCACGTACCGCCGGCGATAGGTGTTGGTGAAATCTTGGAGGAGCGCCCTCACCTGCCTAATGGCGGTAGCGTCGTTGCCACTAAGACGTTCCTTAATCTTGGTCATCAGTCGGTTCGCCTCGACGGGCGTGATGGTGCCTTGAGGCAGAAGCTGGATGGTACGCTCCACCCAGGTGGTCGTCTGGGCTGGGAAGAGCTCAAACATTGCCAGCAAGACGCCGCTACCGTCGGCGAAGCAATCCCGAGGAAACGTGATCATCATGCCGGCCATTACCTGCTTGACCAATTTCTCGCCGTGAGTCGCAAGCAATTTGCTCACCACCTCACGAATGTGAGCAGCCACATCCGGGGGCAGCACGTCTGACGTCGCAGGGTTGTCGCCTCCATACGTGAGAAGGTCGCGGAGAAAGTGCAGCGTGGCCGACAGGGGATCGCGCTGCTCCAACGTCAGAGCGTACACGGCAGCCTCGAAGATGGGACCCAGAAGCTCCGATGGAATCAGCTTGGCAGGGTAGTAGAGAAGCGCGTCAATGAGAAGCCTGAAGAAGTCTTCAATGACGTCGGGGAGCTCGCTGGGCTGAAGGTCGCTCATCACCCGCAAGAACGTAGTTGTCTGGGCTTCGAAAAAGGCGTAGATGCTCTGGGTGATCTCTTGGTCGACGTGCTCCCGGTCCTCGGAAAATTCTCTTAGTATGGCTGCCGTGACCCAGAGAAAGGCGCCTTGCCGAGAGGCAGCGAAACCGCCTGCCAGCTTGTTGGCCATCTCCGGCAACAGGGGCGTCATTGCTGTGCGGTATGAGATGATCATGTTGCGCCAGCAGCGGCAGATTCTCTCGCAGATCGGAACGAAACCCATAAAGTTGTCCAGGATCGTGGCCAGGACCGGGAAAACCTCTTGCCAGTACTTAACCGCAGGATTCTCCTCGCCAGGACCGACGTAGGGCACGACAATCTGTATGAAGATGGTGATGAGCTGGAGGTGGTCTATTATCATGTTAGCCTCTAACATCCTTTTGATACCTTGGCTAGACTTACCTGCGAGCGCCAGTTTGCCTTTGTCGTCGGTTGCAAGGTTGGCTTTATTCATCAATCGCTGAACCAACGGATCGCAGTAAAGCTTGAGAAGCTTATAGATCTCGGCAGGTGATTGCACGGCAACGACACTGGCGACACCCTCCGTGATCTCTTCCTGACTCATGTCAGGAAGCTTGTCGAGAATCTGGTCGTAGAATGTCTGCATCTGGAGAACCTGACCACTCAAGAGCTGCTTGCAATCAGTGCAGAAATACTTGATCGCCATAGCGGCAGCTCTGACGACTTCCTTCGAGTCCGTCTGAAAAGACGTGACGATGTAGTTGAACTGAGGCTCAAGGTACTCGGGATGGGCCGAAGTCCACTCCGTGTACCGACCGAGAACCATGATGGTGGCGAAACGGAGTTTTTCGTGGCTGGGGATCTGAACGAGGAGGGGCATCAGCTGCGGCAGCACGACGTTCTCCTCCTTGTCGACCATCTGTCCCATTGCGCGCATGGCGAAAAGGGGTGCCTCCAATTCTTGCCAGTGCGGGACCGAGGTAGCCGAAGCCTGGCCGGCGTACTTGTGCATCCAAATCTTGATGGCTTCGAGCACCTTTGTGAGGCAGTCGGTCACACCCATCACCTCGCAAGAGTCCTTGAGGGTGTCGCCCATCTGGTGTCGGAATTCGCGGAACTTTTCCTCTGCCTCACGGTCGCCGTCGAAAAGATCCGTCTCGCTTGCCGATTCCGACTGCGGGTATTCCAGGTGCTTGAGCAGAATGTCCACGAGCTTCGAGTAAGTCTCCACAAGCTGCAGTCTTGCCTCGATGTACCGCTCCAGGACAATGTACTGCTTCAACTCGTACCAGAATTGGAATGTATGCTCAATAACATCCCGATCCTTGTCTCTGGCGGCGCACTCAAGAACCGCATCGACAAGTGATCCAAAATGACCGGGCTCGCGAGCAATGGCCACAACCCAAGCTTCGGCGGCCAAGGCAAAGATCTTGGTGAGAGACTTGTAAACTTCGGTGTCCTCTTCCTCAACGGCCGCCGCGATTCTCGGGCGCAGAGCAATGACTCGGGGAAGGAGGACCTGAATAGCCTCCAGATTGTCGTCCACATCCCGCGTTTCTCTGAAAATTGTGCACAGGCACTCCGCTGCCTCCTGCGACGCCTGGTCGTTGCCGACGGCGTTGAAAATGACATCAAGGAGGGGAGAGTTCACAACGGTGCTGACAGGGACCTCACGCAACCACGAGGTGATGCACTCCATTAGTTGAGGGTTCTGGGCTGCACTTGCTGTGACGGCAGGTTAGTATTAGTCAGTGTTGAAAAGGAGGCGGTATCGGAGACGTACCAGAGGACTGAGCATAATTGATGAGAAGCTGCACGACCTGATCCGTGTTGTCACCCAGCAATTCCCTGGTCCGCTGGGAAAGCTCTTCTTCCTATCATTGCCAATTAGACTCTGACCCTTGTTGATATCGGCCCAGGAAAACCACGTCGCGGAAAGTAAAAGGCCGGTCGGTGTTTCCGTGATCCACGTACAGTTAAGGTGATTTTGCGGCCTTCGGTCACCTCCTCGGGCAGCACGCGCAGGAAGTCGAGGACGGCGGCATGGCTCTCGACGCTGTCGCCGAGGGATGAAACCACCGTAGGAAGAACATCCTTCCAATCCTTCATTTGGACCGCGAGTGTCGCCAGACAGACGCAAAGCTGAACTCGTATCGGCTTAGGACCCGCAGCGAAATGTTTGAGGAGGAGGAGGATTTGGTCCCGCAGTGCAGGCAACTCGGTTTCCGATACTTGCGTTGCCAGGTCGTAGGTGATCTGAGGAAGCCGTCGTTAGTTCATTGCCATACAAGATTTCGCCTCAATCATCTACCTTTCCGCGCAAAGTAATGGCCGCAAAGAGCTTGGCCTCGGGCTCGCCGTCCGACTGGAGAATGCCGATGATGGTGCCCCAAGCATCTTTCTATAGGGTTCGTCAGCGAATGGTCATCTCTCACGAGCCGTCGTGGGTCAGGGTATCTGACAGATTTCTGGAACCGCTCCAAGTATGCGTGCGCCTTCTTCTTGCTCTCCTGCTCTCCTCCTCGCATGGTTACCATAGCTGACAGCACATCGTTGGGCGCAAAGGCCTCCGAGGCTCCATTTGTAGCCATGCTGAAAGACCAGAGGAAGATATCGCCAGCGTCAGTCGTTCTGGGTGCGGAATAGGCGGCGGAGGCGATTTCGAGAATAGGTGGCAGTTGCAGTACAATACGGCGTCGCGGTAAGGGAGCCGCAGGTGCGGTGGATATAAAGGAGGGTTGAAGTCTCGGGCGGCAGAGAGAAGCCGTCAAATCGATTTCTTTTTTTGAGAAGTAAGGAGCGTTTGGCTGCTGGGGTGGCAGTTGGAGGCTGTCAAAGCAGTGCGCCGACGACGTCCAAAATTGGCAGATGGAGGGGGTGGTGGAGGGAGAGGTCGCAAAAGGAAAATAAAACGTCAGTCAGGCTGGCGGGACACAGGCGGATTAGAGCACAAGGAACCCATTCAACCTAACTAGAGCCGGCTAAGACACTTTTAAGGTAAGGAAGAACAGGCGGCAGGGCCTGGGGCCTGGCTTGCCTGGTCCCAGTAACTTGGAGCCTGTGGCTTGGTCAACGAGAGGTACTTGGGCTGACCACCCAGGGCCGCGTGGCGGGGTAAGTACCTTGGGCCAAAAGAGGCATTCTCGATGGAGAATAGGTACCTGCAAAGGGGGCCTGTCATTCAAAAGACACGGTCCATAGTTGGCCTGGAAGTATTGTGTCACATTGGCCCGACCGAGTCAATGGGACCCGCACGGCTGGTGGAACATCATTTCGCCAGCTCCGCTAGAATTCTCCCAGCGGCTGACCGAACCTTGAGCAGCATCGCATCTGGTGGGTGCTAGGCATAGTCGCCAGCCTCAACGCGGTCCAGTTGATCTTTCGGCCAATTACCCCGCGACTTTCCACCGACCCGAGCTGACGCGACTGACGAATACAAAGGACCACGACACGAGCGTAGGAAGGTCTACAATCTCCGACAACCCCCGAACTCCAGCCCATTCTCGCGAAAATGACCGGACGTGGAGGCGGCGGTGGTCGCAGAGTGCTGCTCCCACCCATTAACTTCATCTTCAAGCTCCTGCAGTATGACTTGGTCCCCATCAGCTCCATTGCATGAACAGCAATTTGACTAGTTGACAGGCAACACAGCACCGTTCAAATTTGGCTCTACGAGCAGCTGTCGATCCGAATCGAAGGAAAGATCAGGGTGCGCGAGATTCCCTCGAACGTTACGTACCGATACAATGGCTGACTTGGAGCTGGACAGGGTTTCGACGAATTCATGAACCTCGTCATCGACGACGCGGTTGAAGTGAAGCAAGTTACCAAGACGAACCCGGAGGAGAAGCGGAGACCGCTGGGTATGCTGCTCCAAGGCATTGTTGTCATGGACGGATTGTGCTAACATGCATCCAGGGCAAATATTGTTGAAGGGCGACAACGTGTCGCTGATCCAGAGTTTATCAAACTAGAGAGGAACCGAGTTGAAAAGAGGATAACGCCACGGCGGCGAAACGCATTTTGGGGCGATACACAAAAGTTGATACCACGGATTTGTCACCATTAAGGCAAGGGTAGGCGGCGTATAGCTATTTGCTGCGGGAACTGTCTGCCGGCCTCTTGACCTCTCCGTTTCCTAGAACCAGGCCATGTAGCTGTTGGTCATGCTGCGCCACGGGAATCGGGCCATCCGAGGGCTGGGAAAGGAACTGCTCCGATAGAGCCAGGCCATATAGCAATACAGGATGCTTCGGAGCCGACAACTCATTGTTGTACTTTGACGTGTACCTTCTGATGAAGAGATCATAAAATCCCTTTCCATGACCCAGCCGTCGCAGTGCGCCTGAGTTGCTGTCTATGTCGAAAGCAACTCCAGGAAGTAGCATCAAGTCCAGGAAAGACGAATCAGGCGACTCTGCGCCAGGTTCGCCAAGGACCCTGTCTCTCTGGTTCACCGTTTTTGGATCGATGCTGGGAATACCCCATTTATCTGGTTGTAGTGACTCGTAGTCGTACAGATCGCGCAGACGCACCATGTCCATGACCCTGGGAGGCGTTTCCCCCGGCGCAAAGGGCGACTTGTGCAGATACGGGATGTAGACGTCTTTCCCAGCCGATAGAGCATGGCGGACAATAGCATCTGTCTGAATTTCACCTGAAGGCATCGAGAGAAAGATGCTGACCCTTTGCGCCTCGACGTAGGGTCTGAAAGTTTTGAGAGTCTCAAAAACGGTTTGGCCTAGAGGCAGGAGGGGAGTGATTAAGACTAGACCAGGAGGGCTGAGCTTGGAGTATCACTTACTCTGGGTCTTGACGGAATCATGGGCGATACCAGCAAGCCTATCCTTCATCAAAGACCGCAGCTGGTTCTTCGCAACCACCAATGAAGCCATGACTGCTGTTGCTATGCGCCGGTTCTCAGCTTCAGGTGGTTTGGTTGAGATGAGAGAAACTCCGCCGCAAAGAATCGGAGCTGCAGCGTGATATGACCAAATCGTCCAGTCACGATGAGAGCCCTCAAGAGAGTGCCTCTAAGCTTTTTGTGAGGTGACTTGACGATGGACTGTCGTTAATACTCTAAAAACAGGTAAGGGTGTATCTCTTCTATGATAATTGGCTGTGATATGTGCATAACGCGATACATGCATCAAAGCAGAGAACTAAGATCGAGGACCCCCAGAACCACCCTTCCGAGTGCCTTAGTTGCTAGCACCTTGAGGAATGCAAGGAAACACGAATGGCAGGTTGACTAGTACGAAAAACCACATGTAAATGTAAAAAGAGGGTTTGCTTCACAGTGGCGCACTTTCACGTGACAGCCTCATGACAAGTCGCGTTGCACCTTGTTCCCCCATGCATGTCTCGATGCATTTGACATCGTATTGTAGTGTATGTACCAGGTAAGACTGCAGGGTTATGTACCTCTGTGCGTATTGTTCCATCAGCCAGGCGCGATAGAATCCCTGGAAGTACTGTAGTAGCTCGGCAGTCTCCACTGGTCGGCAGAGAGTGCAACGTCGAGCGTGGCGAGACGGATTATATTCTAGACGTTCATTAGGGAGATTGTGTTTCTCTGTTTGACCCGACCATGCCAATTCGCTCGCCGAGCAACATCCCATTCATATAGTTGCCGAGGCCTGGTCACATGTAGTCGTGGCCACACTAAGTATTGCATACCCTGACGAGCTCGTCCCCAACAACCAAAAACATCCAGGCCGACTACTCCAGAACCATGAGATCAGACCCAGGGTATGACTTGTGGGTGGCTGCATCTATGACTGAGCTCGCGGAAACGACCGATTGGATGGCGACCAAGGTGGGTGGGATGAGACAGTACCCATACAGCTCAATGCCCCGTTTGGCAGCTGCTTGAGGAAGCCGTCAGCACGCAGAACAAAGCTCCATGCGTCCGGGAGGCTGCAAACAGACAAAACGAGAACCGGTCGTTTGAGTTCTGTGCTTATGCCAAGTAATTGGAACGGTGGCTATGTCGGTCACTGGCAAGGCCACGCGACACGTAGACATTCGGGGGTTGGCCTCGGGGTTTCTTGAGGTCCGCTTGTGATTGTTGTATGGAATGGTTGGTTGGACAATTAGCACTGACAGCTCAGCCACATTTAGAGTTCTCACCTCCACAAAGATCGCGCGTTGCATGGTGTGCGTCTGGCAGATCCTGTAGTGATGGCTTGCAGCACTAACATTTCCTCATTGCATGGCGAAGCCCTATTCATGAAGCAGAAGCTGGTAGACAGGGGACCAAGACGTACGAATACGGACAATTGTTCTGCGTAAACAGATGTAATGGCATTAACCCCCGAATTTACGTGAAAAAGAAGAAGAAGGCACAAGAGAAAAGGCAGCCCCCCCCCCAAAGCGACTACAAGCATGAACGTCTTCTCTGATCACCGAAATGACCCCAGTTTCCGGGGGGTGGAGGTTGGGTTTCGGAGGAAAAGTAAAGAAAAGGGACTACAGCGAGCCACATTGATCGATTTGCATGGAGATGGGGGATCATGGGTGGATGACAAGGAGGATGCCAGACGTCGGCTGGCCTTGGGGCTGAAGGGCGGCCAGTGAGAGGCAACATGTGCATGGCGCCAAACAATTTGCCAAGGCGCGGCATTCCGCTACGTTGCTTCGTGACTCCCCTGACGGCTTCATCGGGGTTGGGCCGGTTCTTGGAATTCGGCGAGGGTTTCCTGTCAATCTAATTCAAGTTTCACAGGATTGCAGGGGCGAGGGAGTGCGGCCAGACGATAAGAGAAACTTTTAAGACAGGAGCAGAGCCCAATATAAGAGCCCATGGCGTAATAGGCGTTACCCCGTCGTGTACTGTGAGATTGGCCTGAGAGATTCAAGGTTTGCGGTGTTGGAATACGTTGAAAAAACCACCCAACAAAGAGTGAAACTCTTGTGGTCGAATTTCCGAAAATGCGCCCGGTCATCGTGTCCTATTGAGGGTTCTAAGAGGCTTGGATTGGCTTGGGACGGGAGAGTATAATTGATTGCTCGGTGAAAGAACCTGGGGAGACCAAGGTACCCTTTTTGAGATGAAATGTATACTCAAACGTTCCATCGGCTGCCCGAGACATTTCCTCCGGGCACGTCGCCTTGGACGCGGGCTTGACAGGTGAGGCAGACTTACAAGACATGGTGGGAATGCTGAAGAATTGAAACACCCAACGCAATGGAGGCGGATACAAGACCTGGGCCAACAGGGACACGAGCACACGAGGTGGCCCACTAAGGCCAGCAAAAAAAAAAAAGACCAGACCAGACGATTGATGGGTCGCTCAGATTGCTGAACGCACCTTAACGACAGGACACTGGCACATCCCGTCATCGAGACCGCCACCTGCAGCGTTTATTGTATGTCTGTTCGCCAACGTTGACGGGTGGAGTCCGTGTCCCGCAGCACCCTGCATCTCCACCTCACTCTGCGGTCATCTCAGTGAGCGAGCCCACAATCTTTCGGTGGCCGTCCACTGTTTGCTGCACGCTGCACCACTTACAGACAGGTACAGGTACGTCCCATCCCGTCCTTCGCAGATGCCTTGCCTACACGTGTAGGACGTCAGCTAGCCAGCCAACCACGGAACCACATCATCACATCAGAGGACTCGAGTGCAGTACCCCGAGAGGTCTCATTGCGTAAGGTACCCATTTCTGCCTGCACTTCGATGCCCCGTCTGTGTCTGTAGCTCCCCTCCCAGGGCTCTGTGAAGTCGGTGCCTCACAGCACTGTTCTGATCGACAGCAGGGCAGCATACACAAGAAACGCCCGCAGTACGCACCCTGCCTCCCTCCAATTGACGAGACCCCAAAGACACGCTAGCTGATGTGCCTAGGCCGAGGTACCTAGGTACCTGCCTACCTTAGCTCACTACCTACCTAGGTTGACGACCGTGGACCTTGAAGCTCGAGCCACAGACACCATTGTGGAGATCCACTCGCCCTTCAAATGCAATGGAACTGAAAGAGTACTGTTGAGCCAAGATTTCCCCCAAGCTCCCCGTCTCTGCGCCTCTGCCTCTTGTCTCCGTTGCCATACCATTTGCCTTTCTCGCCGCTTGGTACGCCGTGGTACGCTTCCCTTCCCTCTCCGTCCTCCTCCCCTTCCCCTCGTCTCAAATTCAAATACCTTGGGTTGCCCTGCCCCTACCTTCCTCCACCTCGCCCATCTCTTTTACCCCTTCCACTCCAACTTCTTCTCCCCCTCTCCGACTAGGCTAGACTGACAAAGCCGTTAAGCCGCCTCAAGCAAGGTAACGTCGTCATCGCGACCCGTCGCTTCCGTGCTTCACCGTCGCGCTTTCAAGAGCTTCCCCAGGCTTCGATACCACGGTACCTGGCCAAAACAGAACAAAAAACAAGAAACGTAGTTGCGCCGCTATTCCCAACAGACGCCCAACATGGCTCAGATTCCGCCTCCCAAGTCAAAGCTTGACATCCTGCCCAAGATGCAGGCAAAGGGTCCCTTCTCCGTCCCTTCTCCTGGCGTGGAGGCCAAAGACGGCGAGACCGTGCCGCGTCGACTGCCCCAGGCCGTCCCCGACTTGATCGCCATCCCCGGCGGCAACATCACCACCACCTACGAGCTCGTCAAGCAGAGTGCCGAGAAGTATGGCAACGCCAGATGCTTGGGCTCGCGCAAGCTGGTCAACACCCACCGCGAGACAAAAAAGGTCAAGAAGATGGTCGATGGCGAGGAGCGCGAGGTCGACAAGCAGTGGACCTACTTCGAGCTGAGCCCTTACGAGTACATCACTTTCCATGAGTACGAGCGCCTTACCCTCCAGCTCGGTGCTGGTCTGCGCAAGCTGGGCATGGTCAAGGCTGATCGCGTGCACCTCTACGCCGCCACGAGCTCCCACTGGTTGGCAATGTCCCACGCTGCTGCCTCGCAGTCCATGCCCGTCGTGACGGCCTACGACACGCTCGGCGAGCAGGGTCTGAAGTACTCCATGGTTGCGACCTCCGCCAAGGCCATCTTCCTCGACCCTCACCTGTTGCCGACTCTTGTCAACGTCCTCCAGGAGGCTAAGGACATCCGCTACGTCATCTGGAACAACCAGAACCAGATCCAGCAGACGCACGTGGAGCAGCTCAAGTCTGCTCACCCCGAGATCCAGATTCTGAGCATCGAGGAGCTGCGCAAGCTAGGAGAGGAGAACCCCGTTGACGCTGTTCCTCCCACCACCGATGATCTGTGTTGTATCATGTACACCTCTGGTTCGACCGGTACCCCCAAGGGTGTTCCCCTGAAGCACAAGGCCGTTGTTGCCGCTGGTAAGTTCAAACAACCCTTCTGATTACGCGCAGCAAGGCACTAACATTTCACAAGTTGCTGGTGTCAGTGCCGTTGTGCAGCCTTTCATTGGCCCCGGCGATGGCCTCCTGACCTACCTCCCGCTCGCCCACATTCTCGAATTCGTCTTTGAGAACGCCTGCATCTACTGGGGTACAACCATGGGATACGGCAACCCCAAGACCCTGTCTGACAACTCGGTTCGCAACTGCGCTGGCGATATCAGAGAATTCAAGCCCTCTGTCATGGTCGGTGTTCCCGCGGTCTGGGAGACGGTGAAGAAGGGTATTATCGCCAAGGTCAATGCTGGGAGCTCTCTTGTGAAGACTTTGTTCTGGAATGCTCTGTCTGCCAAGACGCACATGATGAACGCTGGTATCCCCGGTTCTGGAGTGCTCGATTCTGTCGTCTTCAAGAAGCTCAAGGAGGCGACTGGTGGACGTCTCAAGCTCTGCATGAACGGAGGTGGTCCCATTGCCAAGGAAACCCAGCAGTTCATTTCGATGGCCATCGCCCCCATGATCATTGGCTATGGTCTTACCGAGACTACGGCCATGGGCTGTCTGATGAATCCCCTGGAGTTCAATGTCAATAACATGGGTGCCATGCCGGCATCCATCGAAGTCAAGCTGGTGGACTTCGCCGAGGCCGGCTACTACGCCACTAACAAGCCTAACCCTCAGGGCGAGGTTTGGATCCGCGGACCCTCCGTTCTGGAGGAGTACTACGAAAACCCAAGGAGACGAAGGAGGCCCTCACTGAGGATGGCTGGTTTAAGACCGGCGACATTGGCGAGTTCGACAGCAATGGCCACCTCAAGCTCATTGACAGGAAGAAGAACTTGGTCAAGACGCTCAACGGCGAGTACATTGCTCTCGAGAAGCTCGAGTCCATCTACCGTGCTGCTGCCGTGGTTGCCAACATCTGCGTCTATGCCGATGCCAACAAGGCTAAGCCTATTGCCATCATCGTTCCCGCCGAGCCGGCTTTGATCAAACTGGCGGAGAGCATTGGTGTGAAGGGCAACAACCTCGAGGAGCTTGTGCACGACAAAAAGCTGCAGGGCGCCGTTCTTAAAGAACTGCAGAACGCCGGCCGAACAGGTGGCCTCTCTGGCATTGAGATCATCGAGGGTGTTGTCATGTCCGACGAGGAATGGACCCCGCAGAATGTAAGTTTCTACCATCCGTTGCTAGGGATAAGACCTAATGACTAAATCGACCTAGGACCTGGTTACGGCGGCGCAAAAGCTTCAGCGCAAGAAGATCTTGGAAAAGTACAAGGACGAGGTTGCCAAGGCCTACGGCTCGTCCTAAGTATCGACGTGTTTTCTTCTTTCGATTATGTATTTTCGTTTACCATGTGCTTGGATCTTGTAATTCTCCCAATTTTGCGGCAGAGGATGGGTTGGCTACGGGACGCTTGATATCCAGGAGTACAGTGTGCGCGGTTCGTCTTTGTAACAATGACAAACAAATCCGTCCGTATGCGGAGGGACTTTTTCCTTTGGGGAGCGGGGGAGGCTTGGGTCTAGCAAGCCTTCTTCTTAATTCAGCTCTTATTTTCGTACGTCGTCCAGGACCCACGCCAAACTACGGACGACGAGGGTGCCGGTTGGCAATCATCCCATTTGGTCTGGGCGGGCCGAGTCGTGGGTCTCGGTGGTTTCGATCCGAAGATGCCGTGCCGACGGAAGCCTCGGGGTGCCGTTGTGACACTCTAGGTTGCCCGACCTTTACTGTGCGGAGGATTCTTCCACGATTCGGCGGCGCTGGTCGTTTCTGCCACGCTCGCTGTCTGCATGATACCGATACCGGGTCGACCAAAAGCCTCTGTCCATCACCAATTCTCCTAGCACATGGCAGTAAATCATTGTCGTCCCATTCCTGCTAGCCCTGGTAATAATAATAAAAAGTTGCACTTTGATCACTGCGCGCAGCTCGCCTTGCCCAAAAACAGAGAACCATGAAAACAGACCCCGAGGGCGAGGGAGCTGACGCGGTGGCCTTCAACCCCGCCCCTTGCCGCTCCTCCTCCATTTACACTAGGCCATCGTAGAGAGAAAGCGCCGACACAATGGTCTCGTCGCGTTTGCTCCCCTCCTTGAACTCTTCCATGTCCAGGCTTCCGTTCTCGTCCTTGTCCATCATGCGGAAAATCTTGCGGACCCGCTTCTCGGGGGTGTCTTCGTCTTCAGGGAGCTTAACCATGGAGCCAACCTATTATAAGAGGCGATCTTGTCAGCATGATAGTTTCTGGTTTGGAGGCCGGACGGGGGTGGATGGCCTCAAATCGCAACCGCGTGCCCACAAGGCGACAGCCAACACAAAGCTGCAGCAACAAACACACAAGGAGCACACTCACCATCTTGTAGATCGCCTCGACGATCTTGAGCATCTCGTCGTAGCTGATCTTTCCATCACCGTCGATGTCATACAGCTGGAAGGCCCAGTCGAGCTTATCCTCCATCTTGCCTCGGCTCGTAACACTTAGGGCGCAAATGAACTCTTTGAAGTCGATACTACCGGACTTGTCGCTGTCGAAGACATTGAAGACATAATCTGCAAACGAACTCGGGTCTCCAAAGGGGAAGAATTGCCTATATATCTTCTGGAACTCTTCTTTCGTGAGCATGCCCGAGGGACAGTCCTTGAGGAAGCCTGCAGACAGTCAGTTTCTACTCAGAATCATGATATGCAAAAGGACGCAGGTCTCTAGGATGCACAATGAGAGTCTGGTCTGGGAGACGGTGGCTGACATACCCTTGTACCATTGTTGGAGCTCCTTCTTGTCGAAATGGGTCGACTTCTGCAGTTCAGCTAGCTGCTCCTGGGAGAGCTTGGACTGACTAGACAGTGACAACGTTGTCAGCAAATATTAAACATTCAAGGTTCCGATAGCGAGCAGATTCGAAGCCTCTGTTGCCTCGAGGGGGGCAAATAGCTACGAAACGAGGCCTCCCCGCGACTCCATTCTGACAGGCCGTGGGGTCGTATAAATGCGGGAAATGCGGCTGGAGGACGACTCACGATTTTCCCATGGCTGTCTGTGAGCCTCGAAGATTAGGTTGAGTGCGATATCCAGGGAAGTTTTGGTAAGATATCGGGGATGCGCGTGGGGGCGATGGACGGCGGCCTGAGTTCGTCGCGATGTGCGTCGAAGGAGAGAAAAAGCAGTGTCGTCGCCTCGGTACAGATGGGTGGACCGAGCCGATGCCGGCAGAAGGCGGCAGGCTGTCAGGTAGGTCGTTGGGGAGAGGCTTGAATCTAGTCGGACTCTATTGTGTGTGCATGTATGTGTGTGCGGGAAGAAGTTGCGAAAGAGGACGATGGCGCGTGGGCGACGACAACGACGACGAACAAGGCTGGCGACAGGCAGGAGGACTGCGGCCGACAAGCGGGGGAGGGGAAAGAAATAAAGGCCCCAGGGTGCTTTGCTGGTGGTGGTGGCCAGGAGGCGCTGGGTGCTGGCTCTGGCTCTGGTGCTGCCGGCGGGGGCCAACCTTGAATGATGTACCTTAGGAGAGGGAAAGTTAGCGGCGGGCAACGGGGGATTCCACCTGTACGAAAGAAGTACCGTAGTAAGTAGCGATAGGCACCTGGGGCCAGCGTCCACCCGGTACGAGGTGCGACGGTGGAGAAAAGGGAAAAGGGAAGCCACGTCAAAGGCTTCCAAGACACAGATAAACGGAGAATGAGGAGAATTCTCCGAGTGCTTCTTTAGGGGGCCAGGATGTATGGCCTGGTGTTCCTTTCTTTTGGTTGGAGTAATTGGACGAGAGCGTAATAGCAAGTCGTCCGTCGCAAGTTGCAGGTTTGTAAGTTTACGAGAGTAAACAGACCCCAAGTCCTAGAAGTTGCATGAAGTCAAGTCAAATCAACGAAGACAGAGGTAGAGAAGAGAGGTAGAGGTTCAAGAGGTACTGTCCATGTGCGAATGTTCATCTACAGCTGGCCAGATAAGGCGAGCTTCTGGGTTCCCTCTGCGCTATTGCAGAACGTGACACGCTGAGCTCGAAGAAGGGCGGGCGAAACAGGCACACATGCACACGGGCAATAGGCGAGGCACAGCACACTGCAGTTCTGGGGCCTCCTGCTGCACCGCATCATCGAGCCATGTACAACACATCGCCTCAACAACGAGCATTGAGAGCTTGAAAGGACGGAGCACCAATTCCAGGCAGGTGGTTGAGCAGCTGGCAGCTCGGCCAGTCACATCGTAGCCAATGCCTTGCCAAGCGCGGTACATGCTGAGGCGCCTCACACAAGTAGGTATGGTGTCTTTCTCGCACCCGCCACCTTCCGCATCAATCAGGTCATTGACTTTCCACTGCGGGAACCATTGGCCTTCGTCATCCGCAATCCCTCATGTGCCATCCGTCGTTTATTCCACTCGCGGACCTTGGAAAGCTTAGGGAAGCAAGCCCATTCGCAAACGAAACATCTTAGGTCAGTTGCCCACATTTTTGTCACTTCTTGTCAGGAGAACAGTCCGTTGTGAGGAAACGGAGTGTGTAGAAACCAGAATGCGACGGTAAACGGTGAATAGTAGCTTGGACAGCTGTTAATACATATTTCCTTGGCGCTCCGCCCAATGGAGGTCGGCCGAGGACTCAGCCCCCAATCGTTAATCTCAGGTCGCCTCAATGGATGTGGTGAACAACCTTAGGATTGGCACAGGGCCATTAATAATCTCGGACTAAGATACGTACCCATATGACGTTACTTTGCCTTTTTTTTTTATACGGCGCCTAGGTACGTACCCTGTCGCTATTCCTGACCCTCGCCCGGGTATTCCTCACAGCTGTCCTCCCGCCCTTGCCCACATCACGATCCAATGCGACAACATAGGCAACGGTTTCTCACTAATAGATTCTCAGCCATATCAGCAGACAACGCTGTTGGAGGCCCTAGCAGCAAGGGCACCAAACATCATCATTGCTGACGTTGTATCCCGGACTGGAGGAACAGGCTTCGATAAACTAAACTAAACTAATCACAACGCACGATGATGGGATGGATCTCCGTCAGGCGGATGATTATCGGCGCCTAACACCGGAAACTTCACTACGGAAACACTCAAACAAGCAAACCACTCATCACGCAAAGGGAAGCTCCTTGGGCACGCCTCGGTCGTCGCACGATGAAAACTGCCACCAGTCCTTATGTTTGGGGATAATGAACCACCGAAACACCACATTCACGAACCACGGCAGCGGAGGCCACCACGCATAAACACCGTCTTCAAACGTCGTGTCTCGGTTTGTGAGAAGAAGTGGAATCGTCGTCGTCTGCCGTGCCAAGGAATGTCAGTCTGAGTCTGGCCGCAATCGATATCGTCTTCACGCTTCGTGGAAGACAAACTGAAGCAGGATGGCAACATGAAGAAAAATCTCACCTTGAGGTTAGGGTCGTCTGCTTTCGCAAGCAGCTCCTTCTGGAGCTTCTTGAACCACGTCTCCCAGTCGCAGTCATAGTCTCCGAGCTTCACCAGCGTGTCGATTTCATCGCTCAGATGTTGTCGCAGAATGGGCATGAACGAGTCGATGATGCCTTTAAGTCTCTCCCCGCTGTACGCCTCCTCGCCCTTCTGCACTTTTTCCAAGTAGCCCATATACGCATGTAAGCCGTCGTGGAAAGCTTCGTGTTGTGCAACATTGGCCTGCATCAGCCCCGGCACGCCCGCCATCTTCTCGATACTGGGGAAGACAGTTTCTTCCTCGGTGTGGTGGTGCTCCTGCACCATTCTGGCCCACTCAATTGCATACGACACAAAGTCTTGGACGTCTTTGGGCGACTTCTCCACATTGATGCACTGCAGGTATATCGTGTTGAGGATTCGGATGATGAGGTTGTGAATGATGGTCATTTCCTCAGCCATGCTGTTTGCCCCCGCTGTCTTGACGCCTTTCTGTTGGCGGCACACGCTTAGTTCTTGCACGACACTATCACACATATCGAGGGCATACCTTGGAGCCAGCGCGAGTGCTGCTAATGAGCTCAAAGGGCACATTGGCCCATGGCTTCTGGCCCGACATTGTTTTCGAATTTGATTGCGCCGTGTGATTGTGAATATTCCCAATAATGGGAACACCCGAACACGAACAGCCATGGTGAGAGCCTCATCTTATAGAGATGCCCTTATAGAGATGCCCGGGCTCCCTGACATGCTTCTGGTAACCCTTCATCCAATCAACATAGGATACGCGGATCCTAAACGTAAGCCCGATGGAGTATGGCCGCTGGCATTCCCAAGCAGATAAGATGATGAGGATCCAGAATGCTGACGAGAGCACCGAAAACAGTTAGGGACCGTTGGATCAATTAGCCCAAGCGGGGGTCATCAACCCTGGTGCTGACACCTGAGCCCGCCACGCATGACATGGCCAGCCTATCACCGCGTCTATATTGCCATGAACTCACTCCTGGTTGGGATTAGTCTTATCCTTCGTCTGACCTCATGCTGAAGTGGTGATCGCGACGTGGAACGGCTATATGGAGGTTCTCATCAGTTTTTTGTCACAGTCAAAGCGATTGGCTTTGAGTACGCGAGACAGCCAGCCTGCTTTCCCTACCCTCGACAGTCTAGAATTGCGTGAAATTACCACTCGAAAGGAGTATTGTGATTCTCAGTCCTGCCATATGAACGCCCAGGCTACAACAACAGACTTGTCCCTGCCTCAATAATTCCGCAAGGAAGGGTGGTGATTACAAAAAACACAATAATCCCATGTCCATGTCTCGTAAAGCTATGTTTCCTCCCAGGCCGATCCGTCTGTCCCTCCTCCTTGGTCTTTGTCAAAACAAACCCCAAACACAAACACGCCTTCGCCCGCGATGTAATGAAAGCATCCCCATAAAGTCAACCCCCTATCGCGTCCCTTATCCGGCCATGCTTTTGGTTCCATTAACCGACAACGGCCTTCATGCTCAAGCTCTCCAAGAAGCCACCCAGATCCTCCTTCTTAACTTCCACCACACAGTGCTCGAAGCTGTCTATACGGACGCGGGCGTTGGTTTCGGCCACAACTTCCTGGAACGCCGATCCGAATCGATTCAGACCGTAGCCCTTCTCCTTAGCTTCTTCTTCTTCTTCTTCGTCGTTCTCAAAGTCCGAGCCGTCGGACGCCTCCGACTCCGTGTCGAGCTCGTCCTCGTCATCATCTTCCTGTCCAGTGACCCGACGGGCGACCCGCTTCTCCTCGCGGACCTTCTGCTTATTACGCTGCGACTCCTCGCGCAGCTTGGCCTTTTCATCTCTGGCCGCTTGCCTCTTCCTGGCGGCCTCGCGGTCAAGAAATGTGGTGTCCGGGCCGCCACCGCCGCCTGTGCCGACCACTAGGTAGACCCCGCGCTTGTCGTTGAGGCTGGCAACGACTAGCGGCGTGCCGCGACCTCCGTGAGAGAGACGGCCAGTAGTGTCCTTCTCTTGCTCTACGAGAGCCTCGCCAACCCAGAGAGCAAGCTTGGTGAGTGCGGCCGGGTGACCGAAGACGGGAACGTCTGGTCCCTCCTTGACGACGCACATGCGGAATGCCCGCAAGTGCTTGATCTGCTTCTTGTTGATGAGTGACGTACCCGTGCGGTAGATCGCACGATGCAGGAACTGGGCTGTGGGAAGTCCTGCCTTGAGAGCATCGATACTGTTTGTCGTGTTAGCAGGGTACGGGATGGTTTCTTCATGAAGGCGCTTACTCTTCGAGTGCATCGTAAGCTTCCCAGAACCGGCCAACCCACTCCTCTCCTTGCATCGCGACGATCTCGTCATCATCTACTTCTTCGAACTGAGAGTCCTTGGGTGCTTGAGTGAGCTCAGCAACGTCGTGATGTTTACCCACCTCCAACAAAGCACCGATAACTACGCCAACGTCTTGCGCGCTCAGAGTTGCTCGCCAGCCCCAGCTGCGGACAAATCCCCAACCATCCTTGGCACCGGCCCGGTCCCTCCCATCTGTGTCAACAGAAGGAACCATGTCGTCCAGGTTGTAGAGAGAAGCGTACTTAAGCAGCTTGGTCCGCAGCTCTCGCTTCAGCATCATGTCCATGTGCGTGTAGCTCTGCTTACACTGAACCAGACTGACGCCCATCTTGGCCAGGAGTTTGTGGAGTCGCTTCAGACCTGTCTCGCTCCACGTCTTCAGCCGTGCAAACAGATACGGCGAGTGAAGCATGCTATCGTACAGACTCCAGTGTCTGATTAGGAGGAACTTGGGCTCCGGTGATAGCCTGATGCTCGTGTCTTCGGGGCTACGAGCAGTGGTGGGGATGATACCTGAGCTCTCGGCGGTCGGCGTGCGACCATTGGTAACTTCAGGGGGATTGAGGCGCCGGACTTCGTCTCTTAGTAGTTGGCGGATACGTGCACCTCGTACTCCCATCCAGCCGTTTCCTTGACCCCTATCAGAGTTACGGACTGGAACCGCAATACCTGCAGAGGATCTGCCATAAAGCTCCATCGATGTGACGCCAACAATGGTAAGCCACAACAAGTCGTTGTCTTCTCGGCCAAGCTCTGAGGCCAGCGAGTACATCATTGAGGAAATCGGCTCGGAGAAGGAGGCGCCGATCTTGTAATACTTGCGGAGAACATTCTCCTTTTCTCTTCGCAACCGTAACAAGCGGCGTCGTAAGATTCTGGCAGAGGGCGCGGGCAGTGGTTGAGCAGCAGACGGAGGCTCCAGTGGGTCACTAGAGAGAACCATACCAGCGTCTCGCAAAGAGACCAGCCCTCTGTGAGCTGGCCGTTGTGGCGATGAGGGTATAGAAGACGACTGTCGCAAGTTAGGGTCTGCAAAGACCAAGGTCTGGATGAAAAACTTACGGAATTGCTTCTTCTTCGCTGGTGTGGCCGGTTGTCAGTGTCGCTGGAGTCGTCCTCTTCGTCTCGATCAGACCAGCTTTTTCTCTTTTGGCCGGCATGTGTAGTTTCTTCGAACAAGTCCTCATCCTCGGCATCGTCATTGTGGTCATCTCCCAAGTCCTCGCCATCATCATCGACTTCGGGCATGTCCAGCAAGGCTAGGTACGCCTCTCTTTCCGTAGTAAGGTCGTCTTCGATGTCACCGTCGTCGAATACAACGATGCCGCCCTTGCCAGGCTTGTAAGCGCGGTCGATCCGGCCAGCCACCACTCCTGCAGGGCATCTCGACTGTAGGCTGGCCCCGTCCTCGACAGCGGGCTCGAGAGGAAAGCCACCAAAGACGTTGCCCAAGTTCCACGGGCGATGAGAGTCCATAACCCAAACTTCAACGCCGCCAAAAGTCAACTCCTCTCCCTCAGGTTCCAGTCCCAGCAAGCTTCCCAGGTCAACCATGCCACCGACCCCGAGGCAAACAACAACTCCTCCACTGCCTCCTTGGGTCTCCATCATAGGTTGGACCAGGTCCCGGCCAGCGCGATCGAGGTCAGCATAGCCGGAGACGGGTTGGATCTTGTGAGGAATGTAGTCGTGCTTCAGCAGACGGGTCAGGATTCGACATGCGCAGAGGGCATCGGGTTCGAGCGCAACGAGGACGAGGACGGGAGGGGAGAGAGGATGTCGCGTGTTCTGTAGGTGGAGGTAAAGTTTGGATATAAGGGACCGTGGAAGATACATGGCTAGGAGGATTCGGGCGTGGTTCCACGGCTTGTGTCGAGCGGCTTCATGAGATGCAAAAGTCGGCTCTCTGGTGACGACGCGGTTTGGGCGGCGGAGGGGTTCTACGGCGGGTGCAATGGCCCACGCCGGCACGACTCGGTAACAAACGCGGTGAGCAGTCGAGGAACACGGCGGTGCAGGTTAAGAGGTGAAGGTCCTGTAGGATTGAGGCCGTGTGACTGAGTGGAAAAGTCTTGTGTCGTCAAGTATCGAATGTCAAAGGGACGAAGGTGGGTAACAGTAAGTATGGTACCTCATAGGAACGTGAATTGAAGGTGTGCGCGGTTGGGTGTGGTGGACAAAGTAGAGTGATTGAGCTGGAATTGGCTTGACGCGAACGCGATTTGACGCGACTGTCTGCACCGCGCCCTGGTCAGCAAACCTGTAAACGGCGGAATCGAGATGGATCCTCGGCCGAGTGCACGGGCCATGTGTTCCATTTTGCTTTTCATGGACCTAGACCTTCAAGGCTCAGAATCCAGCGTCTATCAGCATTTACGTAAGCAGATTAGACCCGGAGAAAGTGGTAGCGGACTCGGCTGAACACGACAGCCCGACAACCCGACAACACCATACCTACTGCAAGCATTGAGAAACACAGTGTTATAGCCAATGAGCACTGTAACAGTGGGCTGATCAGACACCCGTGATAAGCAAATGCAGCTTCACTGAGCACTAGATCCACGGTCCAGCTGCGTCTATTCGGAGCCTCGAGCATCCAACCGGCGTTATGATCCATTGCGAACCGCCCTTCATTTCTATTGGTCATGAGATTTCTCACCTCGGACACCACCTGTGGTCGCTTTACCGTTCCTCACTCTTGACAGTTCCATCGGCTCTGTCTCGCCAACGCAGCTCATGAACAGCTGCATCCACTTCATTCCACTACTCCACCTTGGTCGGCTAGTCTAAGGTGCGGAAAACGAAGCCATTGGTTGTTCACCATCCCTCTCGGCTACTTTCCAGTACATGCCTGAAAGCCTTGGCTGGCTGGACATTACATTACGGGCACAACGGACTTTGCCTTCCAGTTTTACTACAGCTCGTTTGTGCTTCATGACAGCATTTGGTTGGAAAAGGCGACACGCTGTGATTCCGCCCTGGTCTGCCGGAATTGGGATCTTGAAAGCTTTAGACAACGCATACTGTCACCCCTACTAGCATAACCTCTCGAATCACATCACCCCGCATTGCCTTACGACGACCAGTACCGACACGCCGTGAGCCTGCTGTGACCGCCATCTTTGTAGTCGCATAAGCAGACTTTGCAGGCCGCTTATGCGCGACCTCCTCGAAATGGCAAGGACTCGCTTCCCTGCTTGTCTTCATGAACAAATCTCCCAACGGGACAAACAATGAAACCTGCCAGCAGAGTCTCTTCCCCCTCCGCGTCTCCTACGCCCCTTGTGCTGGTCCGCCGCCCATCTTCTGGCGGAATAACTGGTTTGTTGTCTTGCAAGACAGGCGCCGTCTCGATTCCATCCTCGCGAGTCTATAAGTCTAGGGTCTTGTCATCGGATCGGCTCAACATCCAACGGTGCTCAACCGAACTACCACTCGCTCCGACGTTTCTAGATCGTTGTTGGACGTGGATTCGGACATTTCCCGCTCTCCAGCCCGTTGGCACCAGCTCACCTTGTACCACCCCTGTGGGCGTTTCTGGGAGACTTGCTGCAGCTCGGCCGATTCTAACAACTGCACAAAGGTGGCAGAGTTATTGGTGATTGGTTTACCGCCCTGCTGGTACGCGAAATTGTTCCTAGTACCTGGTACTATCGTCCCTCTCCTGTGGTTTCTCTTCTCCATCGTACACACAGGTTTTTGTCTCGTTCAGTACTGGCGGATAATCCACAACTATTACGTCCAACTGATCGGCCTGCTTCACAACTCATCGTCTGCGGCCTGGCGACGTTGTGAACCATTGCATCTCTATGTTGTCTACAGACTATACGTCCAATTGAGAGTACCCTCGGTCTGCGCCGCACAGCCCGGCAGTCTTCCGCGACTGCTGTACGGCTCATACTTAGAGGTGCCGCACGAACGTGCGATAAAGTGTGCCTCGTCACAACGCATCTGCTGCGCTTAGTTTCTCTGCACAAGGTCCTCGATTCACTGAAGAGCGAAACCGTTAACCTTCGTTCGGTTAGCCCCGTGCTAGTCTACTGGAAACGTCTGGTGGTGGTCCACCGCTCACTTAGCCTCCAGTATCGCCACAGCATACTCCGAGTTTCCTCTCGTCGTTGCCCACTTCGAGCGGCTGTCTGGCTTCAGGACCTTCGTTCGCGAAGGGTGCTGTCATGCACCTCGTTTCACGGTCGTTGATCTCTTTTTTAAGACTGCGTCTGACCTTATAGAAGTTCGGGGATCATGAACATGTCCAGCAGCGAGCCTATAGAGCCAGCTCCACCAGACACGTTAGACGAGGATGAGTTTGAGGGATCTGACTATGGAGAGTCACTTGCGTCCTCAGGCTTCACCTCGCTTGCTTCTCGTGTCATGAGACATTCTCATGAAGGCGGAAGGTGCGTCGTCTATAGGCATTCGCCAATCTCGTTCTAGAGATTAAAGCTAAGGTCTGCGTATGCTCAGACGGTACCAATCATTCCTACAGAGCATATACCCACTTCCAAACGATGAGACTGAACAGTTCCGCGAGGAAATGAAGCATCAGCTGGTCAAACGTCTTCTAGATGACAACGATTACCTGTCGCCTATCAGCAACAATCCACAGAAGATCATGGACGTCGGTACCGGCACTGGTCTCTGGGCTGTTGATGGTTAGTTTGGTCAGACACGCTGCTTCAATATTCAATCATCTGACTCTATCAAGTTGCGGACAAGTTCCCCAGTGCCCACGTTATCGGGGTGGACATCTCGCCAATACAGAACTGTTACGCACCCCAAAACGTTGACTGGAGGATTGACGATATTCAAGAAAGCTGGTCACCGTTGTATGCCGACCTCGATTTTGTCCACCTTAGGTCGGTTAGTGTGACCCTGCGGGAGCCAGTCAAGGTCATCCACTCGGCATACGAGTAAGACCGTTATTCTCTACTCTTGCAGACCCTCTACTGATCCAGTAATAGGAACCTCAAACCAGGCGGCTGGATCGAGTTCCAAGACGCCGGCGTCAGGATTGGGTGCGACGACAACACGCTGCCTGAAGACTACGCACCTGCCAAATTCATGGACACCTTCATCCGCACATTCAAGACGAATTTTGGCTGGGACCTAGAGTTCCCTAATATGCTGCCTGAGGTCCTGAAAGACACTGGGTTTGTCAACATCCACCATCGGTACCACAAGCTGCCCATCGGACCGTGGGCCAAGGACAGGCACCAGCGCGAAATCGGTCTTTTCCTCAGCAAAGACGTATTGTGGCAACTCGTCCGCGCTGTACTCGTCAAGTGGCCGCAGATGGGCCTGACCAAACAGGAAGCAGTTGCCATGGAACAGGACATTCGAAAGGCGTTCGAAAACACCTCGTACCATGCATATCTTCCGTGGATCTCCATATGGGCTCAGAAGCCACCCAACTGATGCGTGTTTTGCAATGAATCATGCCTCGGCATCTTAATAGCGGTTGATTTCGGCCTGCGCCAGGACTCTGTCAGAAATCGACAAGGAGCACACCATCCGGATAACCAGGGTGCAATCCTAGGCAAGCCATCAATATTATCTTGCATGGACGCACATATATTCAGGCAGCTGAATGGTGTAGGCCGCACTATGTGCATCATGCAGCGTGGAAAGCCACTGGGGAAACGGATACGTGCACGTCTGATAACATTCGTGTTGGCACGCTTTCTAGCATAGTCAGGCTACCGTCTCCCAATCAGGGCTTGAAAGGCCATCGGCCCCGACCGCGGCCGTCATTGTGAACGGAAAGAAGAATATCGGTCGTTAGGCTGGCTTGGGTTCACCATTGATGGTTGGGCACGTTCAAGAGTCGCGTCTACCAAGCAAGAAACATACCGCAGCTGGGTTTCATTATGGCTTTCTCCCATAAGTAACATACACGTCAAAATACCCATGCCTTCTGATGTCCCGCCACTCTGCGATAACTCTCGCGCTAAATTCCCAGACTTCCTCTTTCCTCCAGCCCATGAAGCGAGTGAACAGGGCCAACGTCATGGACTCGAGTCCGACGCTGAAGTTGGCCTCGGTCCACAGCCCCAGTGTCTTGTGCTTGACATCCCGCGGCCACTGGTTGATTGGCCACTTGAAATGGATGCGTACGATGTCGACAAAGCCGACGCTGGTCATCATCTCCGCCGCCCTGCCGCAAGTATCCAGCAGAAAGCCAGATCTCCTTCCGGCTTCCATCATCAGCTCATTCCACCTGCCGAGATCGCAGTCTGGCGGTATCGTTCCGTCTTCGCACCTCATGGGGAAGTCAATATCCTGGATCTCAAGCCACCCTCCCGAATTGAGGTTGCTGTCGACTGTGTCAGTTATGAAAGAGTGCGCAAACGATGGGATTGGAATGACAGACTCGAAGGCTTGCTGGTGGAAATTCTGCCAATCTTTAAAGGCACCAGTCATCATCATGCTGTGGACATAGTCAAATTTTCTCGAAAAGCTCCATTCCTCCTCAAGGTCGTCAATTTCGTAGTGGACGTTGGGCGGGGTGCTAGCAAGGTCAGAGCTCTGAGAGCAATCGTTTCGGCATCACGGCTTACAAGCCTGGCTGGACGGGTGACAGGTCTACGCCCACCACCTCGGATTCAGGGTGTTCCTCTCCTTATGTCGGATTAGTACATCGCAGAAGGGTTTCTCGTCGGATCCCACCAAAGTCTATTGCCCAAAGCCCTATGCCGCACCCAACGTCCAAGACCCTATGTGGGCGATGAACCGGGGCAAAGTTGAGCTTATTCTCAAAAGTAAGCTGGCAGAGCTGGTACTGAAATGCTGTCACGGTCAGCAGACAATGCGAACAATGTAGTTACGAGGTTAAACGTACCCTGTCGGTCGAGTTCTTCCTGTTGACGGATTGAGTCAGACCTATTAATCCATTCAAATCAACGAGCAATACATGCCTGATCCGTAGGCAAGACGTATTTGCCATCCTTGTATCCGTGATATATCCGGCCATTCTCCTCGCGCGCTCGTACTATGCTTGACCGAAGCGATGCAGTGGATGATGGCCAGGCCTCGGACTGCCGGCTGTCTTAGCTACCTTCTTTGTCAAAACTGCTTGAAGGTTACCTCTCCTAGCGCAGAGTCGACGTCACTCTCCGGAAGGCTCTGCATCTCGGCTTCCTCGATCTCCTATAGCTGCTCTCAGTTATGGAGATTCATAAATATTCGGTGTTCCTAGATGGGGTGCTAACATTGTCCGGCTCCAGATCAACGCTGGCTCTGTGTGGGAACATGGTGTCTACTTGATGCATCGCATCGGGCACTGTTTCCTCCATTTCCATACTGAGAGAGTATATATTGATTGTGGCGGTTTGTTTTTATGTCAGTTCTCTCTCGGCTCGAGTAATTAAAATGGAATTTTCGGCGCAGCAAGTCTCCTCTCTTGAAGACAGGATTTTAGTGAGAGGTATCGGTATGGTATTTGTTGTCCGCTGGCTGCGTACTCCCTGGACGGATCCCGGAGCGAAGAAAGACATGGGTAGCACTCGCGCCATCGAGGGGAGCGGCGCGGCTGCGGTGCTCCTCGCGAGGCGACACAAATGAATGGCCTCCTTGTCGGCAAAACCTTTGGCACAGTGTCACCAGAGTTCGTGTATTGTGATTGCTTCTCTCCTACTCTTCATTATGGGGCAAGCAATCCATGTCGGTAAGTATGGAAAGTCACGAGTAAGCTATTGAGATGATTCTCGTTGATGGGCTTACCGTAGAAGAAACAAGTTGCTCTGCACTTTACCCGAACAGAAGAAGGTGTTAGTACAACAGCATACTTGGTATCTGGTGTCGTCCTAAGTGACCTTGTCCATCATCTGTCCAGACCCGAATGAGAAGCGGGGCCATTTCGACGTCCGCTATCAGTATCGGGGTGTTATGGAAGCCGTGAAGCGTGGCATCCCGTCATGGGTCGTCTCGCCAAGCTTCGGATTCTTGCATGCCGTCATGCAGTTCGTCGGGTGGACAGACAAATACGGGCGGGCGGGCGTGTTGGCGTCGCAGCCCGCCAGAACCCTCCGTTTCGTTGTTCAAGAATAGTTTAAGAATAGCAAACAGTGGAATGCTACGATAAAGGCAAGGAATACAGGACACCTTCCGCCGCCTCTATGGCCGCTTGCCCGAGCTGATTGATTTCTTGGAGCACCGGTGTGACGAAGCCAAAGTGGTTGTGATCCGACGGACAAAGAAGACAGCGGGTAGCAATCAGACAAACTACCTACGAGGGATCTCACGTCAACTGCGGCCGACTGTACACCTGGTTCGTCGTAAACCTGCCGCGTAATGGCTAAGTTGGCCGATTAAGGAAGCAAAGTCCGACCACGTCGCTCTTGGATGCCGGGGAAAGGAGCTCGAGTTGGGCGCCGTACGAACACAAAATTCAGTGCCATAAGCAACCTAAGTATATGATTCCAGGAGTGCTGCTGGCGCCGTCCCCGCGACCTCTATGGTTTGGTTAGATCAGGAGGTTCTCCGAGATGCCATTAATGAGTGTACCTGGCCAGGGTGTCTGTCATATTTGCCTCTGACTGGTTCCCAGTGTCATGCAGGCCCTGGTGGAATACTGCATATGATAACCCACAATATTCCTGGAATCTCAAGAGAAGTGAAGAAGAGAGGAGAACGCAAAGGAGGGCCGAAGGTTGGTTGGGCCATGAGGTGGTCAACGAGAGAACCCCCGTCCCTGGGCTCACTTCATGAGCACTGCGTTTCCATCTCATCTAACACCTCCCTCCAAGAAGGCCAATAAGGTGCAGCAGTTGTCATTATTTGCTCATCGGCAAGTCGTATGGGCAAGTCGGCTTTGATTCCTTCCCCAGGTTTCCACAATCGCCGTCCTTGAGGGCTACTCCTCCGTGACTTGGAGGTCCTTCCCGCGGCCACCCACTTTCAACAAAGGGAAGGCGCCCTCCCCCGCCCACTTGCATTTACTTCTACGTGGTTGCCCGCCTTGGAGAACGTCCATACTATCGTCCAAGCCCTCGCTGTCTCATTCGGCCGGTTCTTTTCTCTCCTCCTTCCTCTCAACCTATTCGACTCATCTCAATTCATCGCAGGATAATTTCGCCGCTTCCCATTCACCCAAACATCGATCGTCCTCACATAGAAACAACAAAAACCGAGACATGATGATCGCCGCCAACGAGCTCTCGGGCCGCGTCGGGAACTGGCCCCTGCTGCTTGTTACGGCTCTCCTCATATATCTTGGCACATTGAGCTACCGTTCATGGCACCGTCTCAGACACGTCCCTGGGCCACCAGGTGCCGCCTTCAGCAAGTGGTGGATGCTACGTAACACACTGGGTGGGCAGATGCATCTCGCTCTCAAGCGAGCCTGCGATGAATATGGTAAGTAAGCTCTCGTCGTTGAACTGATACAGATTAAGAAACAGCGCGGATGCCTAGTCCTTGTTTCTTTAGCCGCCCAGGCCCAGCCGTGTGGGTTGTGTCTAAGGAGGAGCAAGGCCATTGTTTCAACAGGCTGCTGACAGCGAGTGTTGTGCTTCAGGTCCTGTCGTCCGCATCGGCCCCAACGACTTGGTAACCAATGACTCGGAACTCCTCCGTCGCATGTGGGCGGTCCGCTCGCCATACTGCAAAGGCGCCTTCTATGAGGCCATCAGGTTCGACCCTACCAGAGATAACCTCATATCCATGAGGGATGATCACGAGCACAATGAGCTGCGAGCCAAAATGGCCATCGGCGTGAGTCGTCTCCCTATTTAAACCGGTTGTGTCTACTGATTCTGTTGAGTAGTACTCGGGCAAGGAGAACGAAGGCTTGGAAGCCACTATCGACAGACAGATACAGGCCTTCATCAGACTCATCGAGGACCGATATGTCTCAACGACCGGCTCTTTCCGTCCCGTGGATCTGTGCAGAAAGGTCCAATACCTCACGCTGGATGTCATCACATCGCTGGCTTTTGGCTACCACTTTGGTTACGTCGAGCAAGACGCCGACATCCACCAGTATATCAAGATGACAGAGCAGAGCATGCCGGTCATGATGACGCTATCCGTATTCCCACAATTGGCAAAGCTGTTGCAGTCACCCCTATTCCGGCGCGCCATGCCGTCGCAGCATGATCGTGTGGGTTTCGGCAAGTTCATTGCGTGAGCAGCCTCTCCCTCTCTTTGGCTTTCGTACAGAAGCACTGACGGTTTGGTTTGTTTGCTTGATGATAGTGTTGCAAAGAAGGTAGTGGCAGAGAGATTGATGTCGGACATGACGGCGAAGCAGCGAGACATGCTCGGGTCGTTCCTCGCACACGGCCTAACCCGAGAGGAGGCCGAGGGCGAGACACTGGTCCAGATTATGGCCGGATCCGACACAACAGCAACAGCGATTCGAACAACGATGCTGTATCTGATGACCTCTCCATCATGCTACTCGAAGCTCGCCAAAGAGGTTCGGGAGGCGGCCCAGTCGGGCATCATCTCGTCACCCATCACCAACCGGGAAGCCAGCGAATTCCGTTACCTCCAAGCCGTCATCAAGGAGGGCCTGCGGGTTTTTCCTCCTGTCACGGGTCTCATGTCGACGACAGTGCCAAAAGGTGGCGACTTCATGCACGGCATGAGCATTCCGGAAGGCACTGACATTGGCTGGACGGCGTTTGGCGTGCTCCGCTCCAACACAGTTTACGGTCCGGACGCGGACGTCTTCCGGCCAGAGCGGTGGCTCGAAGCAGGTGAGGACCAGCTCAAGGTCATGATGGCGCAGTGGGAGTTGGTTTTCAAGTACGGCAAGTGGCAGTGCTTGGGCAAGACGATTGCGCTCATAGAGTTGAACAAGGTGTTCGTCGAAGTGAGTTGTGCCAGAAGCGATACGAAACGCATGGGTAGATGAGCACGACTAACTTGCGCAAGCTCCTTCGTCGATTTGACTTCTCCCTGGTGGACCCGGCTACGCCGTGGAACTCGTTTTCGGCAGGTATCTTCATCCAGTCTGGCCTCCTGGTGAGAGTAAGCAACTTCCGTTAACCAGAAGGGAGACGGTTGGATGCCTGTCGATGAAGTGCAGTGTCTGGAATTGCTATGCAAAGGTCTACAACGGGTTAACACCTATGGCTGAGGCAGATTGAAAATAGAGAGTCCCTTTGTTGAAGTTGACGTACCAGCCGGAGCAGATCAAGATGCAAAGGAGACAAAGCCTTAATCACCGGCCGGTTACTCAGGGGCGGTATTGTTGGCTCGAATGCGAAGAGACCCGAGGCCAAATCCTAATGGCTGTGGATTTTGTCCATCAATCTCGGCGAGTCATGCGGGTTGAGGGGCCGAATGTTGAGTTTTCTGCGGTAAATTGGCGTTGGGAGCGACTTCTCGTTCCTATAGATCCTACGGCATTTCAACGCATTCGTATGAAAGCAGTCTGGTCAGGTAATGGGAGGCGATTGTGATGGTCGAACCGAGGGTATAAGCGCCGGAGCAGCCCCGGTACGCTGCAAGATGGTGAAGCTGGAGAAAAAGACAACCCCCGCAAAGAGCCATCCTCTGGTCGCCCCAACTTAGCTAGACTGGGGAAGCGGACTCTCCCCCCAGCAGCCAACCAACCCAATCGAGCCCCTAAACCCGCATGCTTACTGCACGACAGTCGGCCCGCAACGCTGGCCCCCCTCCCAGACCCGAGCCTGAGCCTGCCGCAAGGCGCTGTGCTGCTCTACTAGTTGCCGCTAGCAGACTCGAGGCCTCGCGGCGAAATCAACCAAATTGACTTTGCTTTTGTAATTGCTCGAGAAACATTGCACATGCAACAACCTTACTCTAGAACTTCCACCGTGCAGTGAACGAAATGAGGGCTCCACGACGGGGCCCCTTTCCCAAATGCTACCCAAGGGTCCCATCCCTGTCCCAGCATAACTCCGGATGAACCGACAGGGGTCGACAACCCGATGATGCCAGTAGTAACTATTAACAGCTACTATGATTGTTCTGTGCTCAGCCATCCCGGCTTCACGATATGAACATGTCTCGGGGATATAAGAGCCTACCACACCTCCACCGGTGTCCGTGAAAGACACCTTGTCCACCTCGCATCCGTACAAGGCACCTTGACAGTTTGGTCAGACTCTTTCACGATCACGACAGACATGGCATTGAGATCGGGTCTCGTGTGGTTCGCTGGCCTCGTTGCCAACGTCGCCGCGGTAGACGTCGATGAGTTCATCGCCCAGCAAAGGGGCATCGCTCTTGAAGGCGCTCTGAACAACATCGGACCTAATGGCTCATTAGTACAAGGCGCCAGCGCTGGCATCGTCGTGGCCAGTCCGTCCAAGTCTGACCCTGACTGTAAGCCCATCCATCCCCTGCGTTCTTCTTCTATTTCCTAACCCGACAAGACTTTTATACTTGGACGCGTGATGCCGCGTTGACGATGAAGATGATCGTCGATGAATTCATCTTCGGCCACAAAGAGCTCCAGGTCTACGTGGAAGACTACTATCGCTCTCAGGCTGTTCTGCAGACCATAACGAACCCCTCCGGGTCCTTCCTGCCATCCGGGCGTGGTCTTGGCGAACCTAAGTATACTGTCGACGGCTCTCGCTTTAATGGCGAATGGGGTCGCCCGCAGAGAGATGGCCCGGCGTTGAGGGCCATTACTCTCATCACATATTCCCGCTGGCTCGTAGAGAACGGCCAGCAGGCCAAGGCCAAAGACGTCATCTGGCCCATCATTGCCAACGATCTGTCATACACCGGCCAGTACTGGTACGGTCCAGTATCCACTTCACGAGATTGCATCGAAGACTGACACAACGCAGGAACTCGACGGGCTTCGATCTTTGGGAGGAGGTCACTGGCTCCAGCTTCTTCACGACTCAAAACCAGTACCGCGCCCTTGTCGAAGGTGCAGTCCTTGCGGAGACTCTCGGCGTCAAGTGCACAGGATGTGAGCTGGCGCCCGACGTCTTGTGCTTCCTTCAGACATTCTGGAACAGCAACGACGGGTACTACACTGCAAACATCAACACCAAAACTCAGCGCTCCGGCAAGGACGCCAACGTCATGCTCGGGTCTATTTCCGTCTTCGACGTCGCTGCCAGCTGCGAAGACCCGTCCATCCAACCGTGCCACAGCCGATCTTTGAGCAACTTCAAGGTCTGGGTTGACTCTTTCCGCAACGCCAGCCTCTACCCCATCAACGAAGGCATTGCCCAAAATAAGGGTGTTGCTGTTGGCCGCTATACCGAGGACATTTACTACGACGGAAACCCCTGGTGAGTGTGTACAGCTGCAGGCCAGAAATCAAGGACTGACTTGCTATTAGGTACCTCATCACCCTTGGTGCTGCTGAATTCCTTTACGATGTAATGGCCCAGTGGAATGCGCAGAGCCAGATCAAAATTGACGCGACGTCTTTGCCCTTCTTCACCGACTTGTACCCGTCCGTCAAGGTCGGAACCTACCAAAAGTACAGCAACATATCTGGCGCCTATGCTAGCATCACCAACGCCGTGAAGACCTACGCCGACTCCTTCGTCGAAGTCGCACAAAAGTACACGCCCGCCAACGGCTCCCTCGCCGAGCAATTCAACAAGACCACTGGCACCCCCCTATCGGCACATGACCTCACCTGGTCCTATGCGTCCTTCGTCACTATGGCCGAGCGCCGTGCTGGTCTTTACCCTCCCAGCTGGGTGCCTGCCTCTTCCGAAGTCCCCACCACCTGCGCCGCCTCCTCGAGCACGGGACTTTACAACCCCGCCATTGCTGCCGGAGCACCCAATGTGACAGGCTCTTGCACTGTCCCCGTGTCCTTCCTCGTCAACGCCACGACCTACTATGGCGAGAGTCTATACGTTCTCGGCAACACGGCTGACCTCGGCTCCTGGAAAATCGAGAATGCGCAGCCCATGTCGGCGTCTAACTACACGGCCCAACGCCCGCTATGGAACGTCGACGTCGAGCTGTCCGGTGGCCAGACCATAACCTACACCTACGTAAGGGGCCAGAACTGCAACCAGGGCTACATCTACGAGGGAGTCAACCGCACACTGACGGTACCTCCTTGCAATTCGACACAAAAAGTGGTGACAGATGACGCTTGGACGGGGCGTCAGGGATCGAGTGGTAACTGTTAAATTTGGCATGCTGTCGCTGGTGTACGTGAGGCATGAAAACGTAGTAAAAAGAGGCTTTCTATGACCACACAGGATTTTCAGCTCCAGACAAAAGACTCGCTTAGTTCCCAAACATGTTTCCGTCAGAGTTGCCCATCATGCCCGGCCCTCCCATGTTATTCCCATTCATAGGGAAGCCGCCGAATCCTGCTCCAAATGCCGCATATGTGTCCATATCGTACCCCTGCATCAAGTAGCTCCAGTCCATGTCGACGACATCGCTTTCAGGGGCTGGGGGGCCGTTCATAGCCGGCGTCCCCGCGCTCACAGACGGCGGCGTCATCATCATATTCTGCGGCATCTGCACGGGCCCGAGCTGCGACGTGTTATTCACCGATGCAGCCCGGGCCGTCGAGTGCGGGACGCCAACGCTCATCTCCGGTCCGGGCTGGCTGCTCCGGTGCTTCTTGCCCATCTTCTCCGCCCGCTGCCGGAGCCGTGTAATCCACATTGGCTCCTGTACCGGCTTGCCGATCTGCTGCTGCCCAGCCTCATGGGCGTCCCAGGCCTTGATGAAAAGGTTGCCGAACGCAATGTGCATGGGGCTATGTAGCGTGCTCATGAGACCGCGCCGGTCGTGGTTCTCGGCGATGGCGTCCCACGCGCGCTCGACCATCGGGCCCGTAAGCCGGTGGCGCAGTTCCGTCACTAGGAACATGTATGCTGGGAACGGGAAATGCAGATACGTGTACCACTTGTACCCCTGTAGGCTGTCGGCGGCCTGGACAACGTTGTCATACTCGATCATCTGGATGGCCTCGAGGAAGAGCGTATCGCGCTCGTGATCCGCCAACGTTGTTGCCTCGCCATTCCCCATCCGCACGAGGAATGAAATGACGCGCATCTTGCACAACGCTTGCCGAGTCATGGTGAGAGTGAAGAAGTGCAGCGGGATTTTGGGATCGCACCACTTGAGGTATGTGCCCTCAATGTGCGCGAAGAACCCGTCGAGTGTATAGGATTGATCCTGGCCGGCCATACGAACAGTTGGAACGGGGCGCGGTGCGGCGGACCCAGGGGCGCTGTCCTTATCGCCGTGTCTTTGGAGGTCCCGCATGCTGTCGATGCTGATAGCCATCGCAAGCTCCGTCCGGATGAGGACGAAGAGCATCTCGGTCACGCCCTGATGGGGGGTTGGAGCGTCTTTGCCGTTAACGTGAAGGTCCGTGTCGTTAATGTTCAGGGGCAGCTTGCAGTCCCCGGCTGTGGACAGGGCCGTGACGGTTGAGCCCGTCATCTCTCCTATCCGGCGGTCGTAGCCCACGATCGTCCACCACAGCCGCCGCCTCTGCTCGACTTCGTATGGCGACAGGCCAAACGCTGCGGCGTCTCGATGGAGGCCCATTCGTTGGGCTATTCTAACGGCGATCCCGACAAGACAGAATATCTGCCGTGGGTCAACGAACATGCGAACCCCGATCTGGTTTGTTAGCTGACCATGTCAGGGGTTGGAAGATTGCAACTTACTAGGTAGAGCATATAGGCCTGGAGAACCATCGTATCACTGGTGCGCATGAAGCCGGCATTGACCAGGGCCTGCTGAAGCCCGGTATGGAACCTGGAGAGGATAGTGGGCTTGGGTTCGCTGAACATCTTTGCGACCTCGACATCCTCGAGTGAGGTGACTGCCATAAGGTATATGGCAAACATGAGCGATTCGACGCTCTTAGGAACCTTCTCGAGGTTGGCGCTGGCCTCGATGATGAGGCCCTGGACCGTTGGCACATGTGTGATTTTTAGGAGGGGGTTGACGTTGTTAATGTAGATCTGCCAGAGTTGGAAGATCTGGATGGGTGATGGGTGGAGGTGCGTCACAGACGCATTTCGACTGCCTACGACAAACGGGAAGCCGTCTTGGTTGTCGTACATCTTGTCAAAAGCATGGTGGATCGTTGAACCATCAACCTCGTCTTCCGACGAGTCTCTGAGCAGCTCCTCGCTAGCTCTGAACTGTAATCCGAGTCAGGTATAGTCGGTGAAGGAAGACAGACAAGGGTGGCAAACCTCTTTATGGAATGGAAACCATTTGTTAAATGGTCTAGACCAGAGGCCTGTTAGCACATGGCCATAGGAAAAGGAGGGGTTAGGATTGCGCACTTATCGGATTGCGACCTTCGACTCCCTGACACCGAAGGGATGTGCTTCCCTCGGGAGATGTCTTCAGCCCTTCAAAGTCGTTTGCTAGGTCAGCATCATCGTCGATATGATGATCGTCGTCCATGTGCATCGAGTTCCTATCCGAGGCCTTGAGATCCGCGGCGATGGGGTCGAACTTAACGCCATTCTCGGCCAAGAGGTTTTCGTACTTCTTGAGCCTGTCGACAAGATCCCGTTCCTGGAGACGCTTCTTCCGCCGTCTTGGTGGTTGTGGGGTATCACTCGACACTCTACCCGGGCCTTGACGCAGTTGGCACACGGCTTGTTCTTGTCGCAGCGCACCTTTCGTTGCTGGCACAGCACACACGAGGTGCCCCTGGTAAGCTTCATGGCTGCCATGGGGTCGGGTTCGGGTGGAGGAACCCTCGGCGGGGGTGGGAGCTGAGCTTCTCCCGACATGGTGTTATTATGTGGATGCCGTTGGTCTTTGACATACGAAACGATGACACGCCAGCGACCTTGCAGATGTCTTTGTCGGCTTGCCTGCTCCCGACTCGGATCCGAGGGGGGACGTTGTAGGCGAAACGTTGACGGGATGGGGCATAAGTTTAACAACGAGACCCAATGAACAGGCAAGAGGCGCAGATGCAGCCAATAAACTCGCCAGGGTCTCTATAGGAGAGGGCAGTTGATTGTCATCAACAACGAGCCTTCGGTGGGGGTTTGCGTTATTGTCCGAGACACTAGTGAGTCGAGCCTGTCGATGTGAGCGGAGGACTAGGAGAGCTATCATAAGCTGAACTGTAGTGTAGATGCGCATAAAATGACCAGGCAAGATACGTGGAGGTGGTGGGCAGCAATGATAGACTCGAATCGCATTTCGTACAGCGAACAACGGTTATGACAGGGCAAACGGATAGACAGGTATGCAGAGATCACGTACGGGGACGCCCGGCCTATGAGACGAACGATACGGCTGTGGTGTTTCCAGTCCGGTGCTACTGAGGCTCTTTGCTAGCTTGGGCCTGGTCTAGTATCGTAATGAGACCGCAAGGGCGAAACTGGACGGGGTGAGATGCTGTCTGAGAGAAAGGCACAGAGAGACGTTAGATACCCGCCCGGGACCGAATGAGGTGACATTAGCGCAGCTCAAACCGCACATGATCCAAGCTCACCCCCCTCGTTGGGTAAGTCCAACAGCCTTACATAAGCCGGACATCTGGTGGAAGATGCCCGGATGCCCGACGCTAGGCAATAGACGGTCAAGTGGCACCCTCCCGGACACAGCATCGACCTCCGGTGCCCGAGCAACTGTAACGCCATGTCCGTAAACCGTCAACAACAAATTAGACCAACTACGATCCTCCTCTGGACATCCCCATCGGTCTTGAGAAGTTTGCCTTTGCATCTCGTCATGACTTCTATATTTGAGACATTTCGTGGAGCTATGATAGGCGCCCCCTGGGCTCCGCTTCGCGTCGTGCGGTGGACGTTATGCTGCATGCCGTCGTCCACCGCGTCCCTGCCTGCAGAATATACTGAGCTAGTCATATATAACGATAATTGCCCTTGTCGATACATTGATAAGTGCTCTTTCTTCGTCAGCAGCCAAGCATCTAGTCCGAACGTGATCTGTAACCTGAGATCTGACCGTGCGCTCGAGAGTCCGGACGAACCTCTAGCTCCTCGCCTGTCCATTAATCAACAAATTCCCGCTTGCCAAGCCAAACTCTTTTGTATATTTTTGTTTTGTTTAACTTGGTAGCATCGCCAGAGTCATTTTCATTCACTTCCTGCTTCTGGCGCGCCAGCCTACACGACAATTGTAATGGCTGATCCAGCTGTAAAGCCCATCGCGGGCGATGGCGCCATCGAAAATCGCGAGGTCCAGACATCCAACAGCTCGACGCGGACATTAACCCCACGAGAGAGCGACGAACGTCAGGAAAAGAAGTCGGAAGAGAAGCCTGCTGAAGCCGAAATCGCGAGCAGGAAGCCAAAGGAAAAGCGAACGATCCAGTCAATGGCAATATCACCAAACGATAGCCAACTAGATGTTTCGAAGCAGCCAGAGGTGGACGAGAAGGGCGATCTCGAGGGAGCGCCGCCGATAGGGCCACCCGTTGAAGTGGACGAAGCCGAAGAAAACTTCAAGCCGAAGACCATTACTTTCTGGCTAGTCATCATGTCCAATTTCGTGGCCATGTTCCTGGTCGCCTTAGACCGCACAATTATTGCAACAGCAATCCCTCGTATTACCGACGAGTTCCAGAGCCTGGGCGACATTGGTTGGTACGGCTCAGCGTACATGCTGACAACAGCGGCTTCGCAGCTGGTCTTTGGTAGAATCTACAAATTCTATGATCTAAGAGCGTAAGCACACTAATCGAGGGGGGGGGGCGGAGGGATAAGGAACAATCGCTGACAGCCGGAGACTAGGTCATTCCTGAGCAGCATCCTGATCTTCGAGATTGGCTCCCTCATTTGCGGTGTTGCGCCAAGCTCACCAGTGCTCATTGCGGGCAGAGCTATTGCTGGTGTTGGCTCGGCTGGTATCTTCACAGGAGCTATGATGGTCATGATTCCCATGATTCCGTTGCACAAGAGACCGATGTTTCAAGGTAGGACCAATGTCGTATTGTATCGACACATGCTGACAGAGACAGGCATATTTGGCATGGTGTTCGGCCTGGCCTCTGTAATAGGCCCCTTGGTTGGTGGTGGTTTCACGGGTACTGTTACCTGGAGGTACGTCAGCGTTTGAGTGCTTGTTACAGGCGAGAGACTAACGATATACAGATGGTGCTTTTATATTAATCTTCCAGTGGGAGGCTTGGCTTTCATTTTCCTGTTCTTCATGCTCAAGGCACCTAAGCGACAGCCCCAGGAGCCGGCAACACTGTACCAGCATTTCAAGCGGCTCGATCCCTTGGGAACGTTGTTTTTCCTCCCATCCATCGTATCCCTCCTTTTGGCCTTGGAGTGGGGTGGTTCGGAATATGAGTGGAACGATGGCCGCATCATTGCGCTTTTCGTTATATTCGGAGTCGGCTTCATTGCATTTGCTGCAGTCCAGGTGCTCATGCCCAAAACAGCCACAGTTCCCCTTAGAATCATCAAGCAGAGGACGATGCTGGCCGGTGCATTCTTCATGCTCTTCTTGGCTGGCTCTATGATGCTGGCAGTGTACTACCTGCCCATTTGGTGTAAGTGATGTCTATTGTCTGATGCAGAGTATAAGCTGACACAGCCCACAGTCCAGGCCGTTCAGGGGGCCGACCCTGTCAACTCAGGAATTTACACCATACCACTGGTGCTCAGCATTGTTGTCTCTTCTATCATATCGGGTGGCATGACACAGAGGATCGGGTACTACGTGCCGTCTATGATCCTCTGCCCGTGCATCATGTCCGTCGGTCTGGGCCTGATGAGCACGTTCCAACCAGGCATCAGCTCGGGTCATTGGATCGGTTACCAGTTCCTGACCGGGTTCGGTCTGGGATTCGGTATGCAGACCGTCGGGCTTGCAGTGCAAGCGGTGCTCCCCAAAGAAGATGTATCAACGGGCGTCTCCATCAGTTTCTTTGCCCAGCAGCTGGGAGCGGCCATATTCGTCTCAGTTGGACAGTCCATTCTCAGCAACCTGCTGGTATCTGAGCTGTCAGGCATACCTGGCTTGCCAGCTCAAGCTATTGTCAACACCGGTGCCACCAACTTGCACAAAGCTGTCCCGGCAGAATTCCTCGACGTCGTCGTCCGGGCATATAACTATGCCTGCACCCGGATCTTCCTTGCCGGTATGGGGCTGTCCCTCGCGACGCTCATCTGTGCGCTTTGCATGGAGTGGAGGAACATCAAGAAGAACAAGAAGCAGCAGCGGGCTAAGCAGCGTGCCAGTCAGCTAAGACCGGGAGACATGGGAGCGTAAAGGGAGAAGTAATGATGATGACTCCATAATGGACGGAAGATAATACACAAACGATATTGCATTAATCAGGAATTGTCGATTCATCCCTCCCGCAGCCATATTGTCGAGGTCCAGAAGGTGCCTCCATCCCAAATTGGCGGATGGGATGAGTAAGGATAGAGACGAAGGATCGGTGATCGCCCTCGCCGTTGGACATGGAGAATTGCGGAAAAGAGCGAGGGGGGGCACATTTGCGGAGATCCATCCATAGCCACCAAACCTAGGAACCACAGCCTAGGACACATTCAGCCCACTGAGAAAGCTTGAAGAGGAGTAGCGCCAACAAACCTTTCCCAGACCCCAGACAGGCTGCCACATTAATATCGTTTCCAGTATTTTCTTTATCGCAATGCTCGGCTAAACAAAGAAGCTGTTTCTTTACCGTAGAGCCCTGGAGTTGGCCAAATATCTCTTCCCCTCACAGTGCCAAACCCCATGAGAATAAAATAAAACAAAAACCCGGCACCCAATCCTTCAACTCCGTCCTCTGCCGGGGAAATCGGAGTGGTTGACCGAGAGAAGGGGCTGAGAGAAGGGTTGACGCCGCCATCAGCGCCCTATTCTAGGTTAGAAATGAGTTCGGGGCCTGCTTCGTTCCCAATTCAGTTCGTCTCCCTCATAGGACCTCCCAATCACTTACCGCCCCAACCGAGTTACAACCCTCACCCATCCTCCACTCTCATTACAAGGCCATCACTTACCCTCTGGCCACATTCACCAATCAACTTGAGTGGTTTGTCCTCCTGACACCGTCACACGGTAAGTTGTCTCTGACTTTAATCCAACCTCGTTTTGTCGAAATCCACCAACGTTCGCATCCGTTTGCCTGTTGTCGGCGGCGTAATAGTCGTCTACCAGCTCCAAGCACGCTGCCAATGCAGCGTTCCCGGGCATGGATGAGCAAGAGGAACATTGCTTCAATCACCTCCAGGGCTGTCATGTCCTATCGGTGTATGTCCCCGCCAATTTGTGCTATTCCAGGCCCGACCTCGAGCAACCACAAGTTCAAGCGGTCGCGAGACGCGGTCTGACGCTCAGCTCCGATTGTCATTCAACCCTAATCCTATCGCTTGCCCGCCAGCCCTGATCCGAGTGTCATCACGCCAACCCAATCTTCGGGCTCTGTCCTAGCAGCTGTCGCTGGCTCAATGGCGCCCATGTCGTATGTTAGTGGAAATGCCATGGCGACGTCGGCACAGGACAACGCTCCCGCAAAACGCAAGAGGGCGAGTAAGCCGAAAGTCCGGACGGGCTGCTTGACCTGGTGAGTTAGTACAAGTACATTTTACTGTCAATAACCAGAAGTTGACTCCGCCGCAGCAAGTAAGACATATTTCCGCAAGAAAGCTCTGCTATGAGTTGTTTTTTGCCGTGTGGCTAACAAGTACATTGTAGAATCAGACGCATCAAATGCGGTGAGGAACGCCCTGCCTGTGTGCGGTGCACCTCGACTGGACGGGTTTGCGATGGTTACGACAAGGCCATGCCACCTCGTTGCAAAGATGCTGCCGATACTTCTGCCGCTGTCCAAGAACGCTGCCTGCAGGCTTGGTCTGATAACCAGGCTCTGCGCATCTTGCGCCCTATTGTTGCCGACATCGACGGAACGCAAGTAGAGCGTCTCTACTTCCACCGCTTCCGGCGCGTGGCAGAGACAGGTCTCTGCAACCACGTCACGAACCTCACCAGCTTCTGGAGCAGGCTCGCGCCACAACTTAGCCATTCCGATGAGGCTGTCAAGCATGCCATCGTAGCACTCGGCTCTGCATACCACATATATCAGACAGCACTCCCACCAGGCGGGGAGGGAGCAACGCCTCGCGAGCTTGAGATCTTCACGATCCAGCAATATAGCACCGCCATGTCAAAGCTCTCGAGCTATGCTCATGTGCCGATGAAAGAGAAGATTATTGTCACGCTGCTGTGTTGCTTGTCGTTTGTATGTATCGAGGCGCTGCGCAATAACTGGCGGCCGGCCTTGACGCACCTCTCGAACGGCTTGCGCATCATTGAGAGTCTGCCCATGAGCACGCTTAACAAGCTGCGGGACCCGTCACCGCCGCATGATGGGTCAAACGGTACGGAGAGCATGTTGGGGATGGATTACATGCTAAGACTGTTTGCCACGTGGGAGGTTTCCTGCGCGCTGTTCGCTGAGAACTTCAAGCCCGTCATCTCCATCAAGCTGTACGAAGGACGCGAACTGGATGACACGCCGCCAGAAGAGTTCGAGACCATCATGCAGGCTCACCGGGCCATTGTACAGTACACACGCGACGTGTTTGCCTTGGTCTGGTTAACTCGGGAGCACCAAGGCGACGACGTGTTTTGGTCTCAGCCGCTTCCACGCCTCCAGCATGAGATATTGATGGAGAGGGGCGACCATCTGACCGGTCTGTTTGAGCGGTTCATGGAACGACCTCAAGCCCCTGCAAGCGGCACGGAAGAGTACTACTCTGTCTGTCTAGACATGCTCCATTACAAATGCTCACGGCTCCTGTGCCAGACGCTGCACCAGAAGCCCAATCAAAGACCGCAATCACTCGACATCATAGCCCAACACGCCGACCTGGTCTCGCTAGCCACTGTCTTGCACCGGGGCTGGCCACGAAACAACGGCAATCGGATACGCTTCCTCGGTCCTTCACCATCGACATTGGGATCATCCCGCCCCTTTACTTCATCTTAGTCACTTGCCAGGACCCGACGGTGCAGGGGAAAGCTCTCGCTATTCTGCGAGACTACCCCCACAGGGAAAACTTATGGGACGGCAACTCGGTGCGCAACTTGCTGGTTACCGTCGAGAATATTAGTTACGGACCGGCGCACCCCTTGAAGGAGGTTCCTCATTCTTTAGCATTCGGGAAGGGAATACCCGCTCTCTATGAGAAGCTACAGGAGCTGCATATCCAGGTTGAAGAAGATTGAGCTGCTTTGGGACGCGGTAGTCACTTGCAGACCCCGGGAACAGAGTCGGTTTGACAATTGCAATTTGTCATGTAATCGAGGCAAATAGCTGTTGGAAACTACTATTTCAAGGCTTGGAAATTCGTCCTGTTCCCCCGATTACCACGGATCGAGTTGTCAGCATTAGCAGTCTACGCCATAAAGTCTACGCCATAAGAAGGCGAGGCACACAATAATACCTCTAAAGAAATGTTATTTCAAGAGGTTTCAAGCAATGCAGAAAGAACATGTAAAACCAAAGCGAACGTTACTGTATATCTTGCCTCTCATCCCAGACTGAGTACATGCAAAGCGACGAGATATTTGGCTGACTGTATCGCACCATTTTTTCTTCCTACAATTCAGCCCGATCGATACCTTTGGAGAGGCTCAAGTTTCGAAGAGAGGAACGTATAAAGCGACCGAATTGCTTGACTTAGGCGCTGTTGTGATTAGTGACACGCTGATGGGTACGTACCTTTTTTGAGCTCGCGGGGCAAATGCCGAGCGATAGCTTGCTTCCCTCAAGTTACAGTTCGACCAGTTACAACACTTAGCTGCGCGACCTTGCTGCACGAGTTATTGCGACCGCGCCAGGGACTCAACCGATCAGTTCAATCCCTTTCAATGGTTCAAGATGGCGGCGTTTCCTCACGATATCCCCGCGATCGCCGAAGAAAAGACAGGGTTCGACCTCAATATTCAGCATGGACACCATGACCTTGTTCAAGCGGTAGCATTCAATGCCTACGGCGACCGCTGCGCGACGGGTTCCGTCGATGGAAAGATCAAGGTCTTCAACCGGCACAAGGATGGTGTCTGGCACCATTGCGATACTTGGGGCGCACATGGAGGAGAGATACTAGAGGTAGGGGGCCTTCCAGCCCCATACTCAAGACCCAGCTGACCGTACTTTGCCGCGCAGCTCCAATGGCTACCCCCGACCGTCTACCCAAACCTCATCGCCTCTCTTGGCATAGAAGGCCGCTTCAAGCTGTGGGCGGAAGACCCGTCAGCGGCACCGGGCCGCCGCTTCAGCGCCAGTAGCCGTGCGACGACGAGCAAGGCCGCCTACGAGATGCGGTCCCCTAAATACCCCTACCGTTCCTTTTCCATGAAGCACAATGAGGAGACGCGGCACACCTATCTGGCCCTGCTCGCCTCCGACGGCCGTCTGGTGGTGTACGAGAATGAACAGCCCGAGAACATGTCCGAATACACCCCGACCGACGAGTTCAGCATCTGCTCGAAGCCGAGCCGCGGCGAAGAGATCAGCTTCAAGGTGCGCTTCGACCCGAACCCGGATCCATGTTACAATGCTCTACGGGCGGGAGTGTCGAGCGACTCGCTGGGGTTAGTAGTCGCCGGTATGACGTCGGTCAAGGTCTACCGCTCCAGAGATGTCATCGCGACATCGTACGGTGTAGCGCAAACCCAGCGCGAGTTTTACCTTGCCGTGGAAGTAGGCGTCCACCGCGGCCTCGTCCGGGACGTCGCTTGGGCACCGGGAAACATCAGAGGGTACGACACCATCGCAACGGCCTGCCAGGACGGGTTCGTCCGTGTTTTCCGGATCGACACGCCGCACTCGCCTGACGATGGCAAGACGTGGTTCACGATGGAGCTCACAAAACACGAAAACCACCACGCACAAGCATCATCAAAGGCGGGGCAGCCAAATGACAAGCATCACCAGTCGGGTCTCAGCGCCAGCCTGGCCAAGTCTGGCTCACATGCCGAGCGTCACTTTTCGGGACAGCCGGGGCAGGTGAAGCACGTCTTCAAGGAGGTCGCGAAGCTTGACAGCCACCGTACGCCTGTCTGGCGGGTTGGCTTTGACGACGATGGTCAGATCCTGGCCAGCACTGGAGATGACGGCAAGCTCGTGTGCTACCGCCAGACCCCGAGCGGGACGTGGGCAAAAAGCTCGGAACTGGCCATGGTGAAGACAAAGATGGCAACGCCTTGAACAGATACGACACGGCATTATGCTAGTAAGTCGAGATGCTCTGCGACTATTAGCCCCAGTCGCTGGAACAAGGATAGTATTTGGAAGGACAAAAGGGACAGGGACGCATACATCGACCACCCAACGAGGAGCCTGAAGCTGCTTGCTAGAGAAGGGCTGCGTGACTTGTCAGATGCACGGGCATTGGCAAGACCAATACTTGCCTTGTTTGCCTTCGAAGCTCTAGGTTGGACTTCTCACCGTCGTCGACAACTAAGGAGACGTAGGATGAACTATGCACGGAAACACAGGGAGGCATGGCAAGGCGTCAGACGACGTTTGGCATGTGTCAAGGAAATGATTTTGATGTTAGATACCCAATTGAGAGACTTTCACAGCCTGCGCCGTCTCATGCAGATGATTGCCAAGCGCCCTTGATTACACGCAGTCTACAAACTGTAGTTTTCCGTAGCCTTCCACCTTGTTTTCCGTATCCTACGACCCATCTACTTTCTGCGCTTCTGACCGCCACCGCCGGCCCCTTCATCGGGTGCCTGGCGCTTACGGCCGTTCTTGCGCCAAAACTCCTTGCTCTCCTTCTTCTCCCTCGCTTCCTTCTTCTCCTCGGATTCGGCCAGCTTCTTGCGGTACTCAACGCGCTTTTCCTCCTTCTTGGCGGCGCGCTTGGCCACCTTGTCGTTACGGATCGTCGACAGCTGCTGCAGCAGGTTGCGGGCCGTCTTCTCCTCCTTGGTCAGGACGACGGCGCGCTTCTGCATGTACGTGTCCTTCTTCTGCTTGCGCGCCTGGACGATCTGCGACTTGAAGGGCAGCTCGGCAGCGAGCGCGCGGGGTACACGCAGCGGGTTGAAGTGGCGCGTCTCGCGCTCGATCTTGCGGTACTGGCTGTTCTTCTGCAGCGGTGTCTCGATGCCCTCGGCCCGGCGCACCTCGCCCGTCAGCCGCATCGCCTGCCACCCGATGAGGTTCGTCACCGGGTTGTAAAAGCGGTGTGGCTTGATCGGGTACCACGCGCGCAGGAACACGATGTCGCTGTACAGGATCTTGTCCTCGAAGGTGGCGCGGAAGTGACCCTCAGGCTTGGACAGTGCGCGTTTGATTTGACCGCGCACACCCGACACCGTCTTGATGGACGCGCCCTCGAACTTTGCAATCTCGAGTGATGTGTTGAACATGCCCTTGATGAAGGCAGTGTTCTTGTGGATCTTGTCCGCCGTACCCGTGAGCTTAAGCTTCTTGACGATCTCGGTCGACTCGTCGACGCTGAGCACCGTGCCCGTCGCCGCTATCCGGAAGCCCGGGTTTGCTGACGAGAAGGACTGGAAACACACGAAACCCGTGTTGGGCGCGATGAGCGGGCCGTATATGGTACCGAAGCAGTGCATATGCTCCGGCGTATACTTGAGCATACGGTTCCTCGTTCTCGAGTCCGAAATGCTGTAGATGGGCAGTGTCTGGAACCGCCGCCAGCCAAGGGAGAAAATCAACGGGTCGTTGGTCTTCAGGATCTTCTTGTGCCAGCGGTGCTTCTTTATGCGCACCTGGACAAAACCGAAGCGGTCTTCAGTGGGCGACAGACCGCCGAGGATGACGGGGTTACGGGGGTTGAATTTGGTGACGAATTCGGCCGGGACGCCCTCGAGGACGATCTTGGCGTACTTGCCAGCCCGGTAACCCTCCACGGCGGCCCTTTGCCTCTCGTCGAGCGTCTCGAACTCGGCCTTGTTGATGTCAAGTTGTTTCTGGATGACGGCCTTTTGCGCCTCGTACCAATCGTCCTCGCCGAACTCCTGGTCGCCGCCCTCGCGCCGCGCGTTAGCCTTGTCGTTCATGAAGCCCTCCCTGTCTTCCTCCTCGAAGCGCAGCTTGAGCTCTTCCTTCCGCTTCGCGTTCTTTTCACGCTCGTTCTCGAAAACTTCTTCTTCGGTTGGCTCTTGCTCGGCAGACTTTTCGGCTCCGTGCTGTTCACCGGTCTCAAGGTCCTCGAAGACACCGTCGCCTTCGTCCTCGTCCTCGTCGTCGATGCCGTCAAACTCGTCGTCCTCATCCCCGCCGTCTTCGTCGTCGTCACGCAGCCCCGCCGTGGTGAAGCGCTTCCTCAGGGCCTCGACGTTTGCTGCTTGAGACCACTTCGCCGCCAGATCCTCGTAATCATACTGGGGTATCGATCTGTCCTCCACCTTGTCCTCTTTGTCCTGCTTGGACTTCTGGAAGAAGTCATCTTCTTCGTCCGCTTCAATGTTCTCCTCCTCATCTTGGTCCTCGCCCCGCCATTTCTGTAGTGCCTCCTCTGGTGTCAAGGAGTCGTCGTACATGTACCTGGCCAGGTCTGGTGTGTGGTAAGAGCGCCGTTTGCCGTGAAGCTTCTTCGCACGCTCCGCCATGTTCTCCTTCCACTTCATGGCCGCGGCCTCTTCGTCTGAGTCGAAGTCTGAGTCGTTAATTTTCTCATCGTCTTCGTCTCCGTCCTCCAACCCCGATAAAGAGCCAAGGTCAGAGTCACTGTCGGCAAAGGCGATGTCGTCTTCGTCGGCGTCCTTCTCAGCGTTCTTCCTAAACATCTTGCCCAGCTTGCCTTCGTTGAACTCCTCCTCCACGTCGGATTCACCCTCCTCTTCGCCGCTTACAAAGCCCTCGTCGTCGACCTCGACCTCAGAATCGTCATCACGGTCAGCGAAGCGTGCGTGTCGGTGAGTCTTTCTACCGGTGTCCTCCTCTTCAGGGATTTGCTTGATTTGTTCGCCTCCCTTGAAGAGCTGTACACCCTCGTCGGTCTGACCCAAGAGTTTCCGCTCGCCCTGCAGTCCGACAATGAGCTCCTCGCCCTCGCCCATCTCACCTTCCTCAGCATCCCTGTCGAAAGTGAATCCCTTTTCTCTCGTGATCCAGATGGCGTCGCCGTCAATCTTGAGACCACTGCGGTCAGACATGGGTGCGTGTAACTTCTTCTCCTTTTCGTCCAGGCGCCGCCGCGTCGTCTTGCCGGTGACCTTGGCAATAGCTTGCTCCATGGCCGGGGTAGGACAAGGATCCGGGAGGACTTCCAGGTTTGCCACGGTGAAATCGCCAAGACCTGGGACATGGATCCTCTGTCCTTGGGAGGCAAAGTTGGTGCCGCGCAGGTATCCCGACAACACAACGGAACGGTCACACTTGGGGTCCTCCTCGATTTTTGTGGGGTGGGTAATGTCTCGGTAGCTGTCGATGATGGTATACGGGTGCGAGTTGCGCCAAATCAAGGGTCGAGGGTTCTTCATCACGGACAGGAAGCGCGATAGGTTGTGGACTTCACGGTCAGGATAGCGACCGTTCATGACTCCAGAGAGGTAAAAGAGGTGTGCACCCTGGTAGAGCTCGCTCCACAACCTCCTCTTGAGCCGCTTCTTCGCATCCTTGAGGGCCTGGGGTTTCCGGAACAGATCGAGATGCGTAAGGATACCGAAGACGTTGCCGGGCATACCAGTAGCAGCAAGTATGTTGAGAAATTCCATTGTCTCCATCTCAAAGCCGTAATTGCCGTCGATCATTAGCAGAACAATGTCTGCGATCTTAGCCATGTCAACCATCGCCTCGAGCTCGTTGGGACACTCAACGAAGGTCAATCGCTGCTTCTTGGAGGTGACAACAGTGATGGGTCCTTGAGGATCAGACAACGTCTCCTTTGCATATCGTCTGATTAGAGACTTGAGAAGGGTCGTCTTGCCGACGCCAGGAGGTCCGACGATGGTGACCAGCCTCGGGGGCGGCTCGTCGGGGAGGCGGTCGACTTGAGGAACATGGAAGCGTCTTTCTTTGATCTGTTCGAACGTATACGTCAGTCATGATATGCAAAAGCTTCGAGGAGGATTCATACATCTGAAGATCTCGCGGCGGACCTAGCAAGCTTTCCGGGGTTGGAGAAGGCAAAGGCCTTTGGGTTCTTCTCTGGATGGCTGTTAGTATCGCGAATTGGCAGACAGACTCAGTACAAAAGCAACCTACCCCCAGTGTGCTGCTTGTTCTTCTTATCCTTCGCCTTGCGATGAGGCTTATGTACTTGGTCCTCCATGGCGGCGTTACGGTACCCAAATGTGTTGGGAGATCCTGCAACTGCACGACAAAAGACAGGCTTCTGTGGTTTTTTTTTTCTCTGGTTCGAGTCGCGACTCGGCGGGCGGCGATCGAATTGCAGTTCGAAAATTTGTTGCGGGTCCACCCTATCTAATCTTGGTATCGATAAGAAACATGGCCCCACCTGTCTCTGTCCGCCGATGGTGTTACCCCTCGCCCCTCAATGCCCCTCCTCTTGTTCAGTCGTCTGTGGATATTGTCGGACGATTAATACAAGAGAGGATGAACGAAAGCAGCACCGGGTTACATGCTGGCCAGTTTGGTTCTTTTAGAACGTAGGTTATTGTATTCTTACCCTGTGTCAAGACTTCACTTCAGTTGGCCTCGAATGAAATACAAGGAACCCGAAACCCTGAAAACGCTCTAGAAGACAACGGTTTTCCTGGTATGGATTTCGACGAAGTGTTGTTACCGTCAGCAGTGACGGCATTGCCGATGACGAGCTCTGCTCAGCTAGAAGATAGCAGTTGGCCGGGGCGCATTGATTGGCTTCTGCAGCGAGTCACAAGACAGCCACGGACTCCGCAATCCATCTGCGCGCAGCGGTGGGATGTGTGAAGAAACGAGATGCACGAAACACCAGATCTGGTTGGCAAGGCTCTTATCTTGGTTGGGGGACCATGGAGAGGGTGCGATGGATATGATGTATGCGAGGGATGCGCCTCACGCGCCGAAAGACGCAGCCTCTTGTCTCTAGGTTGTTAGGTGGATGCAATAGGGAGGTGAAAATGCAGCCATCTCACGCACCTTAGCAACGGGCACGCGCAAGCATAAGGAATGACGTATTCCGAGGTGTGGGACAGCTTCGCGGTGCTGCATACCTAAACACAGACGAATCGCCATACGTACCACCCGTTGCATGGACCTTCCCCTCGCTGGGCCACATACGAACCTTTTCGCGTCACTTTTAGTTCCCTGGCAAGTCGCGAGGTGTTCCCACCCCCTTCCTGCCAGCCGGTCTGTCACTGGCGTTCTGCCTTGCCTCTGTCTCTGTAAACCGGGCACACATGAGACCTACTGGGTTAGTTATAAAGAGAGTCTGCCGGCCATCTTCTCCCCGGTCCTTGCCAACCTTACCACTACCACAACTTCGCTCTTCCACAACCACGATCCATCACAACTCTCGACACTCTACCCAAACCAGCAAACCCACAATCACCATGCCTACCTACATTGTAAGTGTTGTCTCGTCCATCAGGATGTGTTAACAACTGGGCCCCCGACTAATGCCGCCTCACTCTAGGTCACCTGCAAGGAGGACGCTTCCGCTGAGCAAGTCCAGGCGTAAGTCGGCCACTGCTGCTGTCTAATCGACAGAAAACAATACCAACATGTGTCGACTAACACGCACGCAGCGCCAAGAAGCATGCCACCGACCAGGGCGGGAAGATTGGCCATGAATACAGCCTCATCAAGGGTTTCTCGTATGCATACAACCGGCCTGGGCTGTACCATCGCATCAGCTAACATCTGCCCAGCGTCGAGTTCCCCGAGGACCAGATCTCTACTCTGCAGAGCCACGAGCATATCAAGCACGTCGAGAAGGACCAGGAGGTCAAGACGCAATAGAGGGCTGGGACTGGATCGCAAGTGAGGGGGCTGGCAAGCTGTACTTGAACCGCTACATACCTTAGACTCACAGGATTTCTAATGATATGATACTTCACTTCTACCCCTGTCTCTTGCGTGCATGTCATTATTGCCTTACTCGGCGCGACACACAAACGCCCTCCCTATGCTGCCAATGTCCTGACCATCAGCGACGCAAGCCGCCTCCCGCTTGGAGTCGGCCCCCGCCGTCTGTGTCTCACGACTCGGCGCGGGGCTACAGGGGTTCCAGACCACCCCGTCGGCCGCGGATAACCCCCCCCTCTCCTCACATTCGTCCCCCAAAAGCACGGAGCACTACCCGCACTAAGATCTGAGTCAGGCGAACCCCAATGCGTATGATCTCATCCTCACCTTGTTGCACCCAAGAAACATCCCAACGCATTTCCCCCCTGACCGCAACAACCTTCTTTCACAATACCTACAATGCCGCCATGATACCAATCGCGAGACCATTGAGGCCCCTGCGGCCCCAGAGGACACTCGTACAAACCCACACTCCCTCATCCTTGCGGCTGCTCTCCTCCTCTCGGCATGTACGCGGCCACGGCCACGGCGGCTCGTCCCACCATCACCTGTCGCGTGTCGACGACCACGAAATCGTTCAGCTGGCCCGCAAGACGCAGCACCCTTTGAGCCTTGCCGACCTGGTCAAGTAAGAGAGCCCCAGACCCAACAATCATCACGTCTAACATTCCCAGGCACGGCCGGCCTCCTCTGAGCGAAAAGTCCCTCCTCTCCTCCGCCAACTTCACCCTCTCGCTGCTCCCCATCCGCCTCGCCCACCGCATCCAGGCGCTCCGCAACCTCCCCTACATCGTCGTCTCCAACCCGAACATCAGCCGCATCTACAACAACTACGTCCACTCCCTCTCGACCCTTCTGCCCTGGTGGTCCAAGGGCGGCGACAGCGCCGTCCGCACCCTGGACGACGAGATCCGCTTCACCGAGGTCCTCGCCGAGCTCGTAGCTACCCATACCGACACCATCCCCATCCTTGCCCGCGGCTTCCTCGAATGCCGCCGCTACATCTCTCCGCACGAGGTCACCCGCTTCCTCGACGAGCACCTGCGCGCCCGCATCGGCACCCGCCTCGTCGCCGAGCAGCACATCGCCCTGCACTACAGCTCCCAGCCGCATTTCGACCCGGGCGCGAGCCCGACGCCTTGCCCAGAGCACCCCAGCTACATTGGCGTCATCGACACGGCCCTACGCCCAGCCCACATTATCGAGTCCTGCGCCGGCTTCGTTGCGGATATCTGCGAGCTGCGGTACGGCGTGCGGCCGCAGCTATACATTGACGGCGAGCCCGACACGACGTTTGCGTTCATACCAATGCACCTCGAGTACATCGTCACCGAGCTGCTCAAGAATGCCTTTAGGGCGACCGTGGAACATAGGGACAACAAGGAGCCCATCGTGGTCACAATCGCACCGGAGCCGCCTCGGCCGAACCAGCCCCTCAGTATCGAGGTGCCCAAGGAGACGAGGGGCGAGTTCCGGAGTGACGCCATCAAGCCTCTTGACGACAACGTGCCGGGTGTGACGATCCGGATCCGGGACCGTGGAGGTGGCATCGCCCCTGAGGTGCTGCCCAACATTTGGTCTTACTCTTTCACCACCTTTTCCGACGAGGATGAGTTCCCGGGGTCTGACAATGGGTTGAACGTAATTTCCAGTGCCAGTGCGGGGGAAGTTCCATTGCAGGACTTGGGTATGGTCTGCCGCTTAGCCGCGCCTATGCCGAGTACTTTGGCGGTGGCATTGCTGTCCAGAGTTTGCACGGCTGGGGCACTGACGTTTATCTTCGACTAAACGGCGTTGGCAAGATCCAGGAGCGCAGGACCACGTAGACGTATTAGTCCACGTGTGAATTAATAAATCGCAATACTCGGTCACAAGGTACAGTTGTTGTTGTTGTTGTTGTTGTTGTTGTTGTTGTTGTTGTTGTTATTGTCTCGTATAGATTAGTTGAACTACTAGGAGATGTATTATCAAGTGGAAGATACCATTCCACAGTCGATGCGTTGCCAACAATGAATATGCCCCCAAATCAATAAGTGATGTTAAATAGAAAGATCAAATCCGAGAAAACATGCCCGAGTAAACTCGTCTCATAGACCGATCACAACGCCCCAGTGTTTCTTTTTTTTACTAACCTCCTTTGCAAATGTCCTCATTATACGATAGAGGAATGTAACCTCTTATATACGATTCTCAAATGCTTCTCATGCTCTTTACATGTTCGCCAACTCGTTGTCGATCTGGCGGTCCATGAACGTCCTCCTTTCGCCAACGAGCCCGGTTTGCAGTCTCTGCTCGACCAGGGCGCGCACCTGCTTCTTCGTTACCGTGTCGAGGTCGACCTCGCGCAGAACGCCCTGGATGGCGTCGATGATCATGCCGTCGTCGGGGCCCTGCATATTGCCGCGCTGAAAGTCGAACGACGAGGTCGACTGGGCGGCGCCGTGGGGCCGGTTCAAACCGAGGGCCGACTGTGAGCGGTTGGCGCCAAGGCCGGGCGAGTAGTTAGCCTGGCCCCGGAGGTTGGTGACGCTCGGCCGGCTGCTGGGGAAGTCCTGGAAAGGGGTCTGGCCGCGGTTCATGTCGTGGGTGCCCAGAGACGCCATTGACTGCCTGTTGGCCATGTTCTGGTCGTGGTGGTACGGGCTGGCGGCACCGGATGCCCGTGCCATATGGCCAAAGGGCGCTGGGGAATGGGGCGGCATATAGGTGTTGTTGCGGTTCATGCCGGTAAGGACGGAGCCTTGGCGGACGGACGAGTAAACGGAGCGGATCTCATCCATCTCGTACTGGTCATCGTAGCCCATGTCCGCTTTCTCCATGTACCCACCACGGCGGCCGGGGAGGTTGTTGGCCAAGGCGTAGTCGTCCCAGCGCTGCAGGGGAATGCTCCTATGGTCGAAGCCCTCGTCGTCGACGGCAACGAGCTGCTTGTTTCCCTTCTCTCCGATGACAATACGGGTGTTACCCCAAGAGAAATTATCTTGGTTCCAGAAAGAGTATATAGGGAGCGCGAAAGAGTAGATGGGGAAGGCGAGAATGTAGATAATCATCCATCCAATGTGCTGCCACTGCCTCTTCAGGATAAAGATGAGGGCCTGAAGACCGTACACAGCCGCAAGCATAATGATGGAAATCATAGGGAATTGACCAGTACCGCTGGCAGCCATATAGATCATATATGCGAGATAGATGGTGGTAGCAGGGAGGATGATGGTTCCAAACAGATCAATGAAGACGACAAAACGCATGCTGAAGCAGCAGAAGCCGCACATCTCCTTCAGCTTCATCAGCTCAAACAGGTTGTGGATAGTCGAGTTGATCCAGCGACGACGCTGGGAAAGCAGAACGCTCCAGGACTCGGGCGCCGCAGTTTGACAGTAGGCATCAGGTATGAACTTGTACTTCATGGACGGGAAGTATTTGGTCATCAGGGTGGTCAGGTAGCGATCCTCACCGAGCGACAGCAGGTTCTTCTTGTGGAGAGTGTCGACATCGCACACGGCGTAGTCACGGATAACGCCGTCAGCAATAATCAGCGGCTTGCCCTTGTCGACAGTTCGCAGGCGATACATGGTGAAACTAGACAGGTTAGCAAAGTGACGTTGGAAGACGATCATTGAGGGATGCTTACCATCCGGGCAAACAGGTGACGCTGCCAAAGAGAGACTCGAAAGCCTTAGCCAAGTTGTGGGAAATGAAGTACTCGTAAACTTGGATCATGGTCCACCAGGACTTGTCGTCGTTTTGCAGGCCCGTCTCACCGCAGATACCGGCAATCTTAGCATCGTTGGCGCATGCTGAGACTAGTCTGTTGAGCGAGTCTTCCCGGACACACGTGTCGGCGTCGACCATCATCAAATATTCATACAATTCGGGGTCGACGCCAATAATGTTGTTAATTTGGTGGAACATTTCCAGTTCAAGTGGGCTCATGGGGGCTCGGTGGTGGACGCGGTTGAGGAAGCTCATGAGGAGAATTTGGGAGTCACGCTTGCCTCTGTTACCGGGCTTGGACTTGGTCTGTTCCGACTCCTTTCCGCACTTGACGATAACGAGGTAAGGGACAACGTTGCCCTCAAACTCGTACAACCCAGAGTAAACCTTGCCGTAGTTCAGCTGCTCGCTGCCTGTACCGACGGACTTGAAGGGCAGCGCGGGAGGGTCAACCTTGGGATCGACGCCGAGGATATCCAGGACAATCTTGGGCGTGGGACGGTCGTTGCCAGCACCGACGATGATGCCATCGCAAATGACGCAAATGAGCTTCCGCTTGTTGTCGTATTGCAGCGCGGTGAGGGAATCAAGTGCTTTCCGCAACGAGTCTTCGCCTTCGGTGTAGGCAGGTACCTGGCAGATAACAAACTTATCTTGAGGTGCAGGGCGACGCTTAGAGCCGAATTGCAAAGCGGCCAAGAACTTGATGAGAATGACGGCGCAGAGAATGATGGTCATTGCCAGCATGATGTAGTTGTTGGTCTGACACCTGGCAGAGTAGCGGAAGTCTGGAATGCCCACGTAGAAGAGATTCTTGATACAGTTCAGACTGTTCTGGACAGATGCGTTCTCGGTTGAGTTGCTAGCTGCGCTCTTGGCAATCTCGTTCCAATTGTCGGTAACATCCTCGCCAGGATTGTTCTCGACGGCGCTTACGATCTTCGTGTTGAGGAACTTGTACGTGTCGAAGTTATCAAATACGTCCAAAGTCTTGAAGTAGTTGGTCAGATCGTATACGCCGCCGTCGTAAATGACCCACATGTGGCTATTGTCTTGGCCATCAGACTCGATCTTGCTCTTGTCCCAGACGAGGTCGCCCTTATAGAACTGCTCCATACGGGGCAACAGCTTCTTGCTGTACCAATCGGTGGCTCCCAGAGCACTGGTACGGTCATCTGCCAGTGCGCCAGACTTATGAATACCAATTGTGTACTCCGGAGTGTTGTTGTACTGGAGCGTAGTAGTCGAGGCGATACCGAGACCGGGGCACACCAGGGGCAAAGGAGGCGGGAAATAGTCGTCCATGTTCAGTCCAGCAAACGGGAGCATGTTGTCCTTGGTTGTCTCAATGGCAGTGTCGGAGTGCTGGGTCTTCCAGAACTTGGAGATATCGTACACACCACCTCGGAAGCTGACATAGAAATCGGTCTCGCCAGTGTGGTAGCCTACTTCCTTTGAACTCCAGGCCTTGTCGAAATTGGGACATAAGAGCCTGCCAAAAGCGATGATCCAAAAAACAATAAGAGCGTTAATGAGCACGATGAACCAGACGAGAGTGAGCTTCTCACGCCACGCCATGCGGACATCGGGGCGCTTCATGCGGCCGATGAAGCTGAGCAATGGAGAAGGGATCCAGAAGGTCCAGAACCAAACGATGGCAACCCATATGCGACGGTCCTTATCCATTGTCTTCTCCTCGACGTGCTTGCCATCGGCCATCTCGGGGTCCATCTGGCCGACGAACTCGCCCTCGTTGTTGTAGAAGACCTGGCCCTTGAAGGTGTCACCCTTGGTGCCGAGACCATAGTCTCCGTTCTGGACGTTGCGCATGCCGGAAGGAGCAACGGACGGGGCGCGCATGGCGGCATTCTGGGCGAGCGTGTGTTGTGACAGGTTGCCCTGGCTGAAGTTACGCTGATGGGCGATGAGGTGGTCCCGGCTGCCGTTGGGGGTTGCGTCCAGCATGGGCGTTGGGAAGTAGCCACTGCCATTTGCTGAGTAGCCGGACTCAAGATTGTTGACGGCCAGGACGTTGCCCATGCCAGGTAGGTTGTTATCCAAAGGCTTCATATCAAGCATACTCTCGGCCTCCCACCAGGCGCTCTCACGCACCCAGACGCGCTCCTTACCGACCACGACTTCGCCGTTGGTCCAGCCACGCTCGAGAATCCACGTCTCGATGCCTTCGCGACCATCCTTGCAGCCGAGGGCGTAGTAGCGTTGCACGAACTCGTCAATATCGAAGTCAGCAGTGAAGTCGAGGTTCTTATTGCGTCTGTTGGCCCACTCGGGCAACCGCCACGAACGGAGCTGGCGAGAAACCGTGCCAGCAGACCAGGCAGAGTTGATGGAGGGAAGAGCCGCCAGGCTCGCCGGTGAGTCGTCAGTAGGGTGAATGGAGAGATGATACCACACACGGCTAGAGCTCAGTAGAGACGCGATGTCGAGGCGGCCAGCACGTCCCAAATTGATGCCGTGACCAGCGACCGGGAAGAGTAGCTTCTTGAGGAAAGCGTCTTCGTCAGCGGAGTGAGCAATCTTCTCAAGGACCTCCTCTCGCTTCTCGAGTGCGTGCTGACGGTCCTTGCCAATCGTACCAGTCATGATGCCGAGCTCTGGGCCTACTTCACTAATAGCAGTCTGCATCTCCCGCATAACGGTGCTGCCAGCGGCGGAAACCTCGACGCCGTCTGCAATCATCTCCGAGTTGATCCCCATAGTGTCATCAAACACGCCCCGCATGGCCAGCGCCTTGCCAAGGTTTGGGTCGGGGACGTCCAGAATGGTGATGCAGACAGTGTCGCCGTCGCCGTTGGAAGTAGGCGTGCGAGCACCTCCTCCACCAATCGACTCGGTACCGTCCCTAACGCGGGCCATCTGAGCAGAGATAGCCTCGTTGGCCTTGGTGATGACCCAGTCAACCAGAGCCTCGTACAGACCGCCAACCAACGTCACTCGGTCCTCGGTTTTGCACTGAGTAGCAATAGTCTCAGGATCCATTCCAAGCAGGCCGCTCACATCCTCGCAAATCTCATCGAAAACATCCTCATCGAGGTTGTAGTCCAGCGTGTCGCCGAGCTTCAACAGGCCAGCGAGGGTAGAGATGAGGTTACGATGGGCAGATCCCTTGATACCGATGTCCTTTAGGGCGGATCGAAAGTCGTCGGCGGCAGCCGCATCATCAGCTGTTGGAAGGTATGATGGCGGGTCGTAAGTGCCGGATTTTGCAAGCAAAGCGTAGCTGGAGGCGGACTTGAGGCCGAGGAACTCCCTCTCTGCGGGGGTCGACGCCGAGGTCAGGAGGTAGTAGAAGACATCAAAAGCGCGATAGCCAGCCTCAGCAGGAATGTTCAAGAGGCCCTTGGTGGTGTCGATGCCAGCCTGAGACAAGGCAATGGAAGCCCCATGAAGGTTACCGGTCAGATTCAGGGTGAGGGTGACACCAAGAGCAGACTGACGGGGCGTGGAGGGGTTGTAAGGCGTGGAGCATCTCAAGAAGGGCTGGATGGCCTCCAATGACTTGAAGAGAGATGACGGGAGCGACAGCGGGAGAGACGAGAGAAATGGTGTCAGGATAGAAGGGCTCGATGTGTGAAGAGAACTGTGTGGCATTAGCATTTTCATCCCCAGCATGTGTTTTGTTTCCATACCCGAGGACAATGCAACCATCTTCAGCACGGCGGCGGGCATGTTCCCATGCTCTCGCGCCGAGGGCAGCATCTATGGTGCCTCCTGTTGTTCCATCGGGTCCAGTCTGGGATGCGGTAAGCCATGTGTTAACGACAAGACTCGTGCCAGCGTCTAATTTGAAGGGTTGGGACGACAGGTAGATGTTGTGGATGGCGTTGAGAAGGGTCGTGGTGGAAAACTGGGAAGGTTGTTGTCCAGCACGAGGACCTCCAAGGCCCTCGGAGGCCAGAGAGTACATGGACATTCGACCGTTCGCCATGGCGATGGAAATCGGGTCGTGATGCCCGGCGTGGACAACCACGTCGAGGGGCGAGACGCTGTTCGGGGGTTGTCTGTATCGTCAAGCAAGTTGCTGGCGGCGATGTAAACAAGACGTCGAGGTCTTGGAAAGCGAATGTAGGCTGGCCGGTGCAGGATAGATCGAGGGCGAGGTTGGATGAAGCGAGTGACTCGTGTAAGGGTGTGATTGATGTACGTGTAGGAGGAATTGGGGGAAGGCGTATATCCTGCACGGTTTGTCGCTGAGCAACGCGGAACTGTGTGTGTGAAGCTGCAGCCGATTCTCTCCCTTTCGTGCTTTTCCGAGGGGGTTGACGAGCAACAAGGCAAAAAGGAGGATAGGTAATAATTAGCGATGGAATAATCAGACCACCAGAGCGAGTGAGGCGGCTGTATGGCAAACAGGTAAAAGGGAAGAAAGCTAAAAGGGTCTCTCGAACGCTTCCCTGGATTGAAGTGAGGATAGAAGAAAGTGGCGAGCGAAAGGGGGGGGAGCAATAGTAGCAGCGACGGAGGAGCGAAGGCAGAGAACGACCTCTCTTGTCTAGGTACTCAATCACGCACTTGCTTTCTTACCCTCTAAACGGGTAGGGTAGCTAAGGCACAGGCGCCGGAGACGGCTAAGGCGAGGCGAGGCGAGGCAAGGTTAGGGAGCTGGAGCGTGGGTCTCGTAATGATGGATAATGGGAGAGATGCTCGTCGCTCACTCCTTATTGCCAAAAGGTATGGCTCAAGGTACCGCTCTCTCGAACACAGTAGGACGATCTACATACATACATGGCCCCGGTACCTGAGCTCGACTCGACTTGGGGGGAGCCCGAGTATGGAGGGATCACCCACAACACCAGTCTATCCCTACTACAGCGCTGCTGCCACACAGAGCTCAGGACATCCAACACAGTACGCGTGCCTGGATAGGGGAGCATTGTGAGGTTGTGTTTTTGCTCCTTCTTCCCTTTCTCTCTTCTTCTATTCCTTAGCTTCCTTGTCTTGGCCCCTGGACTTGGGCGGGCCAAACGGACCAGAGATGCACAGTCTCAGTCCAGAGGGCCCCCCGGTCCAATCTCGCAATGAAAAAAAGGGGACCCTGGCGACGTTGCCGCCAGGTTCGGGTCCCTAAACTTAGCCCGGACCGCATGTACCTTGCGTCAGAATAGGGAGCCACCCCACCGGAGAGAAACGACCTCGCACAGTAAGAGAGAAAATCTTACCTAACGCACGCTTCAGCCCTTCGTGGCTCTGCTCAGCTCGAGAGGCAAAACTTTGGTGGTGTCTGGCGACTGGGGATCAACGCTCCGTTAGGGCTGAGGTTGATGATGAGTGCTCCTTGTCCACCATCCTCTCATCCTCCGCTTCTGGATTGCTGACTTGGGATCCAAGGGCGCTGCTACATGCCGGCCTGTCTTGGTGTCTCCGTCCAGCCTGGCATGGCAGCAATACAACATACATAGTACATGGTACACCACATAACGCGGGCCAAACCCAGATTCCACACAAAGGCCCAGAGAAAACGACGTGGATCCAAGTTCCAACCCCCGGAAGCGTCAGACCAGCTGGAAAGGTTAAAAAAACAAAATAAAAAACAAATTGGCAGTGAGTGGCCCCCAAGGCCCAAGAGCCGTGGACACGAGTCCACAGTTTCCAGCCCGCACATTTGCTGTGGTGGCCACTGAATGCCCGACTAGACTGGGAAGGCTGTAGATCCGGCCACGGGCAGTCCTTTTCTTGGAACAAATACGAGCCCCGGTGACAGTGGAGGGGCGAAAGTCGGCCCACTCATCCGATCGCACGGCGGGAGGCGCATGAAATGCACGCTGAGCACGAATGCTCCTGATGTTGTTCCTGCTGCTCCTTGCTGAGAGGGGCAGGTCGTGCGATGCGAGAACGGATGTAAACCAAGCTTGGCGTGCACGGCAAAGCAGGATTCGAACTGATGCAAGCTTCACGGCAGGATGCTGCGCACCAGTTCTCGTGTTGTGCCCCTCGAGACGGACGTCTTGTTTGCACCACACACTCGCTGATGCCGGCAGTCCAGTACCTGAACTATAGGATGGGTTTCTCGGATCCATGTAGGCACAGCCAACGAAGGACGCTCTGCATCCAGTCAGCCGTGCCCATATATGTACTGTACTCACTAAAACGACCGTCGGTAGCGATAGCATGGCGGACCACAGTTTACACGTCTTCGTAAGCACCTCATGATCCAACACGTTGCATAGACATTCGTAACGTCGCAAGCGTGCCATCATGACTGCTAGGTAACGCGCTTGGGTGGCTAGTGCAGCAGACCTGCATCGAACCCCAATACTGGAGGCTGGAGCTGTACAGGATGCAGCCGGGGAGAGAGATAGAGAAAGAGAGGGGGAAGACGGAATGTCGGTACGGTTTTGGTATGTATTGCTCGTATTGACCAGGCGTCTTTCCTACATTTCTTTTTCATGACGCCCAGGATTGACAGGCTGGGTGGCTGTCATTTGCGAACGCCGCTGACAGGGCCATCTCAAGCGGAGCCGTGACACCACCACCGGACTGTAACTCTGAGACTTTGACTTCTTTGCTGGATGTTGACAACATCTCCATAGACCATTGGTTGGAGGGCGCGTGGAGGGTCGGAACTGACCTGGGTGGATGGAGTGTGTGGTTGGCTGCATGACCAACATGACGGGTTGGCGTGAGGGCTGTGTTGCGTATCGAGTTTTGGAGTGGGGTGGTGGTGGTGGTGGTGGTGGTTTTTATTTTTATTAATTCGTCTTTCATTGTTCACGGCGGACAGAGTAAACTGATGCGTTAGATTGATTTGCGGGGTCCATATGGAGTTGAATAGGCACATAGTATGGAGGCTTTGTTGTCGAATTCGATTCGAGGGCACCCACCGTATTCCAGCGGGAAGGACAGCGGTGGTGTGAAGCAGACTCAGGGAGCTTTACCAGGTATGTACGGGGAATCCACCCGCCGGATCGTAAAGCCCCACCCTCAAGGAAAGCATTGATCACTGAACAGGGCACCTGTACCCAAGTCTTTTTTTGGACCTCTTAGCGGCCGATGGGAATTGGCCCGCCGCTTCCAGACCCTGTCCAGAGGCCACGGCCCTCCCCCCCTTTTCTCAAATTTCTTCAACCCTCGTGTAGGTTAGGAAGGTACGTACTCGCGGCTACCGAGAGAGAGAGCATCGGGGAAGATCGAAGACCTGGCATCCGCATAACGGGAATACCGTTGCACAGCTTCCTCGCACTGTCTGGACTGTGTACTTGCTAGCACTTTTGCCTGCACCGCATCTTTCTTCTCTAGTTGAGACGACGGTAATTCGAGGTACTCAGCCCACCTTCTCCACGTCTGCCGCACCCAACCACCAGGGACGTCCATTGCGGCTTGGACCGTCTGCCATCCAAATACCATGGATGAACCGCACAGCACAATCCCGCCATCCTGCCTCATCAATCATGCATTATGCCCATTGTCCGAAACTCAATAGCAGCATCAGCCTACCCTGTGCGTACGGTTACTTCGCACGACCATGCAGAGGGCACAAGGCTGAGGTGATGAGACGGATACATGGATTTCGGGACGCACACAGCTCCCCAACCTTGGCCACATCCCGTGCTGAACATTGAACAAAGCATTCTCGTGATGGGCACCATCCTCCATGTACCCAAGATCAGGGGTGAGACGCAATTACACCCAGCATTCCCCGACGCACCGGACCGCCGAGGTTACCGGAGCATCATTGATTTCTACATTTCCCCCCAGTGGCGTCAAGCCGATCGCCTAATCTTAACCACCAAAAGTCGACCAATAAGTGGACAGTTGACTGTTTGACTGTCCTCTCCCTTGAGCCACGACTACGGCCATGGGATCCAACTCCAGCGATGGGATGAATCTTCAGGCACTACACGCTGGAACAGCCTCAGCATTCGCATGTGCCCATTTGTCATTGTTTTCCTCCTTTGACGGGCCTAACCCCAACGCTTCCACTGGTTGACATGGACGCTTGGCATTCAAACCCCCCGTCGTCCGCTTGCTGCCCTTCGGGACGAGAGTCTTGCGGCGCACTGGAAACGCCCACCAGCGCCACGCCCCCAAGTCCCAGTCATCCATTCGGCGCCTTCAACTACTTGATCAACCACCAGGGCAAACACCCGGCACGGGTACCGTGTCAACGGATGATACAACACATCTATGAAGACGCCGGTCATTCGGCACCACCAACTTACACCACTGTGCTGTGCGTTGCCGATGAGACTCAACCCACTACAAGACTCGGCGGTTTTCCAAGCCTCATGCACCAGTGTTTGCGGAGGAGCACAATGTTGAGCCGCCGCCTACGCCGAATCCGTCAGCCAACAACCGCAAGGTTTTGGTGTTGTTGAACAGACTTCTGGCGAAGCAGCGGACCTCGAATTTTTGTTTCGTCGAGTAGCAGGGTACTCCGTCTCACTACCCGTGTACTGGGACTTACATCCCTACCACTCAAAGCCAGGCAAGTGCCTGTTGAGCAGACGCCAATGTGCGCTCTCGACGCGGAGCCGACGTGAGCGACGCAAATGTAAGCCGTGTGCATTCTTCATGCTAGACGTGCCACGACCATAGCTATCAAGCATTCTCCGCAGGCCATCAACACCACCACTACATCCTATGCCATTTGGTGTTGTCATCCGGTTCGCCAAGTCGCGTCTGAAATGCTCATGGGGAGCATGCATAGACCCCATTCAGCCTTTTGGTCAATCTCGTTCTCACCCTTGAAGCGCCGTTATGATCACCCCGGTGAAGACTTCAAAGGGCTGGCACTCTCCTGAATCCGAAGCCGCTCTATCCCACACAGCAGTGACATCACAAGGTAGCAATCGTGTGGCGTAGAGGGATGAAAGGGCATCAACATTGACCGAGGACTTGGAAGTCGCTATAAACGCATAAAGTTCTTGATTCGGACTACTGTCACCACTACATCACAGCAAGCTCGACATCGACAAGCCCAAGGACCCCGCAGAGAATCGACGGAAGATTGAAACCATGGTCTAAATCAGCAAAACGGAGGACGGACAGGGGATATAAGAGTCCCGGTGAGGCAAATGACGGATACAAGAGACACAGTGCAATGTGAAAAGCGTCATGTTAACCGAGATCAGCGAAAGAAGGAAGGGGGAGAAAAATCGAGAAGCAATTCGAGCAGGGGTGCCGCCTGTCATTTCGTCCTCCCCGATGTGCGAGGCCCCCCTCGGGGCGGCACCCAGTCCTGGTATTGGACAGTGACCACCACACTGCAAGTGAGCGAGGGAGAGAGAGCAATGCCATTGCCAATGCATACAGCTGACAGGCAGTCGAGGACTCCAGCAGTCTGCAGAAGAAGGCAGTCACGTCGAGGCATCGGTCCACAGTGTGTGGGTTGTTCTGATGGCACAGAGTTCGTATGGACGGTTCGTGCGTCTCGTGTTCGTCCCGCCCGCCGGAACCGGAACCGGTGCGAGAGCTGCGCCCAAAGAAAACAATCCCCTTTCCTGGTTACCACACTCTCTCGCTCGTTGCCGCTACCCACCCCCGTTACACCCACTCTGCCTCCCTTACTACAGAGGCGAAGAGTGAGAGAAAGAAGACCAAAAGTGTGAGAAGTCGGGACTGACTTGACCTCCGAGAGCAATCGCTTCGTTCGTTTCGTGCCTCGAGCTTCTTCCACCTTCAGCCTCGCCATCCCTATCGCTATCCCGAATCCTCGCTACCTTTTCCTCACTCTCTCCCTGCACGCTCGTTTTCTTGTCTCTCAACTGTACATCTCCTTTCGTTTCAGTTTTCGACGACGACCTCCTTGTTTACCTCCTAACGTCACGACTAATTCGAGCTCCTGAATCACACCCTCTCGGGACTCTTTTTTCTCCCCGAACGAACCTTGACCCGTTCATCTTCGACTCAAGTCTCTCGCTCGACTCAAAGCCCCGCCATTGACCGAATCCCTAACGCGTATCTGGAGTTCATCAACCGAGAGCCGGCGGCGTCGTGCCCAAGATGGCGATGAACCTGCCACCTATCGGTGGAAACGGCGGGGGCGCCCATACTCAACCTTCTCTACCCTCGTTACCCGCACATTCACAATCAGACACGCAGTTGACGGCACATCTGGCAAGTCGCTTTCATGTGTCTTTGCCAACTGCTCGCCTCTCATCCCACGCCCTCATCTCGCTCAACACGTACACATCTTCCTCCAAGGGCCCCGATGGCGGCAAGGAGGGAAGCGCCATGGGCGGCGCCGAGGATATCGCAGACCGGGCTTGGATCAGATTGGGTCACAGATCTGAGAATCAGGCCGTAGTTTTCTTGTACGTTGCCCGGCTGGAATCCATGCGTGAATGTACAAGGCTAACCGCGTGAATAGGGGCGAATCCGGCTCAGGAAAGTCGACCATCCGATCCCATCTCTTGACCGCGTTCCTTGGCAAGTCGTCTACTCCTCTCTCTACCAAGGTTTCTCTGGCCGCCTACGTCTTCGATACCTTGACCACGACCAAGACCGCCACTACCCCCACCGCATCCAAAGCAGGCTTGTTCTACGAGTTGCAATACGATACGGCCACCACGACCAACCCCGTGCTCATTGGTGCCAAGCTTTTGGACCACAGACTCGAGCGCAGCCGTATCACGGATATCCCAACGGGAGAACGCAACTTCCACATCCTGTACTACCTGATGGCCGGCACCAGCACGGCGGAGAAATCTCATCTCGGTTTCGAGACCCCAGCGGGTGCCGCGTCGAAAAGGTGGAAGTACCTGGGTCACCCCACCCAGCTCAAGGTCGGTATCAACGATGCCGAGGGCTTCCAGGTCTTCAAAAATGCCCTCAAGAAGCTCGAATTCCCACGTAGTGAGATTGCCGAGATTTGCCAGATCCTCGCCAGCATTCTGCATATCGGCCAGCTTGAGTTCGAGACCACATCCGATACGCAGGTCACCGGCGACGACAGTGGCGGCTTCTCCCACGAGGGCGGTCAGACTGTGACGGCTGTCAAGAACAAAGATGTCCTCGGCATCGTTGCTGCCTTCCTGGGCGTCGGCACCCAGGACTTGCAAACCACTCTGTCTTACAAGACCAAGATGATCCACAAGGAGCGAGTCACCGTCATGCTGGACCCCGTCGGCGCCCGTTCGCACGCTAACGAACTCGCCCGCACGCTCTACTCCCTCTTGGTTGCCTACATTGTTGAATCCATCAACCAGAGAATTTGCGCTCCGGAAGAGAGCGTTGCCAACACCATTTCCATTATCGATTTCCCTGGATTCGCCCAGCAGGCAGCCACCCATTCAGCGCTGGACCAGCTGCTCAACAACGCCGCCTGTGAGGCCCTGTACAATCTGACTCTGCAGAACTTCTTCGACCGTAAGGCCGACATGCTGGAGAACGAGGAGGTTAGCGTCGCGGCCACGAGCTACTTTGACAACTCGGACGCCGTCCGGGGTCTCCTTAAACCTGGAAACGGCTTGCTCAGCATCCTGGACGACCAGACCCGGAGAAACCGCAGTGACCTGCAGTTCCTTGAGAGTCTCCGCAAGCGCTTCGAGGGCAAGAACCCAGCCATCACCCCCGGCTCGGCCAACACTAGACTCCCGGGCAGCAACTTCTACACCGAAAACACGGCTGCACAGTTCACGGTCAAACACTTTGCCGGTGAGGTTGACTACCCCGTCAAGGGTATCATTGAGGAGAACGGCGAGGTTATCTCTGGTGACCTGCTCAACATGATCAACTCCACCAAGAGCGAGTTCGTCGCCAGGCTGTTTGGTCAGGAAGCCCTGAAGACTGTGACCCACCCCAAGGAGCGGTCGACCGTCATGCAAGCCACCATCAGCTCCAAGCCCACGAGAGCGCCCAGTGTCATGTCTCGCAAGAACACTAGGACCGCCCGCAACCAGCGTAGGATCCAGCAGTACCAGCAGCAGGACGAGGCCGCTCAGGACGAGCTCGACAGGCTTAGCGAGGGCAATTCGCAATCTGGCAACGGCTCCAAGCTGCAGGCATCCGAGCAGGGCGCGTCCGGCCAGTTCCTCGCCTCCCTGGACAATGTCACCAAGTCTGTGGCTGACCCGAGCACCAATTCTTACTTTGTGTTCTGCCTGAAGCCCAACGACAGACGCATTGCCAACCAGTTCGACAGCAAGTGCGTACGCACCCAAGTGCAGACCTTTGGTATCGCCGAGATCAGTCAGCGCCTGCGTTCGGCCGACTTCAGTCTTTTCCTGCCCTTTGGTGAATTTTTGGGCCTCGCCGACTCGGATACGATTCTCGTCGGTACAGAGCGGGAACGCGTTGAGCTCGTCGTCGAAGACAAGCACTGGCCCAGCAGCGAGGTCAGAATCGGCTCGACTGGTGTATTCCTCAGCGAACGGTGCTGGATGGAGGTCGCCCAGCTGTCCGACGGCGCATCTGCCACTGGGCGGTACAACCTTCCGTCAGACGCTGGTGACGGCCTCACCCCCCAGGACACCCCCTTCGCCGCCTCCAAGGAGCGCCTGCTTTCCGCCGGCAATACACCTCCCATGTACGGCGAGAAGGGCAAGAATGGCTACTTTGGTCCGGACGGGTCCGACGCTCGCTCGGAAGCTGGTGTTTCGGCGTTTGGTGGTGGCGACATGTTCAAGAACCTCGACACCAGAGAACAGATGGCGGAGCGCGGCAATGAGAAGAGCCTGGAGGAAGTTGAGGAGTTTAAAGACAGTCCAAGTCGTAAGCGCTGGGTCTTCATGGTCTACCTCATGACCTGGTTCGTTCCGGACATTCTCATCCGCAAGATGGGCCGCATGCCTCGCAAGGATATCCGGGTGGCGTGGAGAGAGAAGCTGGCCATCAACATGATGATCTGGCTGTTGTGTCTATTCGCCGCCTTCTTCATCGTCGTCTTTCCCAAGGTCATTTGCCCCACTCAACATGTCTACAGTGCTGAGGAACTGTCGTCGAATGATGGCAAGGACTCCAACTCTGCCTACGTTGCGATCCGCGGCGTTGTCATCGACCTCGGTGCGTTTGCTCCTCGGCACTACCCCCCTTACGTCACAGTCAAGCAGCTGAAGAACTACGCCGGCAAGGACATTAGTACTCTGTTTCCGATCCAAGTCAGCGCTCTGTGCCAGGGCAAGGATGGCTCCGTTGACCCTCACGTCACGTTGGACTACCGCAACACCAACCTCACAGGCTCTGCGCAGCTGACATCGATTGACTTGAACTTCAAGTACCATGACTTCCGCTACTTCACCAACGACAGCCGACCGGACTGGTACTACGAGCAAATGGTAATGCTCAAAAACTTGTACAAGAAGGGCACCGTGGGCTACTCGGCGCAGTACGTCAAGACGCTCGCCAACAAGCAGCAGAACATTCTCATTCTGGGCGGCCGCGTTTACGACATGACGCAATACTTGGCCGGTGGTAACAAGATGCAGGCCAAGGCCGGCGAGTCAGTTCCGGACGATCAATCCCTGTCCAGATTCATGGACGGAGCGGTCGAGTCTCTGTTCCAGGGCAAGGCGGGTACTGATATTACGGAGCTGTGGGACAACATCTCGATGGACGCTGCCTTGAAGCAGCGCATGAAGACATGTCTCGACAACCTCTTCTACGTTGGCGACGTCGACACGCGTAACTCGGTCCGCTGTCAGTTTGCCGAGTACCTCGTCCTCGCCATTTCCATCATCCTGTGTGCTATTCTTGGCTTCAAGTTCTTGGCCGCGCTGCAGTTTGGTGGTAAAAACATGCCAGAGAACCTCGACAAATTCGTCATGTGTCAGATTCCCGCCTACACGGAAGATGAGGAGTCTCTCCGACGTGCTATCGACTCCGCCGCCAGGATGCACTACGACGATAAGCGCAAGCTGCTCGTTGTTATCTGCGACGGCATGATTATCGGACAGGGCAACGACAAGCCGACCCCACGTATCGTGCTCGACATTCTTGGCGTTTCCGACACTGTCGATCCTGAGCCTCTCAGCTTCGAATCACTAGGTGAAGGTCAGAAGCAGCACAACATGGGCAAGGTGTACTCTGGCCTCTACGAGGTTCAGGGCCACATTGTACCTTTCCTAGTCGTTGTCAAGATCGGCAAGCCGTCCGAGGTGTCCCGTCCCGGCAATCGTGGAAAGCGTGACTCTCAAATGATCATCATGCGCTTCCTCAACCGCGTACACTATAACCTGCCCATGAGCCCGCTTGAGCTCGAGATCTACCATCAAATCCGCAACATCATCGGTGTCAATCCAACCTTTTACGAGTTCATGTTCCAGATCGATGCCGATACCGTCGTCGGTGCCGATTCCGCCACCCGCATGGTGTCCGCATTCATCAACGACACCCGCCTTATCGCCGTGTGTGGTGAGACGGCGTTGACCAACGCCAAGTCCTCGTTCGTCACGATGATTCAGGTGTACGAATACTGGATTTCCCACAACCTCACCAAGGCCTTCGAGAGTCTGTTTGGTAGTGTGACCTGCTTGCCAGGCTGTTTCTCCATGTACCGCATCCGTGCTGCCGAGAGTGGAAAGCCTCTGTTCGTCAGTCGCGAGGTCGTCGAAGCCTACTCGACGATCCGTGTCGATACTCTGCACATGAAGAACTTGCTTCACCTGGGTGAGGATCGATACCTGACAACACTGCTCCTCAAGTTCCACAACAAGTACAAGACCAAGTACACCAACAGGGCACACGCCTGGACCATCGCACCCGACTCGTGGGCCGTCTTCCTTTCGCAGAGACGTCGCTGGATCAACTCGACTGTTCACAACCTCATGGAGCTCATTCCCATGTCCCAGCTTTGCGGTTTCTGCTGCTTCTCCATGCGCTTCATTGTGTTCGTCGACTTGCTGTCCACGCTCGTCCAACCCGTCGTCGTGGCCTACATCATCTACCTCATTGTCATGGTCGCGCAGAACCCCACCGTTGTTCCCGTCAGTGCCTTCATCATGCTCGGTGCCATTTACGGTTTACAAGCCATCATCTTCATCCTCCGCCGCAAGTGGGAGATGATTGGCTGGATGATTCTGTACATCCTGGCCATTCCCGTCTTCAGTTTCGCTCTGCCTTTGTACTCCTTCTGGCACATGGATGATTTCAACTGGGGTAACACTCGTGTTATTGCCGGCGAGGCGGGTAAGAAGATTGTCATCTCCGACGAGGGCAAGTTCGACCCCTCCGTCATCCCCAAGAAGAAGTGGGAGGAGTACCAGGCCGAGCTCTGGGATGCCCAGACGGTCAAGGAGGACGCCCGCTCCGAGGTTTCTGGTTACAGCTACGCCACCAAGGGCCAGATGCCCGCCTCCGAGTACGGCTACCACAGCCGTCCGGGCTCCATCGCTGGCGGCTACGCACCCCCGAGGGCACCCGGGATGGGGTACGACCAACGCAACATGTCGCGCATGTCCCTTGCGGCCTCGGAGATGGGTGGCAACCGTAACAGCCAGTTTGGTGGCTCACAGTTCTTCTCTCCCGAGGACATGGTCGGCCTGCCCAGCGACGACGCGCTACTGGCCGAGATCCGCGAGATTCTGCGCACTGCCGACTTGATGACGGTGACGAAGAAGGGCATCAAGCAGGAACTGGAACGACGCTTCGGCGTTCCCCTCGATGCCAAGCGGCAGTACATCAACAGCGGTATGTTTATTTGTCTACCACGACTGTGTTTCTTGACTAACAATGTTTATTAGCAACGGAGGCGCTGCTGTCTGGCCAGTTGTAAGCTCCAGTGATTGGTGATTTATACTTAATTTAATGCATCGTTCATTCTGGATATGGGGGACATCTAAAAAAGAGGCTATTTTATCATGCTCGGGGGTTTTGTTTTTGTTTACATGTATCCAGGGGTTGCATGTTTGTCGACACGTACAGTGGAATCTAGCATAATACTGGAAGAGAGTCATCGCACGAGAGAGGACAGACAGTCGTCGTTTCCTGTGTTTTCGCGCTCGGGGAGGGCATGGCGGATAGCTAGAGTTCAAGCATTCGCTGTCACATGTTTCTGAGACAAGTACATACAAACAGACCAAGAATTGTTCTTTTTTTTGCTTTTTATATATATAAACTACTTGGAGCATGACCATGATGTTTTGTCACGCCAATCACAACTTGGTGCTGACGGCTGCCACCTCCTGGTCGAGCGGCAGAATGTCCGGCAGGGGCCCGACGGGACTGATGGAAAAGGGGTTGATCTGCGTGTGGCTCTTTGTGTAGTGCCACTTGATATGCTCAAACTGCGTCGTGTCCTTGAAGGCTGGCACGTTCCAGTATAGGTTGCGCATCCACTTGTGAATGTAGGGGTATCCAGAGCGAATGTCGCGGATGTTGCACTTGAAGTGCTGCACGTAGACGGGCTGGAGGGAGGTATTGTTAGCTTGGTCGTCCCAGATGCTGCGCGGTCCGGGGGGGAACAACTCACGTCGAAACGGATGATTGTGACGTAGCTGGGCAAGTCGAAGTCGGTCAGCGTTCTTGAGCAAGCATAAAAACAAAACAAAACAGGAAAAAAGCTTGCGGGTCGAACACTTACAGCCTGATGTCGGCCTCGGTGATGTCTTTGCCAAAGTAGTACGGGCCCTTGTCGTGGACGGACTTGAGGTGCGCCTCGACCTTGTCCAAGGCCTCGAAAAGAGAGACGACGTTGCGCTCGTAAGCCTCCTGCGTCGTGGCGAAGCCCGACTTGTAGACGCCGTTGTTGATCTTGTCGTACGTCCACTCGTTGGTCTCGTCAATCTGGCCGCGCAGGGCCTCGGGGTAGAGGGTGATCTGGCGGTACTTTTCGTCCACGAGGTCGTCAAACTGCTCTCTCTCGGGTCAGCGGGTGTTCAGTCAAGACGTGCGTCAACGGCCATCAGGCGAGCCCCACCTCGGTGTAGAGCATGCGGATGATCTCGCTGCTCTCGTTGCTGACAATCGTCTTGAGCTTGGTGTCGTAGAGCACCGGCACGGTAAAGCGGCCATCGTACTTGGGCTCCGACTCAAAGTACAGGTCGCGGAGGTGCGTGTAGCCCTCGTGGCCAGGGACGGGGTCGGGAATCACGTTTTCACCTGGGATGTCCTTGTCATCCTTGGTGACGAAGCGCCATCCTGACGATTGTTAGTGCTGCTGCGTCGTCTGGTGGCCCAGGAAGAGAGCCACTCCCAAAATAGCCTCTGCCCATAGACTGCAAAACGTACCCTTCTCGCCGAGATGCCAGTGGACGACGGAGTAGCTAATGATGTCCTCGAGGCCCTTGAGCTGGCGGGTGATCAACGTCCGACAGGCCTGGTGTCCGGTCAGTGGGAAACTTCGTCTGCTTCCGGAAGAGGGGACGGCTCACCCACGGGCAAGCGTAGCTGATGTAGAGATGGTAGCGGCCCTTCTCTGGAGGGAATTGTGCGCCCTGCTCGCGCGAGATCCAGTTGCGGAACGAGCTCTGCTGACGCTTGAACTCGCCCGACTTGTCGCCGGGCTTGACCCAGTCGGTGACTTTGCTGGCCTAGTCCCAATGTCAGCTCTGTTCGTCCATTGCGCAGTGACCGTTCGTGCGCCGCACTCACCATTCTGGTTTGCTGTTTCTGTATGAGGCCCTTTGGCGGGGTAGCGGGTGTGTATCGCGACGCTTGGCTGGTGACAGCAGCAGACGAGAATACGCGGACGGACTGTATGTTTTGGAATGGTTTACAGAACCTCGTAAGACGGTTCAGAGCTCTAGCGGTCATGAGGATTGTCTGATGCGAAGGTGGCAGAAGGGGAGCGGGGGTGGACAAAGAGGTTTATATGTTGTTGTATCACTTGCAGACTTCGAACCCCCGCGGTAACCAACAGCGCAGAGGTCTCCATGACGAGACGAGGGGGGGGAGGGTTGGTCAGAGACGGGTCAGACTTCCGCGCGCCAGTCCATACAAGTCACCCACTTGACGAGCGATTCCTTCTACAAACACTGGATCTTGCCGGTTACAGCACCACCGAAGCCCAAATCGAATCCATTACAGCTTGCAGCTCCTGGATACGCACATTGGCGGCAGGCTACGATAGCTCTAAGCATTGCTAATCGTGACGTAAACCGGGGGTCTCCAGCGCTACTCCAACGCTGAATCGCCGCAGCATGGTGCTTACAAATGACCGCGTTGGTGGTATGGGTCTTAGTAATGACGGTACGTACTTCGCATATGGTTTAACATCGTGACTTTTCAGGAGTTGGCCACCAGACCCCACAAAGCTCAAGAGGGGAAATATAACTATCAGGAAGTTCTATTCCATACTCCTATTGCCTGTTGGCTCGACCATTGTTTCTGGCCATTCTAAACTTCATGAGCCCTCTAGACTTGCCTAGCCTTCAGATATCAAATAACCTTGTTCAAACCCCCCTATGCCATCTTCATCTTGATGTACGGAACCTCGACGTCCTCGCCGTCAACATCCTCGGCAACCATCTCGAATATAACCTCCTTCTGATGCGCCGGTACCGGCTTCTTGGAAACCGTCTCGACAAGCTGGCTCAGCTTGAGGTTCTGGCGGTCCTTGAGCTTGGCCGGCGGGAAGAAGCTGGCATAGAGCAGGCTAACGCCAGAACTGAGCATCGAGATGGTGAGACCCTGCTTCTCGAAGTGCTCCAAGAGCTCCTTAAGCGTGATGTCGGCCACCTCGAAGCGGTCCCAGATCTTGTCCAACTTGACGACGCCGTTGGGGCCCTTGAACTCCACCTTCGGGCTGGCAATCGGCTCGCTGAAGCCAAAGAAAGGCAGCGCGAGGTTGATGAAGCCGTTCTTGTACTGCTCCAGGTCCTCTTTGCCGTCAATGACCTTGTACAGTTCCAAGATCACCAAACCCGTGACGAGCGCCGTTGTCGTCGCAATGGCAGGGATAATCTTGCCAGCGATGAACTTTGTCTTATGCCGGTCGGCCTGCTCGATCTTGTAGTTGGCGGCGCGCAAGTTGCTGCAGGCCGTGATGAAATCGATGTGGTGGTTCGAGTCATCGTCCTTCTCAAAGTCGACGGGCTGCAGCTGGAAGCCTGCAAGCTCGTTGGGTGAGGGCAGGCTCGCAATGATCTTCTGCAGCTCGTCGTTGTCGTCGAACGAGCTGGCCTGGCCGGACTCGGCATTGGGGTCCTACAATTGTCAGCTATGTCATTAGCCGATGGGGTGGCTGTACTCACAGGATCGTTTTCGTTGGCTTGGATCTTGACGCCCTCCGCAGGCGAGAAGTCTGGCACGATCACGTTCTCGAGCTCGCGCAGGTAAATGTCCTTGGAGGTGCCAGGAGACTTGATGTTGTAGTTGAAGGCATGCAGATTCGCGGCCGACACGATGAAGGCAAAGTGAGTAGGGTCGTTAGGGTTAAACTTGAGCGGCTCAGGGGCGCGCTTGGGACCGGACCAGAAGGGCGTACCGCTGGACGTCACTGAATCCTTGGGGAAGTTGTACAACAGCTGCTGAATCTTGTTGTTGAACTCCTTCTCAAACAAGATCCGCGCCCACGCGATGCAGTCCTCGAACGTGCGGGGGCGGTCGGTGGTGAGGTAGTCGCGGAGCGTCTCCAGCGTCAGCTTGGCGCTGCCGCCCTGCTTCAATGTGCTCTCGATGTAGTTAGGCTGTGTCAGGTACAGGTTGACCGTCGACGGAGACGTGATGAACAGGTTCTCAAACATGTGGTCCTTGGACCACGCGATGGTGTGCTCAATCTTGTTTGGGAAACTCTTCACCGTGCACATCGGGAACTCCTTCTCAGGGGGGTCCTGTGACGACGAGTATGACTCGGTGAGATGGGGGAGGACGACCTGCGTGTTGCCCTTGGTTCCGAGCGTGCCGCTCTCGAGGAGGGGCTTACGGAAGAAAACGCAGCGCCGGTCGACGTACGTACGAGCCTCGACGTTGTCCAGCGCGTTGGTGACGCCATCTAGGTCGTTCCAGAAGTCCTCGTTGAAGGTCTCCTCTGTGTCGGGGCTCACACGATCCTTGAGGCATACGATGTGACCGTTCAGATCGGGGTTCATTGCCTGCACTGCCTCGGCCGCGCAGTCGCTCTTCATCTTACCGACGTCCTTGGGGCGAAACAGAAACTGGCGGTTGAGGTTGCTCTTCTCAATCGAGTCCATATCGGTGACGGTGATCTTTCCCTTGGGGCCGGTACCGAGACCGATCATGGCCCAGTTCTTGAGCATCTCACAGCCGATGGCACCAGCACCAACGAGGAACTGCCGGAGGTTGGCGATTTTCTCCTGGTATTCGCGGCCAAAGACAACAATCTGGCCGTCGTATCTGCTGCCCAGGGGCTTGCAAAGCTCGGCGGTGCGAGGTGTGCTGGTCGGAAGGGACTCAAGCGAGTCAAAGTACATCCACTGCTGGATGGGCTGGAACTTGCCAGACACGGCCTTGAGAATTTCCTGAGCCGCAATACCACCAAAGAAGGCGGCCATGGGGTTCAGGTCACCTAGCGCCTGGTAACTCAGCTCCTTGATAAGCTTCTCGTCGAACTCAACCTCCACACCCTCAGCCTTGGCGAACGCCTCTGCGGAACGAAGAATCACTGTCGCATCGGCATCGTCCAAGGGGTTGGGGAAACGACCCTGGCTCTCGACGAAAGCATGCAGGGCCTGGAAACCGAGGTGCAGCTGCTGGGGGCGGTCAAACTTGGCAAAGTCTGACATGACAAACTCAGGCTCCTTGATGGCGGCGGTGATGCTCTTGAAGTTGATCTTCTTGGGCATCTTGACCTGCTGGTACAGACCTCCGCGCTTGTACTGGCCGAGGCCGGAAACGTCGCCGATCGAGAAAGTGTACGGGCCCTTAACGGTGATCTTGCGGGGCTCGCTTCCGTTCAAACCCTCCATGCCCTCAACTTCGGAAAAGGTAACATAGTCGCCGTCCTCCAGACCGTGGCGGGTCTCGTCGAGTGCCGACACGACACCCTCCTCGTCGATGCCCGCAACAATGCCGTTCAAGGGGGTCTCGCCGGTCGGGTCTATGACGGTGAAGTTATCACCGAAATCGCAGAATATCGAGCCGAACAAACCGAAGGTGTCCGCAGCCACGACGTAAATGCCCTTGGAGTGGCAGTAGTCGCCGATGAGCGTCTGAAGCTTCAACGGCAGGCTGGTCAGGACAACGACTTGGTACTTGTCAAATTGCGAAAGGTTCTCGCCCAAGCTGCGCTGGTCAGTCATGTTTCGACACGGGGGACGACTAACCTACTTTGATGACTGGTGAACCTTGACCGGCGTGTATGCGTTCAGCTCGGCGACCCGTGGGGCCGTGACTTCGTCTCTCGGCTTACCGACATCCTCGGGGTGTAGGAAGAACTGTGAAGACAAATCGGCGAGAGCGACCAGGCCGGGGTCGTAGAGAGTGAGGCTCTTGACACCAGCGAGAGCAATGTTCTTTGCGATCTCGACACCCAGGCCCTTGAGACCAACGATAAGAATGTTGGAAGCGCCCATGCGCTTCATGGCCTCGTGTCCCAGGACATAGAGCTGGCGACTGTAAAGGGACTCATCGATCTCGGTATGACCCACGACGGAGTCGTCGACCTGCATTCGGGTCACCAGGTCGACCTCTGGGAGCTTCTTGTCCTAAAGAGAGAGAGAGAGAGAGGCAAGTTAGCAACGTGATGCACATAGCTGGTGGTAGGGCGTTGCCGGCACTGCGGGGTACGCCGTCGGCGTGGACAGATCGAGGGGTGAGGGAGTCGGCGGGAGACATACAGCCATGGCTTTTTTGTTGGGATCAGGTGTCTCCCCGTTGGAGAGCTTGCGCTTCCCCAGCTTGGCGATGCTATTTGGGAACGTCGTCTGCTATGACGTGGAAAGAAACACGGGTGGTGGAACGATCGAGCTCAACCCCACCAAAAATTAGGTGTGCCGTGTGTAGTGTTGGGCGGTTCGTGTTGCAGAACCGGCGATATTTCGTTCGTGTATGTTTCGTCAAAGAAGGTCTTCGCTGCGTCTCAAAAAGTACGGAAATGCACCAGGCAAACTCGTGTCACGTTGGATGTGGACGCGGATGGCAGAAGGAGTAGCCTCGTTGCGGTGATGTAAAGGTGGTCGTGGAGCCCGGGTGTGGAGGTGTTGACGAGGGGCAGGGAGTGCTTAGTGGACGGACAGCCAGGCTTGTAAGCAGCGGTAAGGTGCCCGGGCTACCTCACGTAAGGCAGGCAGGCGATGCACTGGAAAGCTCCACCATGCTATTTCTAACATTTGCCCCTCGCTGCATTGGTGATCCAGTGCCATATTTGTACACAGTGTCAGCTCGCACTGCTAACTTCTGTTCTGCAAAGCTTGTCGTACATAAAGGGGTAAACTTCCATCAATACCGTGCTTGTACACTGTACGAAGACGCTGCGTCATATTCCATCTTCTCCGAGAATCTACCGACTTCCATCACCGGCAGCCCAGTCCGGGGTCGAGCTGGGCATCACGAGAAGCCTTGATTTGAACACCGTAGTGATTGAGCTTTACAGAAGTCTTTCTGATATTCGATGATCTTGAAGTACAGAAGATACTACTGGCTGGAGAGAATGTGGGACATTGCTCATGGTGTAGTTGGAGTTACCAATTCAGGCTCTCTTTACGCAATTAATATTGATGCAAAATAATCGCAAAACCCATAACCGCAGGCCATGTGGCTTACAATAGCTCTAGACACACCTGAAAACATGTTATATGTTAGTGAGTTTCTGGACATAAGCAATAAACACACCCTAGAATATTCGCGGGGAGATTAGCTGAGTGACTATGAAGTCGAGTTCCTTGCATACAAACGCCTCACAACATTGAGGCAACAAGGAACTAGCGGGACGGTTATGGCCCATGCCTCAGCGTCTACCTGTATGGCTTGATTCCATATACATAGTATCCTTGAGAGTATCTCCGAGAATTGACATGGGTGTATGGGTTGGATTGACTTCCATAGATCAGCAAGCTCGACTCCTCAGCTGGGGTGGAAGAACCCATTCATCGCAAGAAAGCAACACAGCACTTAAACAGCCAAAACAGCAGACATATACGGTGTTGACATCACATTACCAACCAGCTTCGGTGGTGGGCTATAGCTCACATGGGATTCCGTATCACTAGCACTGTATGTACCATGCAACGCGAACTTGGGCAGTATTCGGTTTTGACCAAGAGACCCGGCAGTCAAGCAGGAGCACAGCGGAGCGGTAAATCAGTCAATGGCAAGGTCTGCGGCAGAAGAACTAGTTCAATTGAGTACGGATATGTCCAGACCACCTGGATAGCCATAAACGAATTGTCTGGCCTGGCTGCTTTTATGGCAGCCCCAGAACGGCATTCTCATGCCTCCCTCGTGTCCAGCCGCTAAACGCTCGCGCAAAATCCAGCACAAACACTTAGTTGACGTTCTTGAGGTGGACGTCGCTGTTGATATGGTTAGCAACCACCCAGAAGCTAGCTGGCCGGAGAACTTACAAGATGAGGTCGGCGTTGGGGGGAATGTGGCCGGTGAAGCCGCTGTGAAAGGGGGTTAGCATCAACCGGGAACACAGCAATAACAAGGCCCTCGAGCCAGATTGCTTTGGCAATGATTGAGTGCTGCTTACCGCTCGCCGTAGGCGTAGTCGCTGCGAACCAAAATCGTTAGCACGAAGCACAACATGTTGGGTGCCAGTCCGAGCTGCGTCGTCCGTTTCCGGAACCCAGATTCGGCAGAGGGAGGTCTGCTTACCTGGTGATGTCAAGGGTGGCCTTCTCGCCAACCTTCATCTTAGTGACGCCCTCGTCCCAGCCTGTAAAGTGTCAATCAGACCAAGGCCACAAACGTAGGTAGTATGTAGTCGTAGGGATTCGGCGGGGAGGTGGAAATCAACAGCAAGACGTACCCTTGATGACCTGGCCGACACCAATGCGGGTGACGAAGTCACCGCGGCCGACGGAAGAGTCGAACCTGCAATTCACAGACCCGTTAGCATTCTGTTGACTCTCGGGGCGCACAAGAACCACCGCAAATGACCGAGAAACAGGCGGGGTAATGGGCTGGGCAGGATGCGTACTTGTCGCCCTTTTGGTCGGGCTTGGAAGTGTCCTTGAGGTAGCCGGTGTACTCAATGGTGACGGTCTGGCCAGGCTTAGGGATGGCGCCGGAGCCCTCGGAGTGAGTAGTCTTGGTAACACCCATTTTGCTGTTGGTTGTCTTGTGTTGTCTTGGTGATTGGAATTGTGTGTGCGTTGCGAGGGGGAAGTGGGAGAGGAAGAAGAGAAAGAGAAAGCTGAAGCTACTTCTTAAGACAAACGGTACCTTAGTTGGTAAGAGGGAAGTGGGGTTATGGAGGGGTAAATTCGTGGAAGGGGAGCTGATGCAATAGTCCAATGTCGTGTCTGGCGGGCGGGACGCAACAACCTTGCGCTTTAAATAGTTGGAGGTCAATTCAAGCGGGAAACAGCCACAGCAAAGGTGAAAGGGCATGCATCTCACTGCCAGAGATTTCTGACTCTCAACCCAGTCAAAAACAAGGGATGCCGAAGCATTGCTGAAGCTGAGGCGGTCGACTCGCGCCCTGATCGCATTGGATGCCTCAAGCCAGAAGGTAGTGTACGATGTACATGCCGAAGCAGCCCAGAGCTTGATGATAAACCTGGCACACCATACGATGACTCGTGCTGGAAGTATTTCCCCCATTTTGTGAATGGAAAAGGTACTTCCGAATGAAGTACCCTCACCATGTGCTAGAAAAGGTTGCAACGACTGGATGATCTGTCGCTGAGAAGACATAAGTACTACTAAACGAAGGGTACAGTACTGTGCCTTCCGCCAAAGTATCAGTACCGACCATACCTTACGTCAGGTCTTGTCAGAAAGGCAGCGGGGAGAATTTCAACACATGGTCTCCTCTCCAATCCTCAACTTCGGTTCGCCTCCCGAGGAGACATACCTCTAGCGTCATAGCAGGTCGCAAAATGGCCCACGGACTTGTGTTAAGCTTTGCAGCTTCAGCAGCAGAGTTGTCCCGTTTGATGCCGGGAGGAGCTTGGGTCTGTGTCCTCGTCCTGCCCGTCAGGAAGTTGGCACCTCATCAAAAGAAGCTGGTTGAGACTGCGGTCTCAGCGTTGCAATCAGAACCGAGAGTCAACCAGTCAATAAGACTTAAGCTACCTCCATTAACGTACCGCACTGCAGCTTGCATGCTGCGCGTCTACGCATCCTTACGCAAGTAACCTTACCGGACTTGCTCACCTTGGAACCGCGTGCCTCGTCTCACCGCTCAAGCGATTGCTGGATGATTGGACTTGGCCATTTGGTTTGGCACGGCGCCCATCCGTGAGGACTCGGCCGTGCCGTGCGTGGGTGCTGACCCCGCCGCTGCACTTTGCCGGGTTCTCGACGGCCACGAAACTAATATCGCCAATGTCGTCGTCACTCCCAGGCCTTCCCCCTCGTGTGCGCTGCCGAGAGCTGCTTCGCGGCTCGGGAACCTAGGTTGGTAGGGGGACAAAATAGCGTCAAGCACGACGTCGTCTGTCGGCTATACTGACAGAACGAGGGGTCGCCCCGGTTTCCAGTTAACAGGGCAATTCCCCATCCTCACAGCCCCTCCATCCTATTGCGCTACCTGCAGATCAACGCTTGTCCAACCCGCTGCCGCCGGCGCCACTCGTCATGTCACCAAAGATCCTACGCCTCACCTTGAGTTGTATTTCGACTACGCCGGTACCCGAATGACCTCCAAGATCTCGTCAGCAATAATTTTCTCATCTCCCCCGTCCTCTCGGCCTTTCTGTTGTCGACCCCGCCAGCCACCAAAGACAGCCGTGTCAACAATGTGACAGGAGGCTCGACTTGACAAGAGAATATGACATTATGCACCTCCCCACCCTCTTTGTCAACCCCTCCAATCTCCGTCACGAGGGACGGCAAGGACCAAAAGCGAAGATTGCGAAAAGCAAAGTGAATGTGCAATCCATCCAACTGGGCCTTTCCCGAAGACTTCTCTGAGCCGTTTGGCATATAACGTGACTGCTCATATCCTTAGACTCTCAACGGATGCATTCTCGCAGCATGTCCAGCACGATTCCGGACGTGCTTGCGACGAAGCCCGCCCTCATCCTCGTCAGTCCACGAGTTCCATGTGAGACAGCCCCAGGAGCAACCCGTGGAATCTAGCATTACTGTACATCAAGTCCCGCCCCAGCAATTTCCAAGGAACGTGGCAGGGTGACCTCGCATGCAGTGTATTCACTGCGGCCTGTCCGAACCGTAACCTTGCCAATGAAGGCATTCGCAGGTCTTGCGATGCGGGCGTGACGCTGAACAAGACAGCTGCGGCGGACAGGTCACAATTCTTCAACCTTTCAAGCGCCATCCGATCTACGCAATGATTTCCCACTCATTGCATCATGCCCTGATACCGTGATCAAATGAAGCGAGCCGGCGAAGACTTTTGGTTCTGGGAAGGCAAAGCCTCCAACCCGTTCGTCAAAACGGATTGGTTAGGTGGTAATCCTTCCAGCATGTTGACAAGCCCTTCCGGCATTTGCGTGGCAGGGCGCGAGAAGCGCAACAGCCGACAGCCAGCCGTGAGGACTGCTGCCGAAGACGAAGACTGCGATACTCTTGATGAAGTGTTTGGAGCGGCCGCTAGAATGTCTACTGGGGCTCCTCGCTCCCGGTATTTGAGATGATGCAACATCAACTCATGTCATGAAGAGCTGGTTAGCGACAACTTTGGCCATGTTTCTTTCCGATCCTGACGCGCCCTGACAACCACGCCCGCGCGTGAAGCATCAAATGTCCGACCGAGGCTTGAGTAGTCGAATCCAGGCACCGGAACTAGGCGCATCCTTATCGGCGGTCGATGAGTGAGCGCCGACCTTCCCCCCCCAAATCGCTTACAGCTCCGAAGCCGTGTGCCGGAGCGAATGGCTTTGGGCGTCATCCATAGGGAAACTTGTAGGTTTAACGCTGAGAGCCTTCCATGTCCTCCCCGGCAAGCCCGGCAACCGAAGACGTACTGTTTCGCCAATCTGAAATCACTCGCGATACCTGGCACGGGTTTCATAGAATGTAAAAAATGAAATCAACACCGGCGGCAGGGCAGGAGCAGCGATTCCCCGCAGGGAGGGGGCTGAAAAATCGCTGTCCGAACAGAGCGTCGCAGAAGAAGAAACCCGTGACATGGCCGAGCTGGCAAGAGTTACATGTATACAAGGGTGAAAAACGCATGGCTGCGGCGTCGATGCCATGTTCCGGCGACATTAGTTGATGTAATGGCGAACGGAAGGGCAGTATCTGGCTCGTTCCTCGCAAGCATCGTGTCAATCAGACGGCGGGGAGTGGCCCAGCAGCGTTCACCCAAACATCTCAAACATGCCATCTGGACCAGCACGAACCGCGGGCCGGCTATGCGGCGCTCGACGGAGGAGCGCGTGCGGGGTGAAGACAAGATGAAGCAGCAGTCTTGACAACGCAGAAGAATGCCTGCACCGTCATGTCAGACTTGTTGTGATATGGACCATACCTGAATTTCCTCTGGATTGTTTGCGAATGGGTAAATCGGCGTTCGGTTCGTCCAACCCCAGAGACACTGCCAAACATTGCGAGGATCATAATATGGCAGATATACCGAAACTAGTCTGCTTGGAACGGAAGACACTGGTAGCTAACGTAAAGGGGGCGAGCGATAAGACGATCGGCAAGTAAACAATCCAGTCAGGGTCCCAGAGGATGAGCAATCAGGCCAACAAGCACCCTTCCCCTCCCAATAGATCTTGAAACAGCTTACTAAAATGCTGAGATGGGTCGCAATCGTATCGTCCGGCTATCCAACCCGCGCAATATGTTTCCAGGGTTTCAGGATTTGTAGCCCACATTCTCAGGTGTAGCCAAGCCTCACAAGCCTAGCCGTACGCGCCGCACAGAGCGGGAAGCACTGGTAGAGAGACACGCTCAAGAAAGGAGACGACGAGAAGGAAGCGATTTCGAAGCAGAGCAGAATGTCTGGGTGGTCAAGACGCTTATGTCGAGGGTCATGGCGTTTCCCTGACGGTGCCAAAAATCGAAATTCGTCACCTGAAGGCGTGAAGCTTTGGAGATGACACCTCCTGGAATGGGGATACACCACGTCCCCCTGGCCTGCGTCAGCCAGCGAGCCACGCCCAGGCTGTACATTGGGCTACCTTCCCCATTGACGATGGCGCGTGTCTTGGTGCCATTCGACTCAGCCTGGAGCACCTCGCTACCCATGGTGGCACACACGAAGCCATTTATGGGTAGTTCAAGGGGCAATCGACACACTTCCCATTGCTTAGGCGTGAGAACCTTGGGCGGGAGGGCTCGGGGCCGGACGGCAGCTGTTTAGGTGGCGCCGCGAAGCAATGGTCGGGCAAACGGTAATTGAGTCAACTTCAGATCGAGACATGATGTGGCTTCCGGTCGCTGCTTTCAAGACCGGCTTCTGAGCCGATGGGTCTTGGTGCAGTGCCTGGCACGCTGATGACACCGCCAGCTCGAGCTTGTCAATTCGATGCGACAGAGCAAGAGATGGACCACACAGCACCCTGCGGGTAGGCGAAGGATGGGGGACTGCAAATACTGCAACAAGGGGAGCGGTGACGCTGTCGGCAAGTCACGACAGTATCTTTCTGCTCGTGAGAGTTCTGCACAGCCTCGACCTGTTGTGTATCCAGGAGCAGTTCCGCGTTCCTCTTCGTAGGGTTCCGACTCATACCCCAGAATCCGACTACGCCGTAATTGTGAACACTGTCCTGGATCTGTTGGAGGAGAAGAGGGGGGGGGGGGGGGGGGGGGGGGGTACGAGAGCTCGCTCTTAACTAGCATGGGCTACAAACAGTGAGCCATGTGCAGGTTGAGTTCTACAGACTCAAGTGAGTGATTCGTGCGGTGTCACAGCGTTCTTTGAGAGGGAGGGACATTCGAGATCCAGGAAATGGCTCGCAGGCAAAGCCGGGGCAAATGTCAGCGACAAGGGCTCATTCCTGTCAATAACATACCTCGTCTTCTAGGGTGACGTCTGAGTTCTTATTTATCTGATTGAAGCAAGGAGTTAAGCGTACAGCTTGTGTGAGAGTAGACAAGCTCCAGGCTTGACGCGGATTTTATTCATTGCATTAACGATACTGTGCAAAGCCGATGAGAGAAGAAGCTTGGACATTTCTCACGGGTTGCGCACGTGGGGAAACACGCAAGACGACGTGTACACAGGGTCATTCGCAACCACTGATCGGAACGGGCGAGACCAGCAACTGGGCCTCTGGCCCCCGTGTATCCTGATCAGAGAGATATTATCCATAGTCCAGGCCCTGGACGTCTGGTGGATCGGCAGCGGCCACTCCACTTGACGAGTCGCAGAGATATTGACGGCGGCCGGTTTGCCGGCATCGGAATAGCAAATCAAGTTGGCAGCTCGCCGGTGGCCCTGCGCCTCATCCTAGTGTAGATACAGTTGGACGATGAGAGGCTCTTATATCGTGCACAAAAGCTGGCTTGAGCAAGCCCCCAATGTCCAGAAAAACGTGCATCGTTGTCTCACTCCACGTCCAAATCGTGTCTGTTTACTCTGTGTTGGTGCGTTCTGATTAAAGGCCCAAGCCCACAGGCTTTGATGGGGACACTCGAGACAGGCTAAGGCGACAGGCGTCGGCTCCCATTGGGCGCATGTTCTGAGCCATCCACAACGTCACATGGGGAAGGTGGAATAGCAGGGATGGCAGCGACGGGAAAAAGACGAGAGCAACACTTCGCTCCAACGGTGACCTGGTCCATTGGCAAGAACGAAAAAAACAAGAACGAAAGGACGGTACGAGTACCTCGGGCTGGCGGTACCTGTAAGAGAGGGCAATGGGCGCTGGCCATGGCCTATTTATCAAGTACCTCTCTGGTACCATCTGCCAGTTCGACTCCCTGATAGTCCGATCGAATGAGCCAATCGCTTGTTGGGTGCGTGTTGTGCACAAAGGCGCGTATCCCCGACCCATCCTGTAGGTGTTGATCAGCCGTTGGAGGTTGACGGTTGACATGGCCATATATGGGCCGTAGATCTGGTGGGTGTTCTTAAAACTGCCGCCATCGTTGGCATCGGGGTATTTGAACGCTTGCAAATACATCGAAGCTGCGATGGATCAGGCAGTCAGGGCCATGTTCCGCATGTGGATTTGAGAATGACTGGGTTTGAAGGATGACAACATTATTGATTTAAGACTGCAGGTGGCCGGTGGCCTGAGCACCAGCATTCCCGAGGACGGCAGGTAGTAATTTTTTGTGCTCATAAACATCAACTCTAGGCCTAATGCGCAGGTTGCAGCGCCAATAGAAATACAGTTGGACGCGAGCCGAGAGGGGTCTTGGGACTCGGGAGGAGTTACGACGCACCTCCAATCCCCAAAGACTCCAAAGTCGGGAATCGCGAATGGCTCCCGTTGCGACGTTGGACGTGGTCACAGGACCTCGAGATGCAGAGTGGAGGACGACGAGCGACGGGGGATTTCCACAAGAGGAGTTGCAGCATGGCAGATTGCCTCCGATTATCATTTCGCCCGTGTTGGGATTCTTCCAAGCTTCGCACGCTTCGCCATGCGGCCCGCCATGCTGTCGTAGGCAACGATCATCAGCGGAAAAGGTCTGGACTACCGCCATGACTGCTGCGTTGTTGACCAGCCCTGCGTCGAATCGTTTGTGCAAAAGAGTGGGAAGAGAGGGAGAAAGAAAAGACCCGGTGCCTGTCGGAGGCCGCGTCCACTCTTGTGGTGGGTGGACTATGTTTTAGGAGGAGGAGGGCCGATGTGTGCATGCACTGGCGCGGATTGTTGTGCAGCACGCAGCACGACGGAAGGGAAAGCACCTTGAGGAGTTGTGGCCAGGGATGGAAGAATCCCATGCAAAGCCTGGAGAAGGAAGCCGTGGGTGGAGAAGTCACGCAGGTAGTGATCCACAGTTCCGCAGGGGCTGGACGGCGTGAAATTGCCCGTAGCGTTGCTTCCATATGATCTGGCCAATGAAATACTCTCGCTTGTAAGATTTGCCCCTGTATCCTAGTCTCCTCTGTCCATCCTGGAAGGAGCATCAAGCCCCGGCAGATAAACAGGCAAGTCGGGCGGGGCTGACGGGACGACGGTACAGACAGAGACTTGCTTTTTGGCTAGGGACCAGGTGCTCTAGCAAATCTACGGATACAATGTCTGGGACATCCCCGCCTCATCCCGCTCCACCTCACATCATCTAAACGACGCAGTAGCGTGTACTGTACGTGTGTGTACACCAGGTATTCCACGACCTTGCAAATCAGGCGTGCCCCGAAAAAAGCTGAGCCTCTCCGTTTCCTCATTCCTGCCGCTCAGCGTCTTCCGCCTTGTCCCATCAACCTCATATTGCCAGCCTACCTCTTTGACATATCACACACGCTGCTCCGAGGACTTTGTTCAAGGCGTCAAGTCTGCTGGCCAGGCCCGTACAGCCGTTCTTCACCATTTTGGCCTCCCATCTCTCCATGGAGACCAGTCCGATCGTGGGCGCGCACCAACGATATTGTTTCCACTAGACGCCGCGGTCAGGTACCCGATCTTGGATTGGCTAGCACGTACCAGGGCGCCTCGATCCCTGTCCGTCAACGGGTCTGAGGGCTGGACGTCTTCTACCTGCGCTAGAGCAAGGCCCAGGTGGTGGACATGGACGCAGCAGCACGCCATGGGCAGAGGCACCGCCGCAACGGTAAAGCGACCTGAACGGTGGACCATGACCAGAACAGCAATGTCATTTCACGGCTTTCCACCCGTCCCACCACACACGTCCGGCAGAGGAAAGGGTCCTGGGCCAAGATTTGGTTACCGATGGACCAACATGTGCCATGTACCGTCCATGTTCTAATTGACTTCCGGTGAGAGTTGGGCCTCAGGTTACCGTCTTGACTCTCTGGGTAAAGATCGCGTCCATGGTGCTGTCGGGTCGGGTGTCAGCACGCACATTGAGACACCGTTGGCTTGCTGGACGACCCGTCAGCTGAGCCAGAGGGGGAAAATGGTGTGAGTGCTTGCGCCTCTTGCGTCTGCAAGATTCGGGGGACGAGGATCCTGAATCTGGTCACGTCTGCCCGCTTTACCCGCAATGGTGCCCTGACTGAGCATTTCCGTCCTGGGCCGTCCGCAGATAATCCATCTCCTTGGACCGGTGGTTGAAAACATATTCTGTGTTGCGTGGGCGCCGGTTGTGTACATGGCCGGCCTGCAGGCTCGAGCTCGGATTGTGACCAAGTGGTCGAGTCACACTGTCTTTTTGTCTCGTCTCAAGGCTGTTGTCCATCCGACATAACCTTAACCATGAACTGCACCGGCCAGGGTCAAGTTGGGATTGTACACACAGCAACGCAGAGATGAGACGGTCGATAGACGTGCTGGGATCGCTTACCTTGACCCGACGGCCACGGTGCAGCACCACGCTCAGGCACGCCACAATGGTATATACGAGCCGCTGTTCCGTCTGTAAGTGGTGTCGTCGCCATAGGTGAGGCTTATACGAGATGGGATAAGTTTGCAATGCTCCGTGTAAGCTGCTTAGATAGGCATGGTTGCAAGTGCGCTCCGCAATGCCAACAGATGATATTCATGGGATTTACTGTGCCGAGTCGACTTGCGTAATCGTTGTGCTGCATTAGCCTTCTGTCTCGGCCATTACTGCTGATGGGAGAGGCATGATTCGTACTGCGCCGAGCTAGCTGGCAGGCCAGCGGCGTTCTGGTGGGTGGTGGAAATAGATGTGGTAATAAGATGGCACTCATGGTCAGTATTATTCTCAGCACTGCACAAGTCGTGTTATCCACTTCCGCTTCTTCGGCCTTGGCTCACCTGCAGGGCTTTATGAGTAATGAACTGTTGGCGCCGGTGTGGTTTGGTGGTGCCGATGCTGTTGCCGCGTGGAATAAAACGGCAAAAAAAAAAGGGGGTGGGTGTGCAGCGCTGGCGGACGAGAAATGGGCTGGGCGCTGGGACAAGAAAGAAAGAATAAAATCATCCCTAAAAAAAAAATTGGGTGGCCACACCCCGAGCCCACGCTCACGCCCCCCTGTACGTCCGTCCGTCTTCCTCCAAGGTATTATGTATTTCCTGTGCCTGGACTTGCTAATTGCAACTGCCCAGCAGAACCCGGCTTTCTGCCATTCCAGCTTCCGTCCCTCCCTCCTCTACAAGTCTCTCGCACAGAGCGAGTTCACTCCATCCCATCCCCGATCCACCCTACCCTAGCCCATCCCATCTCATTGCCCCCCCTTCTCCATCTGCCTGTGTCTCTCTCTCTCTGCGCAGTCTCCCTGCTTTGCCTCTTTTTGCTGCCACCCCATCCCCGTCCTCCCCTGCCCCCAGACCCTCTTCCCTTGTCGTGTGTTTCCATCAATCAATCAACCTCCCATCCTTCGCTGCCTCGTCCATCCATCCACATTCTTTCTTGCATCCCCTTCCATTCCTTTACCACCCTCGCTTTTCCCTTCCCTTCCTTTTTACTCCTCTCGCTCGCTCTCCTCTTCTGCCGACCCCACCCTTCCTCGCCCGACATCGTCTTCGACCAGTCGTCCTTGACATCCTCTCGCCTCCGTCAAGAATTCCCACGGCGACGTCGATTCTTCGATTCTCACCTGCGCCCCTTCGTGTCGTGGAAGGGGTCCTTTTTCGAGCCGATCCTGCCGCCCCCGTATGTGCCTTGGACCGATTTGACGACCCTGAGGAGGTCCCGCCGACAAATGCCAGCTTCCTCATGAATTCGATATCGGGAACTGCTTTAATCACACAAGACGTGGCGGATCACTAAAAGAAGTCCTTCTCACACCATCCGACGATATCTCGTCGAGTCGCTCATTATACACATCAAAACCCGCGCCACACTCTTTGACAATACCTTGTCAAGTACATTCGTTCTATAACACCCTGACAAAGTGAGTCGCTGCTGTCACGAGTTGACGCCGACCCCGACTGACACCAGGCCTGAGACCTATTAAACCAAACACCAAGACTGGTATCTTTACAATCGCTTAAAACTATTTCAATTGATTATACGGTAATCGGAAGGGAACCATGCACGCCAAATCCACCATTCTGGCCGCCGCCCTGGGCCTGGCCTGCACTGCCTGCGCAGAGCAAGAGAGGCCCAAGATCTACTTCCCCCGTCACGTTAAACGACAGTTTACGAATTCGACGATCACGAGACAGGACACGTTCCCGGCGCCCGAGAGCACTCAGTCTGATTCTACGCCATCAGATCCCTTCAGTTCGTCTTTCGGCGATATCCTGACGAGCCTGTCTGATTCTCTTTTCGGCCCGTCATCGACCATCACATCGACGACGCTGTTGCCCACTTCCACCATTTCCAGCGCCCCTGACTCAGCCTCGTCTCTATCGACTGTATCGACGACAGTCGAAACTCTCCCCGATGGCAGGGTGACGACCGTTATCATATCGAGCACCATCATCTTTGACCCGACGACAGAGACAACGGATACAACCAGTCTTGTTGCATCTACGAGCGCGTTGCCCCCTGTCACTGTTCTGCCCACAAGCAACGAATCGTTCACCCTCGCCACGAGTGAAGCGCCCGCGAGCTCCCAGGCGCCTACGACCACGCAGGCAACGCCCACAACTTCTGACACCAGTGCTGTCGTGCAATCCAGTGCCGTCGAGTCCAGTGCCGTCGAGTCCAGCTCCGTTGAGTCTAGCCCCGTCGAGTCCGTCCAGTCTACTGTCGCTGCTCAGATTTCCACCACCGAATCTCTCCCATCTTCAGCTCAGACTTCTAGCACCGATTCGGTCCAGTCATCGGCTCAGGTGACCACCACTCCCGAGTCTTCAGCCGCCATCTCGACCTCTGAGGCTATCACTAGCTCTATTGCTCAGACCACCTCGGAAGTCGTCAGCTCGAGCATTGTGGCCGTCTCCAGCACCCAGGCCACCTCCACTTTGGAGCCAGAGCCCACCACACCCGTGTCGTCGTCTGGTATCCTCCTGGCACCCACGGGCGTCGTGACCTCGGCGTCCAACACGGAGCCCGCTACCTCGACTTCCAGCCAGGAAACCTCGAACGCTGTTGCCAGTAGCGCTGTTCCGAACGTCAACTCCACCGAGCCTGCAGTGTCTTCTTCCTTGGAGAGCTCCGTCGTCCTCCCCGTTGAGACAACTTCCGCCTCTGCCGTGCAGTCGACTCCGCCCGCCGAAAAGGTCTCCACCACCGAGACTAGTTCCGCTGTCGTCTCGGAGACCAGCAAGCTCGCCAACCCTCTGGATCCGATTGTTTCCTTCGTGTCCAGCGAACTGCCTATTCCGACCAACACAACCGAGCCCATTGCCAATGCCACCTCCGTCACCGAAGTTCCTCTCCTGTCGACATCTGATCTCGTTATCCCAACCCCCACAGCTCTCCCGGCCCCTACCGATCCCACGACCACGACACTTCCCGTCGCGACTGAGCCTGTAGCGAACGTAACGTCCTCGGCCGATGTTACTGCCAACCCTACCACGTCGCTGCCTGTTCCAGTCGAGTCCGCTGTGAACGTCACGTCCACTGAGCCCTCGGCTGAGCCCACGACAACCCTACCTGCTGCCAGCGAGCCGGTCGTCAACATCACGTCCTCCACCGATATCCCTGTTTCTGTTCCCACGACCGTTCTGCCCACCACTGACATTGTCAACGCCACCTCGACCGAGATACCTGTGGGACAGACGACGACCAGCACTCCTGTGACCCTTACGGACGGTGTGACGTCCGCACCCTCGACTTCGGCCACTGGCAGCGTTGAGATACCTGTCAACGGTACCTCCACCGAGGTTCCGGTGACTACGACTCAGCTTCCGACCTTAACCGAGCTTCCCACGTCCGTCACTACCATCAGCAACGCCACCGAGACCAGCAGCGTGACTCTAGTACCCACTGCCACCGCCTCTCTGTCATCCTCCTCGATCGTCAATGAGACGGCTACCGCCACGGAGCCCTTTCTGACCACCAGCGAAACCCTCACCTCCGCTACGGAAACACCGGCTTCAACGAGTGTTCCTGTGAACACGACCACGGAGGTTCTCTCGGAGACTCTTGTGGAGACGACGCCCACGCCCACGCTGCCACCCACGACCACCCCTGTGGTCATCAGCATCCCGGCCACGGCTACGATCACCGACTCTGAGTCATGGCTCCCGAGCACCATCATTGTGGAGCTGTCTACTTCGCTCAGCACACCCACGGAAGCTCTAGCTCCCACGTCAACGGTTCCGCTACCCTCCGATCTACCCAAGGTCATCAGCGGCCCCGAGCCCAACGTTGAACAGCCCAAGGACTCTATGCTTCTCCAGATTGGTTTCTTGCACGGCGAGAACTACCAGCATGTCAGCAAGAACCCTAACGCCGCCGCCCAGATCTTCACCTTCCTGCCTAAGGCTCTGGCGGATGCGGCCGGTCTTGATGTCGACCAGATCCGCATGACGAAGCTCGTCCCATACGATACCTCTCAGACTCTCGGCTACATCACCACGCTCGCCAAGTTCTATTACCCTAAGAGCATGGTCGACACGCTTCGCATGGACATCAAAATTCCTAACTCGGCCATCTACAACAACCCGGACCAGCTCGTTTACAACCTGACGCAGAACATCAACCCCGCCATCGAGATCATTCCAGGCTCCGAGGATGACGGCAGCTCTACCGGCGGCGACGGGTCTTCGTCAACCTCGACCCCCAACGACCCCAACGACCCTCTCGGCGGCGGCGACAGCTCCCAGCAGTCCCCTATCCAGAAGGGCACCGCGGCTGCCATCGGCATCGGCGCCGTTGGCGTTGCTGCCGCATATGGTGCCGCCATGTTCATCATTGCCCGCCGTTACAAGCAGAAGAAACAGGCGCACCGCCGAGCCAGCTCCCTCACCTCGTCCGAGATGCGCTACACTGGCGCTGGCAGCCCGCCCATGATGGGCGGTGCGCTGATGAGCCGTGATTTCTCCAACTACGGTGGGGTCGCCGGCGGCCGCGAAAGCCATGGCAGTGGCCGGACCGGTCGAAGTGGCATGGGCAACTCGGCGAGGACAGCTATCATCTCGGCCCCAGTTGCTGCCGAGAACTCTCTTGGCTGGAACTGATTGACGACATAAACGCCATTTCCATATCTGTCACCATTTTACGCTTCGATACCCTTCGGGAGGATCCTGTTTGAATGAGATGCTTGGCAATTGCCCGGTATCTACCGATGGCATGTAGAGGGGCCACATAGCGTGTCCTCGGCCATGGGCTATCTGCTCGAAAGACTTCTTTCCTTTTATTTTCTGTTCTCTGTCTACAATACCCTTCTACCCTCGGGCCGACTTAGGTCGCCCCTCTTACCATGTACTTGACGGCGCTGTACGTGGGCTGCCTCGTTCCGTCTTTGTCCGGACACCGCCTGGCCGTCGAGTCCTTTTTTTTTATTTTTTAATATCTTGTATCTGTGTTGAGGATCTATACATGGGGCGAAAGGCGGAATGGGGGAAGCATCAGATCCGTGTCAGTTCACGACATGCGAGGAGTTGGAAAGTGGCTGAAAAGCGGCGATACCCTGGGGGGAGGATCTCGGCTGGGTTTCCTTGTACATTTTTTGCAAAGGCGTAAGGTATTGCACTGCGCCTTCACCTCAGTCTCTCTTCTCCCCCCGCCTGTCAAGTCGAGATGCGCCAGGGTCTCGCCCTGGGGCTGTCGGACAAGGGGTCGCCTCATGCTTGTATTGTCGCAGATACAGCGAATAGAGTAAGAACAAAATCAAAATCAAAATCAAAAACCACTGCGTCCGAAGGTCCAGCGTTGCATTGTGTGCCGACCTGCGCAGGCTGTAAATAGATACCTAGTAATTAGCCGGTCATCGTATATATCCATTTGCAGCACCCCGTCGAGTACGTCTATGGCAGGTCGCAAGACGCTGGAAGGCGAGGCGCGAGTCAAAATGTGTCTACTGCTGCCACCACGCCTCGCGTGCTAGCAAACGTACCGCCTCGGCTGGCGACTTGGAAGAATGGCCGGTCGTATGCGACACTCCATCCATCATCTCCACCGCGTTCCTCGGGGTTTTCGGTATTGAAGTCTTCGGAATGACTGCGGAAGCCACCGGAGGGCCAGCGACCCTGAGGATAATAAGGACAAAAGACAAGAGAACACCAGGGACAAAGCAAGGTCGGAAGGAGACAGAGGGAAAGAGAACCACCGAATCACGACCAAAAGTTGGCGAATCGGCAGTCTTATAACCTCACGCGGTGTCGTCTTTGTACCGGCAATCTCACCAGCCCCAGGTGATTGGGAAACCTATCTACGTGGACTTCCTATGCTGATGAGCCTTTGGCGAGGTTTTTGCCTTACAGCCTTTGATCTGCGAGGCATCTTGGAGGTACAGCAGTCGGAACTGAAGGCCCGAGGGGTTCATTACCTTGGATGGAAGCATCCTCAAGGATGCCAACCGCGCCCACAAAGGCTAATCCCTGGGAACGCAAAGAGTCCATCGCTCGATCAGAGGCTACGCGTGCTTGAATGGCCATGCCCTTGGTCGCCGAGAACCTAAGGACTCGAGGAGTCACGATCATGCTCATGCTGGATCGGTCGAGCTGGTCCAAAACGCCCTTGTGGAGGCGGGCGTCCGAATCATTGAGACCGGCAACGGCGTGAAGGAAGTACATCACTGCACTGTTTGGCAACACAACAGCCAGCAAGGACAGCCTGCAGTCCAAGACCGATCATCTCAAGGAAGCCACTCGGTATTGGGAGGGTCGCCATTGGAGGCTCACCGTTACAGTGGCGGCTGTGAGAATGCATTTCAAGCCGGGGCCTTGGCAGCGGATAGACACCTCTCAAGTGCTGGCAGAAGACCTACAAGGAGAAGGGGTCGTGCTAGGCCTAGGAACAGGCTGAGAAGATATCCGGAGTGTAAAGAGGTAGTAGGAACTGACGTCGGTTTAGCTGTAGCCAGAACCGTATCCCGTAAGAGGTGACACGGGAAGTATCGATGAGACGAAAGGTCCGTGTCCATTTGCACGGGGCCAATTGTTTCTCAATGGCTGGAGTCTATGCCACTTGCGAAAAATAAGAGCTGGGTAAAAGTGATCAGTGCCTGACACTGTTATTACACTCAACATTGCTTATATGGGCAGGAGGTCTACGCCCACCTACCTAGGCGCATCTGGCTCAGCAGAATTTTCCTGTGACAGTCGGCTTGGCTCTCTTCGTTGTTGGGAGCGGAGACGAGCCTGGCCTTGGGACGACGCTCTCTTGTCTCCCTTAAGCTTCTTCCCAAACTCAAGGTAGATGCTGCTTAGCTCAGCAGAAGAGATATGTGCAACGGCAATGCTCATTTCGTCTGCTAGGTTAGCATAAAGTATAATGGCCTTCGTCTAGGGATGCTACTCACGGTCGACGGACCACTTGGTGAAGAACTTGGAACAATCTTGGTTGATGAGAAAGGTCTGGAAATCCGACGCGTCGTGCAGAAGATTGTTCGTGCTACCTCTTTTCACATACGGCGTCTTTCCCGTCGACTCGATGAAGGACTTGTATGCATCAAAGAGCACCGATTCGTACTTTGCCCTAAAGCAAGCCACGTGCTCGTCTGCATCTTGGGCGTCCGACTCCTCGCCCGCCTCCTGCTGGATCGCCCTCTTTTTGCTCTTGGTCGTTCTGCGTCAGAGGTCAGTCCATGTTGTATCCTACTGTCTCAATATCGGTGGCTTACTTTGCAGGGAGGACGTTGTGCTCATCTAGTTGCAGGAGAAGTTTCATAATGAAGCTGTTCTGCTTGCAGATGCCTTCTAGGTTGTTGATTATGATTTGATCGACAACCGACAGGAGAGATGGGTCTTTGGGCATAGCCCAAAGAGCGGTTTTGGTTACATCAGCCTCTGTGTCTGGGAGACCTGTGCGGTCGTTGGACTTCTCCGTCGACGATGGCATCGTCCTGGCAACGTTAGCACGGCGAGCCCATCTGTGCAAAGCGTCTCGGGACGCACCTACGCTGTGATTCGGAGATTATCTGATGACGGTGATGTCACGAGGGATGCAAGACAATGTGTCCTAAGGGGGGCTAATGGCGAACGGAAATCTCCAGTAGAACAAAAGGGCAAAAGTCCCCTGGAGGCTGAGAGTTGATCCGCGATGCTGCTGGGGAATGTGAAAAGGCAATGCCCCAGTAGAGGCTGATACTTGATGACGACGGTGTGTGTCTGGTAGTTGAGGATGATGCTTCTGAGACTCGGAAGCGTGGAGTATGAGAGGCTTTTGAAGGGGCCCGAAATGAGCAGATGCTTCTAGATGGCCGTAGAGTGAAAGCCGCTTCAAGGCGGAAGGTACGAGGCTGCGCTTCCTTCCTCGAGGGGCGGCAGGGGAAGGAAGGAGCGAACCCGCAGGCGTCATCTTCCCCACGAGGTGGCATACTCACTCTGAATAACCACCGCCCTAGCTCCGCCCGTATCTTTTTATTTCTCTATAAAAACACCTCTTTGCTCGTCACCGCCGCGCTTTCAAAAGAGCCTTCTCAAGCTTCACCCGCCGCGGCTTCTCTACTCGCGACAATCAACCATCTTGCTTCGGCCCTTCGATTCCTAAAGGCATTGGAACTTGACCATTCACAATGCCCATCAACAGAGAGCTGCGCCTCGAGGTGAAGAAGAAGGTGGCCGAGCTCAAGCAGTGGGTGGAGGAGACGGAGGTAAGTGTCCGACTCGACCAAGCAACATTGAGTGTGTCTTCTGACCATTATCTAGGTGGGAAAAGCATGGATGCGGCACAAGCGAAAGTTGGACCAACAGTGGTGGGAGGAAAACTTCCCGCGAATGCCCGGCATCTACGACCACCTCGATGCCATGGAACTCAGCGGGGAGGAAGACACCGAGTCTAGCAACCACGCCGAGTCGGCCGACAAGGGCGGACTGAGAGCTGTGAAGCAGAAGCTTGTGGACATGGAGCGTTCGAGCAACGAGGACAGCTCCGAAGACGCTGAAACAGCGGAGTACGACGGCGACCAGTCATCCTCGGACGCGCAGCTGTCCGATTCGGAACAGGACTCGGACGATGTCGCGTTGGACGAAGGGCTTTCTCCCCCGAGCATCGGATCCTAACAGGAAGAGCACGACGCCGAGGCCCTCCTTGACCACGCCGACATCCTCACCGACCAAAAGGACCATGCCGCTATCTACGATGAGACCCGCGAGGAAGAGGATGACATTGGAATCGACAAGGTCGGAATCATATGCGACAAGGAGGAGGGTTCCTGAGAGAGCTTCGTCGACGGCGACTCGGACCCTTCGTCTAGCGGGGACGAGGCAGATGAAGATAATGCAACGTTTGATGCTGTTGAAGTTGGCGAGCTTACCAGAAACGGCAATGCATACAAGAGCATGATTCGCGGGTCTGCACACTTGAAAGCCCAGCGGGAGGAGATTTGCAAGGAGACGCGGGTTAAGAAGGGTGCAGAGGGACGCAGATCTACGTCTCATGCTGTTTAAGACGGGAGGGTTGGTACGCTTCTGGTCTTTCTCTAGAAACTTACACAATAAAATTAAACACCACATGCGACCATGTCTGCTGGAGAGCTTGTGATGTCTGGGTTTAAAGCGCAAACTAGGCGTTCTCTGTTCACGGCACAGCACGACGGCAGATCCTAGAACTGCCTAGCTCTATTCACAGAAAGCCATCCGGGCATTGATTGAAATTCAAAATAGGAAAACCTGATGGTGGTTTTGGATGTCTGCAGTTGTACCGTGGCTGGGTTCGATTCCCAGATCGTCTATTACTATTCCTTCTGGCTACGGGACTTGTTCAACCAGTTAAAACCTATTTTATTTGGGTCGTCATGGGATGGCTTTTGCGTAATGCGATGTGTGTGACCTTGACAGTGAAGGTGAGAGTGGTTGGGTTGACAATTGTATTTGCTCTGTCCACGAGAGCGATGCAGCAGCACGACGTGCGCCTACATCCAGACGGCAGCCGTCCCAGCTCACATGTTCCCCGACGACAAACCAACCTTCAACAACGATGCACAAAGCTGTACAACAAGCTCCCTGGCCCTGTTCTCCGACCCGTCTCTCCATTGCGAGCCGTCGCCTTCCCACGCAATCGCCACGATCCTCGCTTCGTCACCCGCAACCACCTGGATCTCGACGATCGGGGACCCGGTCCAGCTCCTCGTGAATACCAGCTTCTCTTCTCCCGCCAACGAAACCACCCATCGGTCGTCCATGCTCTCGGGCTGGTGTCCGCACCTCATGCGATCCCAGGCGCCGGCAGGGAGGGGACAGTGCCAGGGTGCGGTGGTACGCTTCGACCACTTGCGGGCTCGTTGACCGTCGTTAGCATTGTTCGATCTGGAGGCCGATGCTGATCGAGGTCTGCGGTGGAATATCCGTGGAAACCGCATCGCTGCGAAGTAACGATAATTTATGTTTGTGGAAGGGAGCCTGTACGGTAAGCCATCAGCTTGCGTCATCTCTCAGGATAAACCAAACCAGGTGACTAAAGCACTGTCAGCTGCCATCTCGTACCACACTCTGATGCCTTCGGACTCTACGACAATAGCAACAACATCGCCTTCAGCTCTAAATGGCTAGCTGACGACTCATCTGTACTTTATCATGTTTCAAGGGCGAGTTTAATGAGAACCTACAGAGAGGGAGTAGGTTCATTCTATGTGGCTCGATACGAGGCTAGCTCTGCCTCTGACAAACATGGGGCCCACCGCTTCATGGACCTCAACGCCGTAGCCATGTCATCACCATAATAAGGAGATGCCTGAGATTTTCCCTGCGACGCCAAACACCATTGTAAAAGCCAGTTCAGCCCGCCCTATTTGCCACATTTCCTCACGTTCTTCCATCTCCAACAAAATGATACATGCCACACTTCATGCCTCCTTTGAAGCCTCGCTGGAGCCCTCGATGATTGAGGGTGTAACGTGAGCAGTCGTGTTGTCATCCTCCCCAGCAGCAGCGACTCGGAGATGGGAAGGGTTAGCTGGCTCACTTGGATTTCCAGGGGTCGTCGTTCCAGGAAGCAGGTCCGTCAGTTGCTTTTCTGTTCGCGTGTTAGCCAAGTACCGCAATATCTCCAGAAACTACTCACCCAAGTCACGAATCCGGTGACGCAGCATTTGGTTCTCCCTGACAAGCATCTGAGTCTCTGCCTGGTAAAAGGCGCTCTCGTCTCGGCCACCAAGAACCCAATGATCACCGCTATCACCGCTTATAGACGTTGACCGCAACCTCGGAGAAGCACCGCGACTTGGAGTTCTGGACCGGCGCTGGAGGTCTGCTCTCGCGATATCAAAAGAGCTACGGGGGTGCGGCATAACAGGTGATCTCGAGAAGGAGCCAGAAGAAGGCAGTGGCGTGAAACCTGACGGAGGCAAGATGCTGCTAGGTTGCGAAATTGGTGTTCCTTGGTTAGATCTCTCTGATGCAATGGCAGAATCTTCGACGGCAGAGGAGCTTTGTCCTTGAGCAGCCTGCAGCTGCTGGAGTTGTAACTGTTGCTGGCGAATCATTTGCAGCAGTCGGTTCTGTTGCTGTTAGCTTCTCAACACCAACAAGAACCGATCATCACTTACGACCTGAGCTTCCTGCTCAGCCTCGAGCTCCTGGTGGAGCTCACCCAGACTGGGAGCTCGGTTGTGGTGAGGATCGCCACTGGGGACCATCATCGGCGACGTCGCCATGGGCTGCGGACTGGCGGTTGTGGCACCGCCAGACTGAGCGTGTTGATTGTCTGCGACCATCTCACCCGGACCGGGAAGAGAAGGATCGTTGAGTTGCAGGTTCATCAGAACCGTGGATCGTCTTCGGCCGGCGCTGGGGGATTGTCGACTTCGCGAGAGGGAACCGCTGGAGGAGCCTAGAACGCGATTAGCACCGCGACATTACGTGACTATCATCACACATACGTCTAGACGGCTCGTGCTGGAGACCGGCGTTCATGGTGGCCGCAGCTTGCAGCGAGGTCGAAAGTCGGCGGGGCGAACCGCTGGGCGACTCTCCTAGAGAAGCGGGACCGCCGGCGGTGGGAGGGAAAGGGACTTCGCTGTTGGAGGAAGACATTCTGGATCGAATAGGCAGAGACGGAGGAGATGAAGGAAGAGAGTTCAGGTCCGGAGCCATGTCATTGATGGTTTTGTCAAACTGAGAAGGCTGTGCTTGTAATTCGGTCGGTTGACCTGGGGTATCCAGCGACGCCGCAGCAACAGTGGTAGTGGACCAGGCAGTCGAACGCTAAGAAGCGAGAGATCGTCGTCGAGATGGTTACAACTCTCTGGTGACAGGCGGGAGGTGGGGTGAAAGTGCGTCAGAAGTGGCGCTCTAGGTACCCAGTGTGAGGTAATCTAGTATGTCAGTATCGGGGCAGTGGAAGCAATGAAAGCTAGAGGACAGGTCGAGGAGCTTGGAGGAGGTTTGGTCCAAACTGAGAAGATGGGGGTTCAAAGGAGATCAAAGGTCAGATACACATAGCGATGGCATGCCTGGTGGATGTCTGCTGACCGGCGATGGTTGAGTTTCTGGATTCTGGAGGTCACGAGTTGCATCGGTCGATTCACCTTCACTGGAAGGAGGTGCTGAAGTAGGTAAGGCTGGCTGCCCCTCAGCAAGTACCATTTATGCCAGCGGGGTTGCCCTCCAACTGTTGCGAGGTAGGTGGTAGCTAGCTTCCAGTACCTGCTCAGAGCTGTGTCGTCGGGTGCCCCTCCCACCAATCAGACGCCAAGTTCCATGGAGGGAAGACGCTAGAGGCGACCTCTCTAAGAGGATGGGTGTGCTTAGTCATCATATTCCCCAATCAGCCAGACCTTGTTACGTTGAGGATACAGCTCTCAGTAATACCGCCAATGTCGAAACCAAAAACCAAATGACAATCCAACATATGGCTGCCTACACCATTCGTCGCTCCATAAAGACTGTGAACCGTTTGGTTCAGAGAACAGCTGTCTGCTCGGAAAACCACCGGAAAGGCTGTGGTTGTGGGCGGACACAGACCTCAATAACCTGTTAACAACCAACATTGCCTACACAGCTCACCTTCATCACTTGCCTGACTCTGCACAATTGAACCAACGACTTTGGCGTACACAAGCCGCCCAGGGCAAGTGTCCAGTCCTTGCGCGCGCCTCGCTGCTTGGAGTCAAACCCGCTCGCCATCACGAGGATTCCATCCATCCTCGGCTCCCAACCCGCACTGTCGAGACTCATGGGCCCGATGGCGAACACCTGGTATTGTCAAGGTGGCGGTGACCTGACAAGCCACAACTTCTGTTCTGTTGGTTTCCCACCTGAGGCCTCCAAAAACATACGCTCGAACTGGACGGCGCGCTGTCAAACGAAGCCTTGGGAGCGGATTCCCGATGTTTATCTTCCGATGTTTATTCTTGTCAAGACGGTCACAGCCGCGACTGAGGTCTCAGGTGAGAACCTTGCGCAAGCCATCGCCTGGTAATACTCAACGGGGCCCGAGCCTTCTATTCTGGAGACTCTCCCCGCTAGATCTCTCGCCACCGGCGCCGGGCTGGGCAACGGCCACAGGAACAAGCGCAGATCAAGGCGCCGCCGGTAGCCTTTTCAGCACTACCGTTCGCGTGCCTCGCAGCGCTGGTGGTCTAAATCCAGTATAGAGGGACGGTGGCGTCGTTGCACCCAAAGTCAGCGTTCCGCTATGCATACACTACAGCCGCACACCGAAAGCCTTATCAAGAATCGGTCTTGGCCCACGATATGTGTGCAGCTAGCGCAGCCGGTGACGGCAGTCTGTACCCAAAGGACAAGGAACAGACAGTGACATGCCCTTGGACCACGCGGTCAGCGACTGTGCGTGTGCTTGCGAGCAAAAGGAAGCAGAGCTAATGCCACCGCGGAAGAGGCCGTTGGGCCGTTTGGTGGACCGTGTCGCGCGGATCCGCGGCTGTTGCTTGATCGCCATGTTCATCAGATCTGCTGGTTTCTGGGTTGGACGATTAGCAGACTGTACACATCAGCGTCGTATCATGACGTGCTGGCGCAAAACTGGGATGTTGGCTGCACCGGTGTGCTTCTCCGCTGTCATCGACTGAAGTCTCTGGGGAGAGATGTGATTCAGCTACGTCCAAGAAAGTCGTACAGCTGCGCGATTAAGGCAGGTTTCGACAGTCAAGGATTGTTCGGCTGGCAAGAGATAAACAATGGATACCAGTACCTCAAAACCAAGTTGGCATGTAACGATTGCCTTGGAAGGTCGTGGACTCGGCAACCCTACGCTCGCAACCATTCACTGGATCGAGACTGTTGTACCAACCTGATGACCTTTTTAGGCTGCACTTTTGGCTTGCAATGGCAATGCTGAAGAAGAACAGTTCGATACACCGAAACACATCTAGAGATGCACAACCACTGCAATGACAAATTCGCTCGGTCACAGGAAGAGACAGAAAAGCAACGTGGCGATGAGACACCGGCTTCGTGCGGTTGGATCTCCACATCATTGCATCTTGATATCGCTGCTATTGCATTGCTTATCAGCCCGATTACTGCGTTGTTGAAGTTGCCAAAAGCCAACTCTGACGCCCGTAAATCGCCACAACCAAGACGCCGCATCGATGATGAGCCCGGACGTCGATTGAGCCTATTCTGCCGCAGGCGGCTCCAAGGCTTTGCTCACCAACAGTACCTGAAATGCTGGAACTATCAATGCCCCTGTAAACAGGGACTTGCATGCGTGGAGGACACGAGAGATTCCGACAAGCTGGTTGGTGCTCCGGCGACTGAAGCTCAGACCGGGTCGAGCTCCGAGGGTTGGTGGAGGACGTAAATGGACGCTACTGCAGGAACAGCATGGCCCAAAGAACACCATCGCGCCAGATCGAACCCGCCAACTCTCTCGTGTGCGCTTCCAAGGGCTGAAGCCACAGGGCTTGAAGCATCTTCTCCACAGGTCGGAGGGACGCGCGACGTTCGAACCGAACGCCAACCACGAAGGGACAAACGCGCGGTAGCGAAAATTCTGCCTCCGACGTTGCATTTTGGACGGCAAGGGTGACTGGTCAGCTTCAGAGATCATCTCCGAGGCGGAAAATTTGTTTCGACAGCGGCTGGCAGCCGAGGAAGAAATGGCCCGCCTTGAATGCAGGAGATCGGGGGGCCCAGCCGGTAGTGCCGGCAGTCTTGATATCAACAGGCCCCAGTCGATATTGGAACGAGCCACCAGTAGAGCCTCGCTTTGAGCACCGGTGCAATCGACACGATAATGTGCCCATCAGTCGGACCCCATCAACTACTCAGAACCGGCAATAAACTTCATCAGTGAGGAAGGTTCAAGGCTGCAGCATGCAAAACACCAGAGGGTGCGCCGTGGGACTCTCTGACCCTGATCGCTTAGGACAGGCTCCCGTGTTTTGAACGAGCGCAGTGTCTTCATCCTAGAGAAGGGTCGGATGGCATCTGTACTGGCCAAGCGCCATGTACACAAGAGTCGACCCAGTCGGCGGCTAGGGTGGAACGATCGACAGCGAGCTCATGGCAAAGTTTATGGAAATGATGAGGCTGCAACTTTTCGCCCCTGCTCCTGCTCCTGCTCCTGCTCCTGCTCCTGCTCCTGCTCCTGCTCCTGCTTCGACAATTCGTCAGATGAATGGGAGTGCCTCATCGTCCACGAATGGCAATGTCGCCCCCCCCTCCTCCGAGTGGCGGCAGCAGCTGGCTTGTGTAAGTGTTTCGTCAAGCGTCACGAGCCGACGCTAGTCACCGCACTCGCAAAATAGCGAAGACTAAAGGGGTTTCAAGACGCCGACATGTTCGACCATTGCCAGTCGACACAGAATATGGGGAAGACAAGGCCGACAAACAACCGACGGGAGTCAGGCAAGCGATGCAGGGGCTGAGATGGCAGGCGGAGCCGTAGGATCTGGACTCCGAGTTTCCTGACCCGCTCCAACAGGCCTTCAATCTGGGCTCACAAAATATTCGAGGCAGAAGCAAAGGACAGGTTATTTTGCGTCACTGGGACCAGAGGGAGGGATGGAATCAAGGGGTCAGGCCGTGGGGCAGGAGGTGCACATCTTCATGAGATTGATAGCGGTGAATGGGGACGCAACCAGGGTGTACAGTGGATGACAAGAGCCAGATTGGTCTGGGGATATGCTCTGCACCCTGCCGGCTGCCGGGCGGCGGCTGCGAGGAAACCCTGCCGGGGGACAAACCAAAACCTCAGTTTTGGGACCTCGTAGGAAACGGCGAACAAGAAGCGCGGAATCAAGCCACTCAGGCGGTAGCTCGTGGGCTACAGTTTCGAGACCTCAGGGGAGTGGCGATGCTAGCGACGGACGGCTATGCGCATAGGCCCAAAGCTCTCAAGCCGATCTCTGTGCACGAAGTTCTCGTGGTTCTAGAGAAAGCCTGGAGGAAGCGGGAGGGGAAGGGGGCGAACATGTGGTTGGCAGAGGCGGTGCCGCGGTCCCATGGCCCATGGATGGATGTTATCAAGTGGTTGGACCTCGTGTTGGTGATGTGTTTCTGTTCGGTTGTGCTGGCCACGTTGGTTTTTTCTGCAAATTGGTTCTTTGCTTTTTCCTTCTTCCATGTCTTTGCGGCGCTTCGTTTTGTTTCCTCTCCGCAGGGGGGGAGGGCTTCATTTCACGGAATTGCTTTTGGTAGTGTAGACACATTCGAGATGGTTGCGCTGGGGTGGGGGAAGTATTGTATTCCGTTCCAGGGCATCTACTTCCGTGCTGTTGGTGGAGGGGTGGAGGATCCATGCCCCTTTGGTAATGGAATGTCGCTATTGGCCCTTGCAAAGGCCAGAGCTGCCCGCCCGCCCCGTTGGATTTTGGACGATTCTACAGGTACACTAGGCCGGCCATTCGCCAGAGGCGACAGGGAAGAGTCTTTGGCGCGTTTCCCTGTCACGCGTCCACAGCATCCCCGGACGAGCATGGGGCACCAGCTCCCTCTGTCGTCTCTTCTTCTCATCTGCCTCAAGGGTGAACCTAGAACCGGCGAGAGAAAGCACTGGACGAAAGAGACTTCGTTTACATGGAGACCGGTGGACACGTCTGTTTTCATGTGTTTCTCTCTCTCTCTCTCTCTCTCTCTCTCTCCCTCTCTTTCGGGTCGTTCGCACGGATGGCAATGCTGGACCTCCATCTCATAGGCAACGGCTGGAGAGGACGATGCACGCTGTGCGAAATCCAGACGCAAAACTTGCAGCTCAGTCAAAGTGAGATACGGACCGAGGGGCAGAGCCATGGGCAGGTAGTTAGACACGACAGTCTCATCTTTTGTTTGCGGTACGTATCATTCCTTTCGAACACGTATTCTGCAATGATCACCACCACAAAAGACATGAGCGATCACCGGGTGTCGTAATGTCATTTCGCGGGTGCACGCTGCTGCACGGCGAAAACCGATGCAGGCCTCACGTTTTTGGCATATCTCAGAGCCATTTTCGTTTTCCAGCAGCCCTTGTCAGGGATTGTCAGTTGGCCGCCCTTTTTCGGCTGAGGCTTCATTTGCCGTGCGCCAAACCTTGGATTTTTGTGGTAGCATCAACAACCATCGCGCAGGGGGCGGTGACCACACAACCCGAGATGGGTTCGGGCATCCAGGGGATCCCAAAGAAGAAGAAGCCATTTACTGAGCCCGCCAAGCGTGCCATGGGGTTTGGATGGAGGCGAAGAGAGTGAGTGACTCGTCGCCGCGTCCAGGAACCGCTTCCTGACTTACCCGTTGTCGCCGTCGTCGTAGGTTGGTAACGTAAATGAAAGTTTGTCTTGATCGGGCGACGGGACACGTCCAATGTGACGCTCAAGATTTTTTTATTTTTCCCCCCCTGTGTTCCCTCTCCCAATTCCCCACCTCGCCAGGTGTTTGTAGAGTCGAGATACATGAATCCCCTGCCCGGAGGTCACGAAGAAGGCGATGCCTAGTTGCGCCGTCAAATCCCACCCTTTGTTGCTCATCGCTGGGCTACAATCTACAGAGTCTGTTCTTTGGGCAGCATCTACATGCGCGTTCCTTTTCTCCCCCTTTGGCTCTGTCTCTGCTGCCGCCACCGGTGTTCGGACTCGCTACATGGAACGAGTTGAAGCTGATCAATTGGGCGGATGGCAGGCTGGGGACTGCAAGGGGCCACCAGGGAACATTGAAGCCGAGGATACAAGGTTCAGGGAACAGCCAGGGTCCTGCGCTTCAGCCCGGACGCAGACCGCGCTGTCTCTTCGGCGTCTCTGTCTTTTCAGTAGTCCACCCCTATCGTCATCGGGAAAAAGAGAGTGAGTACAAGGGAAAGGGAAAGCCCGCCGGAGCGGACGGGCGAAAAGTACGTACTGAGAATCCAGGAATATCCCAGCCCTGAGGTGGCCTTGGATACATAGGCACTTTGACGTTGACTGGATGATTGGACACATACCGGTACCTGAGGTGTTGGACGTATCCTCCTTGCCCATGGACCAAAGCTTGAAGACCAGTGTACTTCGCAGAGCGGGTGCGCTTGCGCCTGTGTGCCTGTGTGCCTGTGCCTGTACCTGGGCGTGGGCTAGCAGCTAAAGTAAGCCCACTGACCTGGCCTAGTGGCCCGGCCGAGCTCCTTCCTAACGCACTTTCACCGTCCATCACTCTCGCAGCATCCAGCTGTGCTCTGGTCAATGTCCCCATTGTTGTTATTATTATTATTATTATTGCCCGAATGCCCTCCCATCCTCCTGTTCTACGCGAGTGCTGCCTCATTTTATCTTCTTGTCCTCTCCCCCGCCCATCTGCCGGTCCCGTCCTTGGTGCAGCTGGTCCCGTCAGGCAGGCCCTCTCTTCTCGCTCTCACTCTTTCTCTCCCCCTCGTCCAAACTTGTTCGTAACCTTCACCTCAGTTCTGTGAATTGCTTCTTTCTACCTCATCCCAAAATTACCTCCCAGCCCGAGCCCAGCCTCTTACAGCAACATCATCCCACCCCCCGGTCATATCCATCACGCCGCCGGGCCTCACACCAGCACCGAGTTCCAATAGCGCAAACACTTACAAGACGCGCCCAACCTCACCGAGCCCCTCCTCCCTCCCTCCCCTTCGGCAGCATCTCTCTCATCAAACTCGAAATAGTCTCCCAACCCACCCCCGACGTCCTGTTGCCGGGGTCGACGAGCTTGGTCCAAAAAAAAAAACCCACAATCACACCCTGCCAACATTCGATTGTTTCTTATGCCTACCAGCTCTACTTACATTACCAAACCCACCCATTGTTCCCTGTTATGCCTGAACGCATTGTCGTCCCTCACTGTCTTATACTCACGTCACTGCCCACGCTCTTCCATTCAGCAAGCAGTCTGCTCGAACCCCTCTCATAAGCAACCGCTCCAAATCGACGTCTGGCCAGATCAACTGACCCAGCCATGGCCAAGCTCGAGCCGAGCAGTCCCAGTGCTGCCACTTTTGCGGAGACGCTGCAGTATCGCGCGACGCAGTCTCGCAGAGCACGACCGCCCGATGTGCAAACCGCTTCCGCCGGAGCGTCGACCCGCGTTCCTCTGCGCCCTGAGAACAGGCTCAGCAGACGAGATTCGCGCATGGGACTGAAGAGCATCTTTGGCAGGGCAAAGCCGGCCCGCGAGGTCGACCCTACCGCGTCCTACTTCGACACTGGACGACCCAACAGTCTTCGCGCCTCGCTAGCTGAAATTAGCAACTGGCCTCACATGCGATCCGAACTCGCGCTATCCAGCAGCCACTCGCGACCGACATCCGTAGCCGCCAGTCCGCCCTTCAGCGATTTCTCCCTCCAGAAAAGACCTACAACGTCGGAAAAGCCACAGATCCAGAGCGTCCCCGCCGCGAGATCGTCCCGTGGCAACCTCGCTACGTGGGATCCCCCACCACTATTTCAAGCATACCCCCAAGCGATCAAGCATGCCCATCTCCCCGCAGCCACTACGTCCGCCGATGTGATCCTTCGCCTCACCGACCGGAAAGGCAGCATCAGCTTGCGGGAGGACCTGACGCAGCTCGCGCTCACCCCAGAGCTCGCCCAGGAGCACGCCGATAGGGCAGCTGAGAGGGCGCGCAGGAAGCATCTGCGATCCCTGTCAACGGTCAGGCTAGAGTGGACATACAAGACTTACGTCCTCTGCACGTCAGGCTACTTGCTGCAATATGCTGGTGAAGGCAATTTCGACCGCCTGCCGGAAAAGGTGTTGCACCTCAGCAAGGACTCTGCTGCGTTTGTCAGTGATGCCATTCCCGGCAAGCATTGGGTCCTCCAAGTGTCTTCGGCAATGGAGTCCAACGGCCTCTCTACAACCGACTCGCGGTCGCTGCTGGCCCGCCTGCCCTTCCGTGCATCCGACAAGAGACATGCCTCGAACTTCCTCATGGTTTTTGACAGCGCCGACGAGATGGAGTCGTGGATAACTATCCTGCGCCGGGAAATCGAGGCGCTAGGCGGGAAGAAGAACCTTTCGGAAACCGGCAGGCCTAGGGCGGACGACAGAGTCGCCCAGCTCCGGGGCCAATCGAGCCAGCGCACTCTGGTCGTCCGCGACCCAGATAGATTCTCGCGAGTACTCCCGCCGGACTTTTCTTTGCAGCTGGAGCAAGCCAGGCTGCGCGAGGACGAACGTCGTTCTGCGGTGGAGGCTGATCTTACTCGTGATCCCTCGATCGATGACGTTTCCACTACCAACAGCATCATCTCCCATGACGGCCGCCAACTCGACAGCTTGCGCGACAGCACCAACCGGCTCTCGTACATCTCGTCCGGTCAACGTACCTTTCTCACGTCCGCCGGCTCGTCGCCCGCGTGCTCTCCCGTGCGCGACAGTTTTGCCAGCAGCCACCTTGACGACCTGCCTCCTCCGGTGCAAGAGGTCCCTACCGTCAGACCGAGACCGAACGCTGCGGCCATTCTCGACCGTCGTCAGTCTCTGCAGACCTCGGGCTACCTGGAGCTACGTGGTTCGCCCATGTCTCGGCCACAGTCCACGTACACCGAGGCCGACTTTGCGCACGTAGCCGCAAACTTCAGCGTTCCCATCAGCAGGCGTTACAGCGCGGTGAAGAGCCCTTCCTCAAGCCCCGAGCAGGCGAGAAATCGCGACTCGGTCCCCAGAAACGTCCGCAAGCCTCCCCCGACTGCCCTCGCCATGGCGCGGCCTCTGTCGATTGTGGCGGATCAACCATCTCCCGTGCAGCGTCTCGATGCGGCCGAGGGCCAAGCAGCTGAACTCTCACAATCCGAAGAGGAACAGGGGAGCGATGTGTTGAACGCATTTCCTCCCAGACAAGCCAGCCTTGGTCCCAAGGAGGAACCGGTCACGGTGACTCTTCGAACGAGCCCGAGAAAGTATGCCAGTTCGCCATCCCTTGGCAAGGTGGGCGAGACGCCCCTCTCGCCGGAGCTCCGGACTTTCATCCTCCCGTCCAAGACTCCCAGCCCGGCATCTCCTTGCGAAGCCGGTCGGGACTTCTCTCGCCCACTATCATATACGGGGGTTCTCTGTCTCCTGCTCAGAAAGCCACCAAGAGGTTCACCATGCACTTTGCAATGAGCCACTCCCCCGGGAGCGACGACATGATTACCCCTCTCCCCACGTCACCCACGGTATCCTCAGCATCGCCCAGATCATCGCCACTGGCACCACCAATTCCTCCTGCCCCCTCGGGCAAGCAGCTGCTCCGCGGTGACCACTCGCGAGCTGCTGACCTGGGTAAACGCAGCATGCCTCAACTGGTCGAAGGACCCCCACCAGCGCCACCACCAAACTACGCGCTGCCCCCTATTCCCCAGAAGGGACACTCCAAAGCGTAGATTGTTGTTTGCTTGTTCCACTCACATGAGATCGACTCTTTCATTTACCCACTTGGGCCATGGCCTACGGAGAAGCCCGCGACGGCGCAGGTGTTACGTTTCCTATGTATTTTTGATTACTTGGGTCTGTTGTTTGCGTCATACCCCTTTGCTGCGCAAATCGGCGTTTATCGGATAGAAAGGCGCCTCCTCCGTGGTTCGCCATCTGGACGGCATTTGGACCGTTTCAACGGTGGCGGGCATATATCATGGTTGGTTCTGGGTAACGTAAAAGGTAATAGAAAACCCTGGGACAGGCCCCAGTAACGCACTGTATGAACTGTGTTAGTATAAAAGACGCCTTTGTAAGGCAACAAAATATAAAGAATGGAACCGAAAGTTTGTCCGCTGGATGTGAGGTGTGTGACGCAGGAATGCTCCCACGCGGTTGATGAGAAGAACCGATGAGTGAACGAATGGGCAGAGGCTGAGGGGGCCGATAAGACCCAGAATGGCCTAGCGCCCCTTGCCCCACAGCAGCGTTCGGTGGCGCACCACGAAAATCAATCAACCATCAAAATTCCTCCTTCAGGACCCCACCACGAACTTGACCATCGCGACAACCCGCTTCGAAACAGCAAACCTCTGACCGATACCGATCGATTTTCGAGCCTGTATCCGATTGCCACGTACCCGAAGAAGATAAACCGACATCATGGCTACGCCCAAGACCAAGTACGCCTTCTGCACCGACCCTTTTACCACCCAAAGAAAGGGAAAAAAAAACCCACCGTCCAAAATAGCTAACCCCCTCAATCAGGCACGACTGGGCTGACGACGAAGACGTCGAGGAGACGTCGACCGAGCTCCCCGCGCCCCAGACTATCAGCAACAAGGATGGCACCAAGACTATCATCACCTTCCGCTACAACGACCAGGGCAAAAAGGTCAAGATGACCCGCCGCATCCGCTACACGACTCACACGGAGAAGGTGAACCCGCGCGTCGCCGAACGCAAGACGTGGTCCAAGTTCGGCCTCAGCGCCAAGGACCCCGCGGGACCGGCCCCGGACACGACTTCAGTCGGCGAGAACATCATCTTCCGCCCCAGCACGAACTGGCGCAAGGACGAGAAGGAGCAGGGCGAGGACGCCGGTGCGCAGGCCCTCAAGGACAAGCTCAAGGACAAGCAGGTCAAGTGCCGTATTTGCAACGGCGAGCATTTCACCGCCCGCTGTCCCTACAAGGACACGATGGCGCCCGTCGGCGGCGACGTCGCCGACGTTGCCGCGGGCATGCCCGACGAGCCGGGCGCGGGCGGCGCTGCGGCGGCCGGAGGCCCTGGCGTCAAGAAGGGCAGCTACGTTCCGCCGGCGCTCAGAGCCGGCGCGGCAGGCGGTGCGGCTGCGGGAGACAGGATGGGCGGCAGCAAGTACGGCGAGCGGGACGACCTCGCCACGCTGCGTGTCACCAACGTAGGTTTCTCCGTCCCCGGCGCTGTGGCTGTTAGATGGTTTACTGACAACCCGACGATAGGTCTCGGAGATGGCGGAGGAGCAGGAGCTTCGCGACATGTTCGAGCGCTTCGGCCGCGTCACACGTGTGTTCCTTGCCAAGGACAGGGAGACGGGTCTGGCCAAGGGCTTCGCCTTCATCAGCTTCGCGGACCGTGGCGACGCCGTCAAGGCCGCCGCCAAGATGGACGGTTTCGGTTTCAAGCACTTGATCTTGAGAGTCGAGTTCGCCAAGAAGGCGGCCTAAGCTGGGAAGCAAGTGGGATAGGGGGTGGTACGGGTGGTACGGGTGGTGGTGGTGGTAGTGGTTGTGCAGTAACGATGACGGTTCATTTGATGCTACTACTGGTGATACGGCTACGGCAACGGTATAAAAATTTTGGCATCCTGGGGGTACGGTAGATTATCCCCCTTTTTCTCTCTCTCTGTCTCGGAATTCCAAAGTCATGATCTCACGGGACACTAGACGGTATGCTTGAAGGGAGTCGTGGTGTGCTGGCGAGGGCTTGGTCAATGCAGGCCGCCATGTATGGGCCCTGTCGAAGAAGGGATCCCGGCAGCCAGGTTTTTGCAGAGTTTTCACGATCGCAGCAAGACTGCGGGATTCACGCGGGAAAATAATGTTGCTAGGTTTTCTGGTAACGACGAAAAATTTGACGCAGGTATCTCTTATGAAGCTCGCCACCCCAAAACTGACTCCTTTTCCGCCCTTTTCTCCCGGTCAATTCGAGTTGCCAAACCGATATACAAAGAAAAAATAAAAAAGGGTGATGTGGTAGGAAAAAGCCAACGACAATTAAGGAAAGGCTTCGACAAGACGCCGAATGAAGAGGCCCAAACACGGCCGCCGGATCCTCCTTTGTCAATGCCTGTTGAATATGTGTGGTGTGTATTACTGGGAGACTCCGCCTGTATGTTGGCTCCATCATCATTATCTCGTCCAAGGCCGTGAGGTGTTGTTTTCAGAGAACAAGCACTAAAAGAGTATAGATACGTAAGTTGGAAAAAAAAAAGGAAATGAGAAGAGGGGGTTGGGTTTGTAGTGTGATGATGGAAACGACTGTGGGTGCCCCGAGGGCGGATGGCGGATAGCGGGTGTTGTGTCGGTGAGCGACCTGTAAGTGATGTCTTCGATTAGGCGAACACATGATCGCGCCGGCGCGAAAGATGACGGTCCCGTCGCAGAGCGAGTTGCACGAGACGAGGAAGACACCTGACCTGAAGACCATGGGCGCGGAACGAAGGGAGCGTGCGGCGGAGGACGGCGTGATGTACGGTGCCCCTGGAGTCCCAGGCTTCAACCCCCTTCACCCACGTGTTGGACTCGACCCTGCGGATGGTCCATCATGAGGCCTCCTCCTCGGCCGGTGCATCCTCGGCCGGCGCGGCCTCAGCCTCGCCCTCGGCGGCGGCAGCCTCGCGCGCGAGCTTCTCCTCGAGCTTCTTCTTCTTCTCGAGGGCGCGCTGCTTCTTCTTGGCGTCGGCCTTCTGGCGGGCGGCCTCCTGGCGCTCGTCAAAGACGTAGGGGAGCGACTTGACGGCGGAGAAGGTGACGGCGAGGCCGCGGGTGAGGTGCTTGAAGCACTCGGTGTAGTGGGTCTTTGCGTCCGAGAGGTCGGCGCGGGCGGCGGTGGCGCGCTTCTTTGCACGGTAGGCCCGCTCGGCGCGCTGGGCGCGCTGGTAGTTGTCCGAGGCCTGTCGGCGGTTCGTCTTGAGGAGGTTCTCGGTGCCCGAGGTGCCGGGGCGCTTCGGGAGTGGCTTGTTGTCGCCGGCGATGGAGGACGTCGGGGTTTCGCGGGCCATTCTGGCGGTGGTGGTGTTGGTGGGGAGAATAAACTATTACAATATGTGCTGGTTGCGTGCTTGAGAGCGGCTTTCCGCTTGCTTTGGGTATATGTTGTCAACTTTGACGGTCAACGAATGAATAGAGGTCAGTAGAGACTCTTTGATGAGCAAAACCACGCGCAAAAGGGGATCGAGGAGAGGTCCTGCGACACCAGGCACTCGTTCTTATACAGTTGCCGAACGATGCCGGCCACTCGTTGCGGGAAAAAAAAACCTCGACTTGGGCAGAAATTTGAAGCATGAGGGGCCCTGCTGCGTGGTGGGTTGTGTTTTGATACTATTCATTCTACAAGTTCATGCGAAAGGCCGGCGTACCCCGGGCATCCCGGCCAAGCACACCTCCCGTCTCCAAGGGTTGCGGGGCGAATGAGTGGCCTTCAAGCAGCCATTTGGAGGCATAACAATGAAATCAAACGCGTACCACGCTTGGATTCGCGTGATCTCGATGGAGGGATGTTGATGGAAATGGTTCATGTTGGTGGTTTGCATCGCGTGGTAAGACGGGCATGTCCCTGTCTACGTGCTGGCTCCGCTGGGAGTCAGATCTAGGGCTTTGATGTTGCCAGTGCGACGGCTATGAGCGATGCTACACTTTCCCGTTCTTGAACGGCAGCTGGTTCGATCATTGGCATGGTCTTGGATGGAGTTGGTTCACGAACGACATGTTGACATCTCGAGGCTGAAACCAGAGGTGTCGTTGGCGTTTGTTGACCGAACCCCAAAGCTTATCGCCCCCCCCCCCCCCCCTTGTCGACAGTCTCCTATCGGCACGTGCTCCTTGGGATGACTTGGGCCCTGGCTCGAGCGCCAGAGTTCCTCGCCTAAAGAGCCCCGAGCACCATAAAGCTATAGCCGGTTTGGGGTTAGGTAAGCTGCTGCGCTAACCGTATTGCCCCGCATCCGGGCTAGACTTGGCACGGTAAAGGAAGGTCGAAACAGGGTTGCTCTGCAGGTTTGGGGGCTGCCTGAGGTATAGACGCAACAGGCGCAGGTCTGTTGCAACTCCCGCTCGAATAAAAGGGAAGACGCTGGAAGCAGAGTAAAAGATTTTCCCTCTCTCCCTGCGCCGAGCCGGGATGACTAGGGCACCAGTGGGGGGACACTTAACGAAAGAGACACGTATGTCTGAGACATGCTTTGCTGGTGCCGCTGTTCGCTGGACGACGGCAATCGGAAGCCTCAAGGCGTAGGTTCCGATCCTTTAGCCATGACGAACTCTGTGTGTACTTCCTTGGCTGCGAAGAGCTTTTCTTTACGCCGGCTCTGATCCGGAAGGCCCTGTGATTGGACCCGTACCTCCAGCAGCCTGTGCCGGTGTCAAGTCGCGCGCGCGGCTGAGCTGTCTAACCTCGAACTGCTGCCGCCTCTTTGACGGACGAGACGGACGAAACTGGCGAAGCTACCATTTCAGCAATCACATGCAAAGGTTAGCCAGTCAGTCAGCGCGTGCCAGTGTCCACTTCGTCAGAAAAAGGCAATGAGTGTTCAACAATAGCGGGACAGGCGGGCATCTCCCATCTAAACCAGCTGGCTAGTGGGGCTCTTCCAGACGCCGCCTTCCATTGGAAACCATCAGCTGCACCCTCAACCCTTGTCTGTGACGCTCCTCCACGGCTGCTTCCTCCCAACAAGATTGCTACCCTCTAACTTACCCGACGTCTC